CTTCAGAGCCTTTTTTTTCGTGGTAAAATTGGCCGTTTTGGTGGTGAAATGGAAATCTTAGGGCTGACCCTGGTTTGAAGTCAGGCGCTAACGAACAAACAAGGGGGGGACTGTACAGAGAGGATCGACAGTCTGCCTGCCCAATTTGATTGGCATCTCACCCCGCTCTGCTCATTTTGTACTCCGTACACTAGCTCGATACTGGCAGGGGATGGGGGCCTGGTGTCTTCGTAGTGATAGTATAGATGTCAACTGACTGCTTTTCATCCTCAGTGATGGCAGGTGGGAAGAGCTTGAAGCGAGCCTCAGCTAGGCATCACGTTACACATTGGGCTCAACAGCCAACGTGATGTTATATCATCCGACCTCTTGAGGCCGGTGGATTGTAGCCAAAGACTTCGTGTCGGACGTGGAACAGTGTACCTATTAGGTTTGCAGCAGAGCCCCAAACATTGCTCCAGGCAAAGATTGGACAACCAAACGCTGTGGCAGCCCTTCGAAGAAAAAGGGTCCTTATCAGGGGACCCCTCCTCGATGAACAGTGGATTGTCAGAATGCAGGGTCCTGCCTGCCTAGCCCCCTGAGGACCAACGAGGCGGTTGCTTGATTAAAAGCATATCCACGTACCATACAACATACCTACAGGTACACACTCTTTAGACACCCTAGGCATGGCGCTTTGTGTACGGATACAGGGCATTGGATCTGATTAGCCTGCGATTGGACGGTCGGGAACTGCGGCTAACAAGGTAGCTGCACAACCGTAGTGTTGTTGGACTCGACACCTTCTCCGACGTTCCCAAAATGCCCCGGATATTGCAACAGAGCGTGTAGACCAGCCCTGGGTAAGCTGTGGTCATACGGGGACCACAACGTGGATTACCGGTGCGAAGTCAGGTAATTACACAATCGGCCGATATGCAACTATACTGGAAATAGTGTATAACGAGGTTGTTGGCATACTTTCAACGTTAAGTATTGGATGTACTGTACTGCAGTTACTTCGAACCCCGTTTGCAACCTTGACTCGTGCTCCGGACAGCACCTTCCGTGCCTGGGGCAAGTTCGCCTGCCTGCCGCCTGTCGTCCCAAGCTCTCTCTGATCGTAGCATTGGACTTGTTTTATTGAGGGTCCCGGGTACGGGTAACGCTAGGGTTTGGAGGAGCTCACACTCGCGATAGAAATCTACTCTACAGTACACTGCAACGGCCCCACCGACCTGCCTCCCACCTCCTTTTCCCCTTGCCGAGACTTCCTGATCCTCATCAGCCTAGGGATTGGGTGTACCTACCGGTACGTAGTGTACGTTGGGGTACGTGTACGTACTTATCTCACATGTGGGGCACTTGTAAGTCCGGCTATCTTATCCTCGACGTCATTCCGCAACTATGTCGTCATTGGAAGCACAAAATGTTTAGGCGCACACACATGGCCTTTGGAGCAACTGGGATTGGAGCTCAAAATTCTGCCCAAAAGTATCCTAATGGAACCCGATGAAAAGAACTCTTCTCTCAAAGGGCTGAGGTCTCAAAGGCAGCTGGGCCACCGGCAGTCTGGCTGGGCTGCAGATGTGAAGAGGGGTTTTTTCTAGAATGGTTGGCTTGAAAGTTGAAAGTAGTGACTGCCCTGACGAACCAAGGGTCCTGCCTCTTTCGTCTTGTGGGTTGGCAAGCCCAGCAGACGGGAAATCGGCACAATCTTGGCAACGCACCTTCGCAGCCGGTATGCAGAAATTGCTATCTCCGAATATCACAAGCATAAAGTCTCCTCAGTGGCGCTGGCGGGCTCGGAGTGCCGCTTTCACGGCACCGTTTCCGTCTTCTGGTCATTCAGGAACATCAGTGCTGGCAGCTAGGGAGTTAGGCTGTCTGGCTGTTTACACTATAGACCACGGGCGGCCGGTCCCGGAGAAACGGAGGCACACCTTGTTCCCTTGAGTTCCCCAAACTTGGCCTAGGCTGAGTGCAATAGTTCTATAGGCTTAGGCAGAAATTTGCATTAAACCGCTAACAACCGCCGATCCGGCAATAAACTCCCGCTTGTCGGAGCCGGACAGCACTTCCGAGACTTTCGATACCCATTTTCAATGGGACGGTTATGGCCTTGCCCTATCCGACGAGCCGACTACCTTCACCTACTCAAGTATCCGCCTTGCGATCTTGCGACCCCCGGCGACTTGAGATTTTGAACATCCCAGCCTAATCGATCGCACACTCCGCAATCACCAGCCTTGACAGAGCGCAACTGCTTCATCGACTCCTGAGGGAGATGTGCATGGGATTATTCCCGCCGTGGAGCCGCCCTGACGGTGGAAGACATACCGATCTGGCTACGTAACGGCCTGTGAAGCGGAAACGGAGCATACATATCTGTGTCTCCCCACTTCGCATCGTGTCCAAGGCTCCAAGCATCCTCGGGAAGCCAATGTGCTCACCACACCAAGTCAATTCGGGCATTACCGGACACGTATCTCTAGCACTAGCTAGCGTCTTTGGAGCGGCATTTCGAATGTTTGCTTGCTTGATGGTACCGAGTTCAAACGAGCTCTTGACTGACTATTTGCATACTAACAGCCAAAGCCAGAAGCTGGGTGAGTTTTCCCAAGCAGTAACAAACCAAATGTGAATGAAGAGCCAGTTGTCTCGTCCTTTTCTTCCGCAACTCGCTCCATCTGGATCCCGCTATGACGAGTCATGTCGTCGGACTACGAATCGCCTTGATCCCTTATCACGCAAGAAGCAGTACACAGGGACGAAATCCCGCTGATCGCCGACATGCATGAGAGCTGCATTACATAAACTAGTAACGTTTTTCCCAAGAAATGGGCGGTAGAAAAAACCGGTTTTTGAACGAGCAACCACCAGTCATTGTCCCCCAGCGTACGTTGCCCGAGCCTATCGCTCTGTCCTCTTGCAATAGTGGCACACACTCTTGGCCCAATGGTCACATATATGGTCCAACTACAATACGCCAGCCCATTTGCTGCTCGGGATTCTAGAATCTTCTCTCCAGCAGCAGCCCACCAGAGGTAACAAAACAAACAAGCCTCCGGCGTTGTGTGGTGCGAGGTGTGAGATGTGAGAGATGAGGAGACAGGGGTCATCGCCCGTTCCTGTCCTGGCGCTGCATTTGCGTGTAGAAAGCAAAGCTCTGGAGATTTGCGGTTGGAACATGCGGTTAAGAGCCGACGATATTTGGTAGGTACAGCCCTCAGTAATTATGTGAATAATGGCGACTTCCTATCCGAGAGATTGGTGACTGCTGCACGCCGTGCCGGTGCACCGCGAGGTAGCAAGTCACCTGCCCAGGCCCGGTGTGCCAATTCCCCAATAGTGCTGTGCTTAGCAATAGCGGTGAAGAATGCGTAATATTGATCGCGGGATGCGCAGGAAAGCTGTGGGGTGGGCATTTCAATCACAGAAGGACCTTTGAAGCCACCGTCAGGAGCCATGCAGCATCGTGCCACCCACCCTCGTCAGCTTTTGGCGGCGGAATGTTTGTCGTATCGACGGCCGGCGGGACCACCTGAAGCTGCTGAAGCCTGCGTAGGCTCGAGGACCGCCTGTCCTGAGCGATGCCGGCCGCGCCATCGTCCGTCTGCCCTTCTCCCGTCTCCGCTGCATCACCGTCCTCCCCGTCGGATTCGTCGTCTTCCTCTTCCTCTTCATCCTCCTCAACCGAGAATAGCCTCACCCCAAACACACTCCCAATCCAGGACCCCAACCCCCCGGCCGAGTTGCCGCGCTTGACGAGCCGGCGCACGTAGGCCTCGTCGTCAACGCCGTCCACGTCCAACTGCTGCTCCTCGATGGCCTCGAGCTTCTCGTCGAGATTAACAAAGTCCGGGCCAGGAATCAGCGCCGCGTCGTCCTCGGCCGTCGGCGTGCCGTCAGAGGTACCGAAATAATCTTCCTCCCCCACCACAGCAACCCCAACCCCAAACCGCCGCTCACAGGGCGTCATGGCCCGGCTGTGGGAGCGGCTGCCAAGCCGGCTATGCACGGGGCTATAGCCGTGGCGGTAATGGTGGTGGTGATGGTTCCCTTCGGATAACATCACTCCACTGTTCCTCCTGCTTGCCGCGGCCGACGACGTCGCCGTCGCCGTCGCCGTCGCTCCCGCCCCAACCCAGTCCCGTCCAAGTTCCTCTTCCACCCCTAGCCCGTCGTCATCGTCGTCCGCGTCGGCGGGGGTGCCCGCCAGGCTGGTGGAGCTGGCGCGCGAGACGAGCCATGCCTGACCCTTGGACTCGCGCGTCTCGGTCGAGATGAGGGCACCGGCCCGCAGCAGCCAGTCTGAGTCGTTGTGGGCGGTTTTGCCGTTGCCGTTGCCGTTACCGTTGCGCCGGGAGACGGTCGGCGACATGCCATGTAAGTGTGTTCCCCCCGGTGCTCTCAGGTGGGTGGCGGATTTGCTCTTGGGGAGGGCGGCGGGGTCCCGTGCGGCGGGAGCCGAGGTGCCCCGTGTTCGTGGCCGCGATGTGGACCGCAAACGGGCGGCGTTGCCGGCCCCCGGAGAGCGAGAAAGGAGACGCGGCGTGGTCGGGGCGGATTTGCCTTGCAGATATGAGGTGGTGTGAGGCGGGGCGGATATCGGATTGAAATCGTAGTCATCCTGGTCGTGGATTGGCAGTCTCGAGGTCAGGGGTGCGAGACTGAGGTGGTTGAGGTTTGTTGAGGAGCGGTTCTTCCGCCGGGCGACGTTTGAGTGCTGATTGTAGGCTACGTCCATCTTTGTTCTGGCGTTGAGGCCAATAGCTTGGACTTACGTGCAAGAGGCTGGTCAGGTACTATCATCGACCACTGAAGTTCCTGATGAGTAGCAATTTAAGTACTAGATCATGGTGGCGCTCTTGTGGTGCGATTGGGAGGTCCAGAACGAAGAGCTGCTTGCTTGTGGCACCATGACCTGCGAGTTTGCGTTCCTCTGCAGAGCTTTTGCACGCGTTGTCCCACAAAGTTTAAATACCAGGCGTTCTGATTTGTTACAGGCCTGATCAGCGGGGTTGCTTGGGTCATTGCGACCGCCACTGAGCAAGAGCTTTCACTGCCAAGCATGCCGCAAAACAATCGGGTGCAGGTGCTCGGGTCTCCTATCCGGGTGGGCTGCCCAGTCGATCAACGATAAATCGTCATTACCTTACTCGGCTATCTAAGCATCGAAAAGTTAAAATCCTCCATTAGAAACGACTGTTTACACCAGAAGACAGCTTGAACTTTGCAGCTAGTCAATAATCAAACACGGACCACCGTTCGCGACTTTTGGGTTGTAGCGAACGAGCTTGAGCGGCGGGTGAAAAAAGCATACATACCATATCCGTCCGGGTACTCCGTACATACACAGGGAACAATACGTAAGGTATATTACGGTAACACTAGCAATTTTTTATTGGATCAACGAGTGTTTTGGAGCTTGTCTCGAAGGCAGGACGTGGGCCGTCAACACCCGTTGGTCAATACCTGTCTTTACAATACCATGAACCGGAAGCGTCAACTTTTTTGGATCTGACATTCTCAGGAACGGGAAGTGTTTATTTTGCGAACGTACACATAGCGAGCTCAATCCGTTAGTGGCTCTAATCACAAAGCTCGACAGAAACAAAGGTGGCCTGGTTTGGCTATTCTGTTGTTTTTCTCCCTTGTCACGCGTGAATATAGACCACGCGTTCCATCCAGCTCCATCACTAAACTCATCACGGCACATATCCAACAGCCTGGGAACCAGTTCTTACTCTTTAGGAAACGGATGAGCCGTACTGCCACGGCCAGACGGTTGTCATGCCTTACGATCCTGACTGGCAGCTTGATGGGGATGAAATTGGCTATACTGCCGCAGCGAATTCGGGAGAGTACAGTGAATACTCTGATCAGGCTGCAGAGCAGCTGCAGGACGAGGGCAATGAAGAGCATGGCGAAGCCGGGGAAGAAGATGATATGGACGTCGACCTTCCTCAGCCAAGTATGAGCAAGCACTCTGAAAGCGACCATGACGCAACTCCTAGGAACCCCCGTCCTGCCACCGCTGTAGCCCCCGTGGGAAGGCCGTCACAAGTGGCAGTAATCCTGCATTCCAGTCCTAGGAAAGATGACTTCAGGTCCCTGGCAGATGATACCTTCGTTGATGATGAGGACCATGCCGACCTTGTCACCTCCGACATCGTACCCAAACCCAAGAGCAAGCGTCCGGAAAGTGTGGCAGCTAGCGCCGCGGTTATTCGTCGACAAGAAGAACCTGCTGCGTCTTCCGTCCCCTTTCCATTACCTACCATCACGCCCCAGCCAAAAAAGCGAGGTCGCCCATTTGGATGGAGGTTAGGGAGCGGCCCGTACTCGGCTATGACAGGGGGAACGCCGTCATCCACGCCACGGCCGAAACCCAAGAAGCCGGCCAGCGAACAAAAACAACGCGGCCGTCCCGGAAGAAAGCCGGCGCCGACTGCGCGTCAAGTCTACCTCAAACTCAACCCACGCTTTGTGGCCTTCCGGTGCGAGTGGGAAAACTGCCCAGCCGAGTTGCAGAACCTGGAAACGCTGCGAAAGCATCTCTTAATAGTCCACGGCCGGCTCCAGTCGTCCCCGCGCACACGGCCGGCCCAATCCACGCCACTCCCACACCCGTCACCACCCGCCCCTGACGCGAACCCCGTCATAACCTGCAAATGGGCTGCCTGTAGCCATCCTGCCTTCACCACACAGACATCCTTCGCCTCACACATCGAGGAGGCACACCTGCCTTCCTTTCTCTGGCACGTCGGCGACGGGCCGCGCAACACTTCCCCCTTTCCCGCCCCATTAGATACCGCCACCACAAAAACAAGCAGCACCGAAGCACCCCTCCCAGCCTACCTTTTTGACGCCAAGGGCGTGCAGGTCACGCCGTCGGTGAGAGATCAGGTCATTGAGAACGACGTCGACTTCAAGAAGCGGCAGGCCATGATCAACCGGATGCTGCGGCGGCGCGACGCCAACGCGCCCGAGGAGCCGGACTATACTGCCGACCAGCTGGCCGAGATATCGGCCGTCATGAGCGAGAAGAAGGCCAAGCAGCGCATGTTCAGGGACTATGCGGAGCGCGTGTGTGGCATTGGTGGCCGTGCTGAAGCGCAGGAGGGAGGTGCGGTGAATGAGTGGAGGGGGTTGATGGTTTAGTTGGCGTTTGGGGATAAGGCCATGGTTACTGGGAGGGTAAAGGGTTGGTATGCCCGCCGGATTGAGGGCACTCGGGCTATATATACCCTATATGTACAAGCGGCGTTGTGCAGGCTTGGTTCTTGATTCCGGTTTCTCAAGGTCGGCAGGAAGGCGATGTACTAGGGAGATAGTTTGTCTCCAAACGCGTGGAATGAATACCCTCACAATACTTGACAAGATTCAATCTGCCGCATCCATTCTGTTAATATCCATGGATCTGCTTGATATATGTTCTTGATTGGTGACAACTGGGGTGGCCGCCTTGCAGAGCCTTCTGTTGTACGGGATTCAGATATCCGTACAGCCAAATGACTTGGAGCGCGGATACACGAGCATTCCTATTCCCATCGAAATCGCCCTCGTCGCCTTGCTTGGACGCCTTAAGGACCGGCAGGTGCTTTGCTGGCCAGTCTCACGCGTTCCGGAGGAGCTGCGAGATACCTACCTTACTCTTCCCCTCCAGGCTTATACGAACGGCCTGCCTGTTAAGAGCTGTTAAGAGGGGTAGTAGAGAGTCCAATCTTAACGTGCAAAATCGTGCTTGCACTAGCAAATACAAAACTCCCCAGGAGAACCTGTCGCCTCCAGCCGACGGACCCTTGAAATGGACTAAGAGGGGTTGAGCCCAGAAATCGCCGCGGTCTCCTGGAGGAGCGCTGTCGCGGCACCACCGTGCAGGGGCAACAGAGTGATACCTAATCCATCCAACTTGACCCATGACACTTCGCCATGCTTCATCTACCCCTGACCATGGCCGCAAACCAAGGCCAAGAAGCAGCCCGTTATTGGAACGATTCAGCGCCAGAAAGGAGCTGATTAGTTCTTCGGGAACCATGACAGGCATGCATCTTATTAGTGGCTGATGGGACTCGCCCTGTCCAAAGCACCTTCTCAGAGGAGGCCAATTCTAGAATCTAGATCTCACAATTCGAAAGGGACTTGTAAGCAGCTGACTCTGCTAGGCTTGCTGGTGAAACGAACAGTGAGGCACCTAGACAAGAAGCTTTGGATTAGGCCCCTTACTCTATACGAAGGGCAATGCTGTACATTCTGTCCCCAATGTGGTTTCTGTCGGTTTGTGATGGGCATCCGGAAGCTCTCCTGACATCTAGGAATAAGACTTGTACTTCGTACTGCAAGTTCTAATCCCCCTTCGTTTAGAGAACCCGGCAGTCCTACGTAGGAACCCAAGAGAAAGGCTTCGCGAACTAGGGAATGTTAACGAGGTAACCGAGAACCCCTGTTACTGGGGTGAACTGCTGGGCTACTTTTAAATCAATCGATGGGAATGTATCAAAGTTCAAGATGGTCTGAAACAGAGCAAGTACAGGAAGGCAAGAAACCTGCCGTTAGAACCTTGGAATGCAACAAGCCCGATAACGTTACAGTGGGTGAGAGATCTGTGGATGAAAACGTTCTGGGCACCTATCCTGGCGAGACGGCAAGTCCCGTGACTCGGCAGTGGCTGCCCTGCTGTGAGGCCCAGCCCAGTGCCCACAGCAAGCGCTGACAGCGGTTGCAGGCAGCTGCCGCGCCCACCAACCGACCGGGCTCGCCAATCCTCCGCTCCACTCATCACTAATCGGCCTTCCTTCCAGTGCCCACATCGCCCGCACCTCAGCCATTCCGTTCCATACCCGCATACCCGTTCCATTACCAATCTTCCATCCATCATGGCCTGGGCATCTTGATCAGCACGACGACCCCACGATGCCGTCCACCAAGATCGCGAATGGCGATAGCCATTTCCCGCAGCGCCTGAAGAATTTCTTCCGCATCAACTCGGGCAACCGCGATCGCGAAGCCGCTCACGGCCATAGCTCACTGCGGTCCGAGAACAAGACGGCATTCCGCCAGACGAGGTTCTTCAACGTCGGTCGTCTACGCAGCGCTACTACCGCGAGCGAGGGCAATCCGCTTGATGAATCATTGAGTCCGACTGCCCACGCCAACCCCTATTTTGCCCACCAGGGCCAGCCCGGTTTACGGCATCACAACGAAGGCTCCGTGCCTCCGAGCCCCCCCGACACCCCAAGTCTCAAGGTCCTCGGTCCCAATGGCGGCCCGCCCGAGAAGCCGACGAGCAGTACAAAGGAGGAGCTTGCGAGGAAATTGAGGAGAGTCGCCAGTGCCCCCAATGCCCAGGGCCTGTTTTCCAAGAGCAACGGTGATGGGGAGCGACCCGCCACGGCCGAGCTGAGCAAAGAGCCCTTGGCCGAGAGTAAGGATTCGAACTCGGTCGGCTTTGCCGAGTCCAAAACAGCGTCCGACAGCGGTCTCACAGTCCCAGAATCCGACGGCCTCGGGGCCCTACCGCCACCTAACCAATCGCCGCTTGCGTTCCGCAGGACGTATAGCTCCAACTCCATTAAGGTCCGGAATGTAGAGGTAGGCCCACAGAGCTTTGACAAGATCAAGTTGATCGGCAAGGGAGATGTGGGCAAGGTCTACCTTGTGAGGGAAAAGAAGAGCGGCAGGCTGTACGCCATGAAGGGTTAGTTCCCGATGTCAGCGAGTTCAATCCGAGCGTTACTGACGAGCAGCACAGTGCTAAGTAAGAAGGAGATGATCAAGCGCAACAAGATTAAGAGGGCGCTCGCCGAGCAGGAAATCCTGGCTACGAGCAACCACCCTTTTATCGTGACTCTCTACCACTCCTTCCAGTCCGAAGACTACCTCTATCTCTGCATGGAATATTGCAGCGGAGGCGAGTTTTTCAGGGCGCTACAGACGCGGCCAGGGAAGTGCATATCCGAGGACGATGCCCGCTTCTATGCGGCCGAGGTCACGGCGGCGCTGGAGTATCTACATCTCATGGGGTTCATCTACCGGGATCTGAAGCCAGAGAGTAGGTTGACGGGGGACAAATCTCGTGGCCGAAGCATTCAGCTGACATTTCGTTAGACATTTTACTTCATCAATCAGGGCACATTATGCTGTCCGACTTTGATCTTTCCAAACAGTCAGACCCGGGCGGCAAGCCCACAATGATCATTGGCAAGAACGGCACCAGCGCGAATTCCCTGCCGACGATCGACACCAAATCGTGCATCGCCAACTTCCGGACCAACTCTTTTGTCGGGACAGAAGAGTACATCGCGCCAGAGGTGATAAAGGGGAGCGGGCATACGAGTGCCGTTGACTGGTGGACGCTCGGGATCCTGATCTACGAGATGTTGTACGGCACGACGCCGTTCAAGGGCAAAAATCGTAATGCGACGTTTGCCAATATTCTGCGCGAAGATATTCCCTTCCCCGATCATGCGGGTGCGCCTCAAATATCAAAGTGAGTCTGTTCATCTCTACATACCACACTTTGATACTAATCGTTACAAAACCAGCCTCTGCAAGTCCTTAATTCGCAAGCTTCTAATCAAAGACGAGAACCGGAGGCTAGGTGCCCGCGCGGGCGCCTCGGACATCAAGTCGCACCCCTTCTTCAGGACCACGCAGTGGGCGCTGATCAGGCACATGAAGCCGCCCATCATACCCAACCAGGGGCGCGGCATCGACACGATCAACTTCCGCAACGTCAAGGAGAGCGAGAGCGTCGATATCAGCGGCTCCAGGCCCATGTCCAACGTCAAGGGCGTGCCACTCGACAGCGGGCTCGCCACGCCCGGCGCCGAGACGCCCGACCCGTTTGAAGAATTCAATAGCGTGACGCTGCACCACGACGGCGAGGAAGACTACGGCAAGAACGGGTACGAGTCGTAGGCTGGTTGGTATCCTTATTTGAATGGTTACGATGGTGGCCCTTGGGATGGGCTGGGCAGGGCCAGCAAGAGTAGGAAGCAAGCGAATAAAACGAGGAGGCGGCGGGAAACCCGGTGGTCGCTCTCCTGTTTGGTGGTTTAGACTGTGAGGCCTGTCCGTGATGGCTCCACTCCCCTGCGGGCGGGAAGGGCAGGGGGTGCATCTGTTGGTCTGGCTTCGCGTTGGTTGGTCGTCAGTCGCAATCCGCTCATTTTTCCCCTCCCTGTTGTTTTAGAACGATATGTGATGCTGTGGGCCTACGACAGAGGCTTGCTCTGAGCGGTCACATAGGACGGGATCTCGTGGGGAATTTTGTTGTAACCCCCTTATTCTACACCCCAGTTCATTCGACGGAGTTTTGGCGACGGCGTTTTCTCTTGCTTTTTCTCTGTCTTTTCCTCGTTGGGAGCCAAGATCTGCGGGATTGGGGGACAATTTCCAGGCGAGGAGGAGTGAATGCGGAAGATTAAACACAGCGGCATTTGCAATTGAGACAGGTCACAATATAATGTCTGTGGTATCTCGGTCTGGGTCATGGGAGCCGCACTTTGCTTCACTCAGCTGAGGGGCTCTCGATATGTTGGTTCCAGATCTCAGAGATCTCAGAGATCTGCCGAGACACAGCTCACCCGCCAGGTTCGAGGCGGGTGTGTTGATCTACTGATTGGGCGGTCGGCTGATCTGCATGTTTTCTGCTGTACAACCGTGCATCGCGGGCGGTTGATGCTGCCTTGATTTAGGACTGTTACGGTGTAATTGGACGGGGTTCGGCCAGCGTTGGCGAGTTCAGCAAATGGGAGGGACGTCTACTATGCAGTTAGGCATGTCCGCGGCAAAGTTACGGCTAGCTGGGCTGCCTGTCTCAGTCACAAGGCTGATTTGGTTGATCATGAAGTAACTTGTCGAGGGAGCCTCCTTCTCTATATGTTTTGACCCTGAGCCAAGGTAAGTCACCTGCAAGATTGTCAATCTTTCCTCTTTTCTTGTCCACGCAGTGATCTTCTAAATTGATTGCCTTGGGACGCCGATGTGTTTTCTTCTCTCTCCTTCTTCCTCAACTGTTGATGTGTTTATCATACCCCTTTCTGACTCCTTTGCGATCGTAGATATCTAGATTGTTTTCATTTTTTGTTGTATACCTCTGCATGACCGCAAGCCCTTGACGATACGATACGACACCGGACCATTCATAGACAGATATTCCTTCTTTTTCTGCCTTTTTTTCGATTTCAGATTTTCCTCTTGTTGTACACACAATATACCGTACCGACAGTTCACCTTGGCATATCACCAATGGCCTCCAACCAGCCCCAGCGCCCTGGACCACCCTACCCCGTTTCTTCCCCGCCCTCCCCTCGGTCCAACCCGGCCGACAACAACATCCTCGGCCAGCCGGCGTACCTCGTCACCTGGGAAAAGCGTGATAACACTTCACCACAACTGAGGAGAACACCACTTCCCACAACCAGCGCTCTACGCTCGGCGTGGAACGGCAGTGATGCGGGTGCTGCTTGCCAGCACAGACTTCTTGTTCTGCATCATGGCTACCTCCAAGAGTTTGCCGATGCCGTGCTCTCGCTAGTAGCCATGGACCGCGCCTTCGTCGACTGTATCGCGGCCCGGCGCGCGTACCGCCCCGCGTCGGCCGTGCGGGACCGCGCGCTGCGGGCTGCCGGGGTTAAGTTCGGGAAACGGCCCTGGCGTATGTGGGATTACCCTGAGCTGCTGCTGCAGGAAGGGTCCGTGTCAGGTGATGGTTTTACGCCTGTGAGACGGTTCCAGGGAAAGGCCGGGGCGGTAGCGGCCGTTTTCTGCCGTGCGTGGTTATGGAAGGGGGAAGGTGTGGATGTGCTGTTTCTGGATGGCCCCGTGGCAGGGGCGGGAGTGCGCAGGATCAGGCGGGAGAGCGGCGGTAGCAGTAGGCAGGCCGTTGATGCTAAGGACAGCGAGACGGAGAGCTTGGAGGATGTGCTCTGGGATGCTATCAGGGGTCGGGAACCGGAGGGGGGTGGCTGGGGGTACGAAGACGGTCTTGACCATCTCCTGGTTGAGATTGTTTATTGCCGTTGGCTGGAGCTGTTTGATGTCCTTGAACCTCAGCCGCGGGCTCTGTCGGACGAGACCATTGCCGGGTACTGGCAGATCTTGCAGTCACTGGAGCTGAACGAAGAGGAGGACGGTCATCAACGCTGGGCCGGTCTCATGAGCAGAGCGCAACGCCGCATCGCCTTGCTACCTCCACCCAGGGACAGGGTATCCAGGGCACCGCCGGCAACCTCGAGAGAAACAACGGGCATTACGGTTTCCAGCACGCCGAGAAACAAGACCATCAGCCGCACGGGGACATTCAATCGGTCTCTTAAGAGCGGATACCCGAGACAAGCCAATGATGATCAGAAAAGGCTGGCCGACGAGAACCAGCGTGCCCTCGACCGTATTAGCTATATGGGCGGTATCCTGATCCCTTTACCAATCGTCGCGGGCATCCTCTCGATGGGAGAGACCTTTGGCCCCGGCGGTCCCAGTTTCTACATATTTTGGGCTGCCGCCATTCCTCTGTCGTTTCTAACTGTCCTGATCATCTACGCGGACACGATCCGTAGGGCCGAGGTCTGGGTCGAGATAGCGCCAGAGCGCGTAGAGCCGACGCCGGACAGCAGCACGAAGAGCAGCAAGGAGGACATTGGGCCAGTCAATGTCGAGGTTAAGCGCCAAACGACGGTTACTTGGAAGCGTCCGGAGGAGCCGCAGCAGGGGCAGCATGGGTCGGAAACCTCGTCGCAGGATGCGGTGGTGTTTGCTCTTGACCACGACGTCGAGGAGCGCATGACCGGCATGCCGCTGGCGGCGGCTGCGGCTACTGTACAACCGTCAGACGAGGAAGTGGCAGCGGCAGTCTTGGATCTGATCCCTGGTCCGGAGAGGTGGGGTACAGGACTGGTGCAGCCTCCGGGCATCATCTTGGAGCAGCCCGCCGATGGGTCAAGGCCGAGGGCTTGGAAGCGACAGGAGCTGGGATGGTATGGCGCGGTCAAGTCCATCGTTTACAAGAAGCCCAGACCTGGGGATAATATCCCCGTGGGCGTGCCGGCGACTCCGAAACCTGACAGGCGGAAGACCAGGTCGTTCTGAGGTGGCAGTAGGTAACAAGTCGAGAGGTCGATGGTATGTAGCGTAGGTTTATAATCCCGCCTCTATCCAACAGTGAAGCCCCCCTTAGTACTGTGACGAATCCCCCTGAATAGACTCGCTGATCGCTCCTGGAAGCCTAAAGCCGAGTAGGATTGAGGGCTCGGATTGCCTTATCTAGTGTAGACTACCCCAACAATCAAACAGTTAGGTGAATTACAGACATATCTCACCATCTTGAGACAGCATCATTACTAGTCTCACTATTCCTTTCGAAGTTTCGGCACCGGTTTGAGTCTTTGGGACGCATCTCACTCAATACACAAGATATGTAATTTACCGTAAACAAGTTGTTTACTTATTACACACCCCACTCTCAACCGCCCCACATCCACCTCACGATAACTAAAACGCCAACAGAGGACGTCGATCGCTCATACATGATCTACCACTTGATACCACGAGAGCACCTCGAATAAACACCCAAGCTTCACCTCTCGACCACTTCCCCACCTCAACAAACCCAAAAGAGTACGCAAAATGGACGTCCCGGCGCGGCCGCAAAGCAGCCTTCTCACCTCTCCGCCCGAACTCACATCCCTCGAGCAGGAGGTGTTGGAGGAGTATGAGCGCCTGGCCGAGAACATGAAAAAGCTCGCCTCCCTCCTCGACAACCTGGCCAGCGCGCCGGCCACCGAGATCCTCGACGGCCTGCGCGACCTGGAGCGCAAGACCAGCCTCGTCTTCACCTTGCTCAAGGCCAGCGTGTACAGCATCGTGCTGCAGCAGGAGATTGACTGGGGTGGGCAGCAGCAGCAGCAGCATCATCAGCATGGGCCTTGAATGGTGGGCCGGGGGTTGAGACTTGTGAGAGTGTGAATCATGGGGTCGGATAAACTTGTGTGGAGCCTGAAACAGGATGAGATGGCGTTGATTGAGGGATGGGATGGGACCAGGCCGAGCCGTGATGCCACGGTGAGCTTGCCTTTTGGACACATTCCTAGAGGGCCCAGGTCCAGCCACCGCAGGCTTGTTGACGATGGCCGAGCAAAGGACTTCAAGGTCCAAGATGCCGCGCGATTCGGCAATGTAGGCCTAGCAGACAACCAGCCCAGCATCGAGCCGTCCGCAGTCCGCACACCCCGCAAGTCAGCATAAGGATTCTTTTTGATGCAGTTACACGCATAAAACTACAAGCCGGAGGCTAGTACAACATAGCTAGTCTATACAGCAGCGAACAAGACAATTAAAATACAGCGCCGCCGTAATAGACCTTGCGGGCGTCGACCATCTTCTTTCCCCGCCCCATGGCAATCTCCTCTGGGTCGCGCTGGTTGCACAGCGCCTGGAACGTGGCCTTGATCGAGTTCATGGGGTTGCGGGAGCGCGGCATCCTGGCGGAGAGGTCGTAGATGCCGGCGGCGCGGCACATTTCAAAGATGCGGTGCGATACGCGGAGGCCAAAACCTAGGAGCAGCCACCAATGTTAGGAGATGTTGATATGAAGTCTGGTGAAGAGGGATAAAGAGATAGCATCTGGAAGATAGTATTTACCTGGCGGACGGGCCATCAGCTTGACGATAGTGCCCGAAATCTTGACCTCGGACTCGCCGTAGATGGTCCTCTTCTCGTACCGCCGGATGGGCCGCATGTTTTGGATGGCGAGCAGGCGGGCCTTGAGCGTGGCGACGCTGGGCTCGGTCGACTTGGCCTCGCCGAGGCCCAACCAGCCGTCGCCGTTGCCGGCCACGCACATGACCCAGCAGCTGCGGACCTTGCCCAGACGCGTCTGGTTCGACACCCACCGCGTGAGCAGCCTCCTGACGTTGACGGCCAAGATCTGCTTGACCGACATGCCCGTCCGCTTCTTGAGGTCCTGGTACATGCCGATATCGTCCAGCCCGGCGTCCTCCGGGTCGATGGCGTTCTTGTACAGGCCCGACACTCCCGGCACCTTGTCCGGTAGACCGAGTGCGAGCGCCGAGTTGCTCTGCAGGTTGTTGTCCGTCATGGCCGACCGCTCCAGGATGTACTGCAGCACGTCGGCGTCGGTCGGTCCACTGCTGTCTGGCGCCTCTTGCTCGACGCCCTTGTTTTGTTTTTGCTTATCCACCTCGGTTTGCAGATAGCGCTGGAAGTCTTTGTGTGCTTGCGCCCTCACCTCGCCCGGCCACCGGCCCTCAGGCGTCTTCTTGTACTCGTCGGGCACAAAGTCCTCGAGCCTCTTGAGTGTCCCCGTCACGTCGCCCGTGGTGAACTGGTCGGCCCAGTTGATCAGATCCTCGGTGAACTCATCCATGTTCATAAACCTCGCGTGCGGGTCCGGCGGCGGCTTGTTCTGCGGCCGCTTGTCGATGACGGGCTGCGACTCGGCAAAGTCGTCGATGTAGGGTACCCGGTACGGGTCGACGCGCAGCCGGCCCTGTATCGTCAGGTCGCGGGGGTTGATGGCGGCTTCACCGGCCTCGAGGGCGGCGATCTGCTCGGGCGAGTACTTGGTGCGCAAAAGCGCCAGCTCCTCGTCTGTATACTTGGGGAACTTTTCTTGTGTGAACTGGTCGATCTGCTTCTCGGACATGATGCCCATGTCGGCAGCGCGCACATTGGCGAATCTCGGACGCCGCCTGGCGGCCATGGCGGCCGAACTGTGGAATTGGTGGGCGAATACATGCTGGCACGGAGCTGTCGACGGCGTAGCGGCAGCGGCAGCGGCGGCACCGGGCACAGCGGCGGCCAGACGCCCGGAGATGAGTCTCCTGGCGGCTGGACGTGCCACGCTCATAGCTCCCCGGGCTCAATTGAATCGGCAGAAACCCCAGTACCTGTTTCCGCGCTGAAAAAACAACCGCCTCGACGTTTCAACTTCCCGGTTATCGCAAACCCCCAACAGGAAAGAAAGAACGGTACAATGCGGCGCGCGCTGGAACGGCTTGCCAATAATTTTTCTGGGCCCCAGCTCGCCTGTGAAGCAGGTTGATGCCTAGCTTATGGGGCATCAAATCCAATTGATGCTGCGCCAGTGCCTGGAGCCCTGGACCAAAAGAGATCGACAGCCAAGTCCCTGTGGATCCGGGACTTCGGATGCCCAGACATTCTTTCAGCTGACCAGTCATGTGACCTCCATGCCTCATCCCATTCCCAGGTTCATCCGTAGCTACCGTCACCTGTCCTCGCAATCACAAGCTGCCCGAAACCCCATTCTCAAGAACAATTTTTTAACTATTTCTTTCATGATGGTCCAGTTTGGCGATGTACGGAGTAGCGTCGTCTGGCTTCTTTCACTCGGTTTCGAGTTCCGTTTGGATCATGCACACTTTCTCAGCCAATGGGACTCGGCTTAGCTAATCCCCATCGTTCGACTCTGGTGCAAGTCTGAAACGCAGAGCCCACATCAGAGCCCCTTTTTCGATCTCCTTTCTGGCCTCTCCTGTTAGCCGCTGGGCCAGCTGTCCCTTACAGGCCCGGACGGCGCAAATCAGGCCCTCGTCTCAACCTTCTTACAGGGCAATCGGGAGACACAGCTAGGGTATTCTCGTCTTTTACTGAAATCGTACTTCATTGTGACGTCTGTGGTTTCATGACCAGGCCAAATTGGCTCGCCATACCCGCCAAAATTCACCAGCCCAGGCGCATCCCTCCGTTTCCCCCATCTTCCCGCCTTCCATCTCCTTCATGCTGTTCATCGTAGCCATGTATTAATCAACCTTTGCTTCCCTTCGTCCATCCGAACCTTCTCACATAATATCCATCTCCTTGCGTGGCGCAGGCGACGCCAAAAAGTTCGGTTCTTGGATACACCCGCTGGGCGGCCACCCTCTTCTTGGCAACTCGCTCGTTTCGCTCGGCGCTCGCCTTGGACCGCAACCTCAACCGCATGCCTGTTCTGCCTCTGTCTTTGCGCCAGTACCCGCAGACGCCAGAGGGAGGCAGCAGCAGCATCACGAAAATGGGCCAGTTTGACTGGTTCGGCAGCATCGGCGCTACGCCCGAGGCCGTTGCCGTGCTCAACGACCAGCCCCACCTCTTCACCATCCTCATCATTGTCCTCATCGCCATGATCCTGCAGTGCGTGCTGATATGGTACATCCACTACGCCACCTTGAAACCGGAGCAGAAGGTCAAGAAGGACAAGAAGGACAACAAGAAGCCCGCCGAGAAGAAGCCTCCTGCCAGGAGATAACGGACGATTACCTGCTGCAGGAATCGAAACATAGAGTCGACCTCCCTGCTCACGCCATATTCAATGAGGGACACTCAATCCGGGCAGCCAACGCCTTGTTAGTCTTGATCTTCGGTGAAATGCAGTCGAGCTATCACCGAACGGCACACTGAGCTTAGTTTGCCCCAGAGTACCGGTCTTGGCCAAGTTGATGTCAGCTCATGGTGCGGTATATGCAAACTCGCACCAAGGACATACGTGATCAGCGGTTTGGGGATTCTTTTTGGACACCTAGACGAGAGGACGGTGGCATGGACGAATCCTTAGTTGGACAGCACGTTTGTTGCCGATTGGGGAACATTGTTACGGAGTACGCCGGAGTCTCAACCGATGGCCGGGCTAGGCCGCTTAATCCAGGCCAAACAGTGAGGGGATTGGGTTGGGGTATCGTTTTCTTGGACATGAAGCTTTCGCCCTAGATAGCGCCGTCGTCTCATTGTTGCACTTCGTGGTATATAATATACGCCTCGTTTGAATCTTCATCCCCCCAAACCAGGACCTCTTGGCTCGCCTCGTCGCTTAGATCATCGTATGGAATCAACGGCGGGCTTGACGGCCAGCTCGTCTCCTGCTCGGGCGCATCCTGTTTCTCGATTCGATACACGTTGCCATACCCATCAGCATAAAGGTACTCAGCATCTGAGTTATCCGTTAGCTCTCCCAATTGTTCGCCATCTCCCACAATACCGTCTCCACCAGCGAGTGGGAAGCTGTGTCTCTCGCAGTAGCCGGGACCTTGAGTCTCTTCCGGATAGTCTGCATAATGACCGTGTCCTGTAACCAGCCTGTGATTCTCCCCTCCCATCAGGGCGCCATCATCAAAGTCGTAGGCGTATTCTAAGGGTGCACCTGCCAGTTCGAAGCCCCTAGCTTCTATGTTTGGAAGCGGCCGCTTGATGACGTCTTCCGCTGATTCCCTGGTGGTTTTGCGCCTTTTGGCCGGATCTGGCCGGATTCCGGTTTGACACAGCGACCACAGACGGTTCGTGATTTCGTCCGTGGTGGGAGCCTCTATATGGACTTGGGCATTGTTACCGCTACTCACTGGGCGTGAAGTGGAAATGAGATCCAGTTTTTGGCGAAGACTGTCAGATCGAGCGTTTTTGAGTCGAGCCAAACCAACGGCGATTGTCGGAATGACTTGTGCGTGCACTGCCATAGTCTGCCGTTCGAGTCAGTCAAGTCCAGCAAGCATTCAGGGCAATACTCTACTTGAAGGTATTGGAGGTCCCAAACGGCTGGGGCAATGTCAATCAGTGAATGCGCTTGTGTGCTCTTCACGATCCTGACCCCTGCCGAGATTCTCCTGATGCCGATGAGTTTTCGAAGCGCGGAGTCCAAGAGACAGGCCATATCCGAAATCATGACTTCTTGGCTCGGTGTCTCTACACCCCCTTGGCCAATATCATCAACCCCAGAAAAGTTTGAAGGTTCTGGCGCAGACGTTTCGTGAAGCGTTGTACTATTCAGTTCCTCTTGAATGGATGCCAGTTTCCTGCTTGGCCTAGGATGCCGTCTGAGCCGGTATGTGTGGCTTGGAGGCTCGTCCATCCCGCGACGGCTCACGCTCGGCGATGCGACTGCCAGTTGCTGTGGGATATGGGCCTTATCCGGTGCTCCTCCGAGGTGATAATCTACCTGGCATTTCAACCCCTGAAACCGAGCAGAAGGAGCTGCCGATGGTGCAATCATCTCGGATGAGAGGTCGGGATGTTGAAGGAAATATGAGATCTGGGAATGGAAGGCATCTAGACGATCGTGGAAGGTGTGATCGATGCGGAGTTCAAGCCCTAGGTCTTTCCATACCTAAACTATTAGCCATCCGCAAGCGGTTTGAAAGACGCAACCTACAGAACATTCTGAAGCGAGGCTCACGATCGTAGCTATAAAAGCGGGACTGAAGGTCGCGCTTTCTGGTAGCTCGCCGTTGATTAGAGTGAAGAACTTGATCTGACAAGATCCGGCTTTCGAAACCCAAAGACTGCCTGCCAAGAAAGCCTTGAACAGATCCTCTGCAGCAGGAGGTGCTGACCATGAGGGAGGAAGTGATATCGCAAGCGAGCTCGAAAGCGTGAGAGACAAGCGGTTCTTTCCGGCAAGCTTGATGCTTCCCAAGTCTACCGACACGCCCAGCATTGCACCCTGGAGCAAGGAGTAAAGGCCGACACTGGGTCATATCCTAGGAAAACTGCATGATTGAAGATGCCACCGAACTGAGGGCCAGGGCAAAGTCTATGAGGGAGTGCCAACCCATCAAGACCATGACGAGAGTGCCGGTATTCTGCATAATGAGGAACGGTCTGAGGGTGTTGGAAGACGGCCACTTCCAGCCACGGAACCTGCCAGATGAATTAGTACCTGAAGCTAGAGCGAAAGCAAGTGCTGCCAATAAGGACGGGACTGTCCTTCCACATTGCAGACAGAAAATAGAATGGGCACTTTGCTCAGGGAAAGTACCACCCATAGAGTGGAAGCTACAACTGAATGAAGGGCTCATAGTCAAAGCCGTTCCGTGCATTATTGGTCACGTCGGGCCGACAAACAGCTGGACCTGAGCGGCCCGTTATGTCGGCTGACTGCTGAGGACAAGTCTTCGTTCGTCTCCCTGATCTCCTGATCTTCTCTGCTGAACAACCATAACTGTTCAGGTTATAGAAACCAAGGCGTCGGTACTAATTGAGCCACCTACACATTAAGCAATTATCGAACGCATCGTGTGAGCCTTGAAGTGTGTTGATGTAGGTATGCGTGCATGAGCGCAAGCACTTTGTTCCGCTTTTCCCCTCTAAATAGCAAGCCCAGGCCACCATAAAAGATGCAAGCCATGCTGTTGACAAGACAAGATGTGCCGCCCAAACCTGTTATGATTTTGTTCGTCAGTCATTTTTAGGCACCTTCCCACAACAGACGCGGCCTGCCCATGAACCCCGATTATGTCTCGGCCGACAGAAGAGCAGTAAAGCAGGGAAAATAAAAAACCAGCAGGTCTATCATCGCCAGCCCCTCGCAAACTCCTGCAGACAGATGCAAACCAGCCGCAGCCAATCCAGAGCCAAGCCAAAGGTAGAACCTCTCCCCCAAGGAAACGGAAATATGGGGGACGGAGTATGCCAGTTCTCTCCCTCACCTACACAAGGAGAGGCTCGCCCTTGCGGCAAATCCATGGACAGATGACCTTCCGGGCGGTTCCTCCTAGAGAATATTAGGGAGCAGGCTTCAAAAAGTAAAACAAAGAAACAAAAAGGCAGGGGACTCCGGATTTACGCAAAATCCGTTGCCACATCGAGAATTACACTCGTGCCAGAACAGCACAAGTATCTTGGTGCATCTCAGGCGTCCAAGTCGTCCCCAAGAGCGTAGAGCCAGCATATTAGTCCGTCAGCAGAAAATTCTCCAGGCCGAGAGCGATATATTTGCTGGTGCTGCCGCCCATTTCCAAACCAGGAACATATGGAAAATCCAAGCCGCACGCCGTATCTCGATATGGCAGCCTCGAGGCTACCTCTTCATAGTGGATCGTTCCAGTGCTGTCTGTAGCTCGGGTCGGTCCTTGAGGAGTTCGCTGGCTTCGACATACGTGAACCACTTGCGCTCGCGCTTGTCCTTCTCGGGCCAATCGGGCTCCTCACTCGTGACGGTGGCCTCGTAGAAGCGGTAGAGCGAGCGCGGCTTGTCTTTGGAGTCCTTGCTCGACGAGTGCTTCTTACGCGGGCTCGTCTCGCGGATGTCGCCAAGGTCGTAGTCAATTTGCACCAGGATGCCCGCCTCTTCCCAAGCCTCGCGCGCCGCCGCCTCAGGGCACTCCTCGTCAATCTCCCACCCGCCCTTCGGTAGCACCCAGCCCTTCCGCCTCGTCGACTGGATAAGCATCACGTACGTCTTGTCCTCCGTCAGGGGCACCACCCCAGCGACTAACCGATCGCCTTTCGAGTTGTATCCTGCGAGTGGGTGAAGAAGAGTGACAAGTCAGTTCGACCTGCGCTGTTTGGAGAAGTCGGGAGGGGTGCATGAATGGGCATGCATGCCCTTCCTGCCTCCCCGAGCTCACCGCCTGCCTGGATTTCCTGATTTTCTCCTGCGAGAGCGGGGAGGAACTCACTTTGATTACTCCGCCCAGTCCGCGATTCCATACTGCGGTTGCTTCCACTTCCACTTCCACTTCCACTTCCACTTCCACTTGCCGCCATGGCTCGCAACAAGGCCTCGCGACCCGACTATCAACTTCCCTGAGGTTGTGAAGGGATAATGGAGGATGAGACGTCTGGGGTGGCTTAATCGCCTGCAGCCGTGAAAATGCCTATCGTGACGAAAGGTGATCCGTCTCTAGTTAACGGCAGCCAGCATGGTTGGGTGATGATTGTGCTTTGAGACTATCGCCGAAACCTGCCGTAGACTGGGTTCGTTCAACTTCTAAAACTCGCCAGAAATTTAGGGGCCGGCTAGGAGATAGGTCCGAGGGTGGCCTAGGATCGATGAGACTGAACCCGGCGGGACAACGTCTTGCAGTGGCAAGTGAAACGATCAGACCCAGAATACGTCCAAGGCAACACAGTATAACGACCTCTTGGAAAAAAGCCAGTGTTGTGTGAATGGCGGTGGGAGCGAGTGAGCGAGACGGTTTTCTTGAGGCAGAGTCAGAAGTCTCGTGCAGCAAGTCTCCCCGGCGAGGGAAACAGCACAGTCAACGCTCGAAATGTAGAAGAGAACGTGAAACGGCCGCGAAGGTATTTCGGAGGGTGAAAGAGTGCGCTCGTCGGGTCGAATTGCACGATTTGCGGCTGGAGACTGCGTTTGACGTCGCGCGATACTGGCGCCAAAGCGAAGACTGTTTGGCTTAACGCGCACGCGCTTGGCAAACTGACAACGGTAACGAGGGCGGCCAGACCGCTGGGGCGGGAACACGGTGCGATCCCTGCAGGCTGCAAAGGAGAGAAAAGAGAAAAAATTCGGGGTGACAGCGAGCCTGCAGAAAGGGTCGGCTGGACGTGGTCTGCGAAGAAACTGAGGCGAGGTGGACCAAGGAGGCATGTACCTTATGGAGCAAGGCTTGGTTGAGCACACACCGAGAACTTGGAGAAGCAGACACAGCAGCAAGGAGCGCTGCTGGCGGGCAGGCCGTTGTGGCCCCAGTTCAGCAGATGGAGGGGCAGTCTCTGGGGAAATGAGAGTTGGTCTTTATACTCTAAATATATCCTGGGACGATAGGTGGGGGGAGAAGAGGAGAAAAGAGGACTTGTATTCAAGCCGGAGCCATCGAGGCGAAAAAGACTGTTAACAAGCAGCTCCCTGCATCCTAACCGTACTCGGTGTGCCTCTGCAGCAACAACAGGGGTAGCTTTTGGCCGGACGCTTGCCCAAAAGCCTTCCCCACAGGGCGGCGGCGAGATCTGACGGGCATGACGGAGCCAGTCGTGGGCAGGGAAGAGAGGAAAGGATGGAAGGCAAGAAACGGAAGAGGAAAGGCACCATGAGGGAAAAAGAGGGAAACTCCAACAATAGAGCTTGAAATTTTTTACCAATTCCGAACCGAAGCGGCTGCTAACTAACGAAAATGCTTGGATGCTGCTGCATGGGTGGCTACCGCTGCTTGGGTGTGTGGGGTAGTTGCGGTACGTATCGAATTGACAATGGAAAGAGCAAGGGTCGATTTCTTGTGCCGTCGATTCCGCTTCGGTTCCAGCGCCGAGCGCCGGGATCTCATCCGAGGATTCGCAGGCTTACTGGGACAGCTGTTGATGAGCGTCACCAGGCAGTGGGCTTTTTGTGCATTTCATTAAGATGGCGGGGCCGTTTTTGGGCCCAATGTGCCGCAATGGAAACCAAGAGAACAGGTTCGGGTCACGACCACTGGCCGGTCTTCAGCAAGAATCTCTAAGAGATACCCTAACTACTCCGTGCAGTCCATATATCAAGAAGGCAAGCCCAGCCCAGGTTGTAGTGTATGTTGCGGCTGAGAACCGGACGTGTGGAGGTGTCAATGGGCAATGTGTAAAGTCAATACGGTAGGTTGGTAGTTATCTGAGGCATGCTCTACAGCTGCTGGTAACCATTGTCATGCCTTGCTAGCGAATAGCACGGCATCCTTACTATCCTTCTTGTATTGTACAACATTGTACGCTGTCTTGATTAGCAACAGCAGGTGTGAATCCAAGTTGCAACCTGCAAGCACTGCGTTGGCAGGCTTTTGAGTTACACCAGAACCATATGAACGTGGGGCTCGGGACGGACCTAACGACGGTGAGTTGATGACACGGGTGATTCCTGCCAATCTTCGTAGTGTAGATCTCAGTGCGCTCCTATCGAATATCGATGTATGCCACTATGCCTGGACAGTAAACATTGACTTACATACCAGGTATTTATCTCAATCGGGCAAGCCATCTGGGCACATTTACGGTGAGCAATGTACTTTGAACCCTGAATCCGAGCCGAAGAGACGGTGGTAATCTGCCATTCTTAGGTTGAGCAGTGACTGTATCGACATGATCACAAAGGCAACTCTTTTGGGTTGCTAGACACGTACTGCCTGAGAAGAAATTGTGACCCTTCCTGCTCTGTTTGATTCGAGGATGCCTTGTGCAGAGCTTGACTGAAGGCAGAGTGATGCAGTGAAGCAATGCAAAGGGTAATGCGATGGCAATGCGGGGCAGCGATTCGTCAGGCGGTCGCCATGTGTCTGTTCTGAACGGTGGGGGTCATTCGGTGGGCTGTTTTCTGGGCTTTCTGTTTCGAAGACTCTCTCTTCAACCAACTTAACACAGCCTGGGCAAGCAACCACAGTTGCCTATTTGCGTCGTCCGCATCCAATTTTTCGACAGACGCCCGTCTATTACGCCTGCTTTCCGTTTGTATATAATTAACGATATATACAAACAGCACTACCTTACATACATCTGCAAGCATAGGGTACTTTTGCGCCCCCAATTTCCACACTGCTTGCTGCTCCCTTGCAAAGCCGGGCCGGGTTCGAGAGCGGGGTGTATCGGGCGACCACGAGGTACCTGGTCTCGTCGGGTGACCTCAACGAGGAGTGCCAGCAGCCATTTCTCCCCCGCCTGGTTCACCGTTCTGCAAGCGAGGGGTGGAAGCGCCTGATAGCCCCAGTCTTCGTGGAGCTCCAGGTGAGTGTAGCAGCGGCCCGTTGCTTCCCGGCACCTTACACGTCACAGGAGCCGCGTTCCGTGGTCAGGCCGTATTTCCTGGGCTTGACCGACTCCTGCGACCCCTGGCTCCGAGCCGGCACTTGTATGTACGGTGTCCGGGCCGGGAATCTCCGTCTTCATTCCGGCCGGCCTCCAAAACAGTCGCTGAAGCGCAAAACAGGGCACAGAAACCTAACAAGCGAGCCGCATCACGACATCATCCACAAAGCTTCTGGGCTGTCGCTCCAACACCCCGATCGTTCCGACTTTCTGTCCCGGCTCTTTGCGCCGGCCCCCGGAAGTCTGGGCGGTGCCCATGCCGGCTGAGTCCCACCGGTTAGGGCATGATGGAAGGCACAGACATTCGGACCCCTGGTGATGTTGCACCGCACTACTCTTACATCTTTCCAATCGGTGAGTTCTCTTAATTTTGAGCCATCTCACCCAATTATTCGGGCCATGTGCATCAATGGCACCCTGCCGTTGGCTGTCTCGGGCTTGCAGTCCACGCGATCTCCTCCCGCATTCTGTGTCTCGTGGCTTTTGATGCCGCCATCTGCTTTTTGCACTACACTACAATCCTGAATCCCATACGTGAAGCCGTATTCTGGCCCACAGTCCGCTCGGCTTGTCACCGTGCTAGAAGGGATTATCCCGCGCCCAGTTTGCACTCTATTCTTTTCTACCATCGCGGATTCGCCGGCCCCTCCCGCTTCCCCAACTTTGTCCCCAATTGGAAACATATATTACGTTTCCAGGACCCTGTGGTTTCCCGCATCTCCGTTGCTGTCACGTGTGGTGCATCTCCTTTCAGTCCAGGCTATACAACGACACCTCTCGCACATTGTATACCGTAGGCGCAACGCGGATGCTGACGGCAGCTGACATCAACCTTGACAGGATATAGCAACTCGTCCGAGTGCGGGTACTGCCGCCGGGCTCGCAGTGGTCAGTCTCGAAAACGTGAATATCTCCCTCCTCATCGCAAAACCCGTTCAATACCTGCCCATGCCATCTGTCTCGGCTATGTCGGCCTATCCCTCGTAAATCTCCGAAGGCGTCTGCCTCCCCGCAGATCAGCTTCCGCATCGCTGCTTCTGCACCTCATCCCGTGTCCTGCATGGGGGTCAACCTCTTTGACTAATGGCCCCCTGATGACTCTCAAAGTGCTGTCTAACACCGGTGCTTTTCAGGGTATTCCTATTATGCCATAGCAACATCTTTGACGCCCGCCTTTTACCAGAAGCTGGTCAACCGTTGCTGGAGACGCTCCGGCACTCTCCTCTACCGGCCGAATCAGAAGAGCTCTTGTTGCCCGCACTACACGCTCCGGCTCGATTCGAGCCAGTTCAGACCCACCAAGGACCAACGTCAGGCCGTCAACCGTTTCACCCGCCATGTACTCGGGGAGACGTATGCCAGGGAGGCGGCCCGGCGGTATCCTCGACCCCGCGCCGAGGTGAGACGGCGCAACAACGAATTTGACCTGGTCCAGCGGATCCACGAGCCAGAGGCGCAATCGCTCAAGACTCCACCGCTTCCCGCTCACGAGTTCACCGTCACGCTAGAGCCGGATATCTTCACCGAGGAGAAGTATGAGGTGTTTGAAAACTATCAGCGCAAGGTCCACCAGGAGCCGCCGGACAAGATATCTCGCCATGGGTTCAAGAGGTTTCTCTGTAATTCACCCCTCCGGCGCGAGACGGTGGTGGGTCCGGACGGCGCTGAGCGTCAGCTGGGCTCTTTCCACCAGTGCTACCGCATCGACGGCAAGCTTGTGGCCGTCGGCGTGCTCGATCTTTTACCGGACTGTGTTAGCGCCGTCTACTTTCTGTACCACGAGTCGATCCACTCGTTGAATCCCGGCAAGCTGGGCGCCCTGAGAGAGATTGCCCTGGCCCGCGAGGCGGGCTACCGCTGGTGGTATCCGGGGTACTATGTCCACAATTGTGCCAAGATGAGGTACAAGATTGAGTACCGCCCCCAGTATGTCCTCGACCCAGAAAGCTTAGAGTGGTGTTTGCTTGATAAGGAGCTCCTAGCGCTGTTCGACAAGAACCACTACGTCACATTCTCGGCGAGGACGAGGGGCAAGGAGAGAAGTGGTGGGGACGGAGACGTTGGCACAGCGGCCGAGACACAGAACACCGGCCTGGCTGTCCCCGGTGGAGAAGCCGCTCGGGACACAACACCAACTCGCCACGAGCTGCAGGCCGCAGACCCAGGCCCCCAAAACGAAGTTGAGAACCAGGGTGAGGAAGGCGAGAGTGATGTGGAGCAAGAGGAGCAAGAGGAGTTCCTCCTTGCCAGCAACATGCCCGGCATCCCCTCGCTGGAGGAGATGGAACGGGTCGACATGGATGGGCTGGTGCTCCAGTCCGACTTTTCTGACAACTTCATTGTGGCATCGCACCTGGTGATTTGGGATACTGAGCACGTGTCCCAGTTTGGCACGCTAAAATCCAGGATCGCCGAGCTGGTGGCGGCCGTCGGCCCAGACCTGATTGGCGAGATCTGTATCGACTTTAGGAAGGCAAAGTGAATCGTCTACACGTTTAGGGCTGTCTGGGCAGGGTGGCGGTGGAGCAGTTGGGGGGTTAGCATCAGCCAACTCCTGCGGAGGGAGGAGGGCCAGTCAGGTCGGTAGGTGGGATGGGTTTGGGGGTGTTTCTCGACAAAGCCATGTCCTGCAGCGAAGAAAAATCTGGTATCAACCTCAAAAGGTGGTGTGGTTTCTGCAGACTCCTGAAGACCGGGCGAACTCCTTACAAAAGTGTAAATAGCAACCGTTCTCGGTAAGCGAATCTGGAACGGTGTGGAATTCCTATGGCAGGAATACGGTTCCATCGATTTGATATATTTTATTATGTTTTCCTTAGTTCGTCTTCCCCTCGATGTCTCTTCTCTCATGGTGTCGCGTGACATTGCTGCTTTCGTTCCTCGGTGAAGCTTGCGTGGGGGAACTTGTTTACATACTCGGCTTCGATGTATGTACAGTACTGTACCCAACTTCTCCACTAAAGGGGGCAGGGGCTGGTCCAGTAGCTTGGCACCGTCTACTGCACCCCTGAGACCGGGTAGGAATGTAGGGAGTAGTAGCGTCGTCACCATCAGCCACGTACCAAAGTTGGGAAGGCTTTTCGCCTCCAAAGCAGGACCATGGCGCATGTGGGAATAAGTTGGGGTACATACATACGCACATACCATACATACATGCACTACATGCAGAAGGGGGCGCTCACCGGGTATCGATCGGTGACTAACGTGTGATCATGTACGTATGTATGTGCTACTGAGTAGTGTAGTGTAGGGCTCAAGGGACGACGCTTTGCCGCGTTTTTCCATTGGATCTTGCACCTGTGGGGTTGAGATGTCTACACTTGCACCAGAGGCCGTCCAAAAAGACCGGGCAGTTGAGTCGCTTGGGAGTGTCTTACCTAAGAGATAACGTTATGTCTCGCTGTCGTGTGCCAAATCGAGAAGGCACCCGATCGGGCGTTCGCTCTGCTCCCCGCCATACACGTGTAGGGCTCTCTTGCTTGTGGGGGGTTGTAGTTTTTTTTCTGGGGGGTCATGGCAAATGGGATGGGAGGCCGATATGGGCTCGTGAGGCCATCCATGAGATTTTTGGGTTGCTTCAACTTCAGACGTGGTCCTACACTAGCCCCCAGTCTGTCTATCTGAATGTCTTTGGTTCTCAGGACCCTCTTCGAGCCCCAGCTCTCTGACCACAACCTCGTTTGCTTTCTCTACCCGGGTGCGTACAAACGGGCTGTGTTGTTGTGCATGCTTCCAGTAAGTGATGAGCTGCGCTATTTGGTGTGCCGCGGTTTTGTTTTGAAAGCTGGGAGGGCTGTTTGCATCCATCGTGCCTGCTCTGGAGTAAACGGCTCAGGGAGAGCGACACCAACGGTCCCAGTCAAGGGTTGAGACCGATCTTGAGCTCATCTTGACACGGGAGGACTTTAGCATCGGCACATTGGCGCCCCTAAGCGATTGTGATTTGGTATATGATATATGGTATACAGCTCAGTTAGACAAGGGGAATGCTACGAAACTAGGTAGCATTCTCGCCTCGCTTACAGGCTTTTTAGCTCTGCTCGAAATATAAGAGTGCAGAGATGGAGGCACTCTATACGAGATGGTGTGACGGTAGACTCCTTGGACGCGGGAAACGGCCATTCCTGATGGCGTCTACAGGGCTAGCCTGCAGTGAGCCTCATAGTCCACTTCTGAGCTTCTGAAGTTGGCTGATGAGACCATAAGCACCGTACCCTTTATTCTCGGACTGACCAGTGTCAGCATCTGCATTACGCCTTGTTGAGCCTGTCTCCATATCGGGTTTCGCATCGTCGCGTCGAGTCGACTGCTCCACATCCCTCAGTAGCTCCCTGTGTCTGTCCTCGACCATCTTGGCCAGGCTCTCAATGAACTTTGTGCGGCCTTTCTCCTCGGCCGTCCCCTTCCACACGGTTACCAACTCCTTGAGCTCTTCAATCCGGTGGGCGGCGTCCTCGATGCCCTTGATCGGATCCGACTTATTGTTGAGGAGACGGGCAATCTCCTCCCGGAGGGATTGGAGAACTTGCTGCCCCTTCTCCTCCGTGCTGTGGTTCTCCCCACCGGCATCCGGAGCCGAGACTGACAGGAACGAAGAGCTGACTGACACTTCGGAGGGTGGAAACACAAACTCCATTGCATGCCCGAACGTCTTGATGACCGACTCCAGGCGGGCGCGCACAAGCGTCAGAGTGCGTAACTGTGTGATGTAGGGTGGCTCTTCCGGTAGAGCTGCTCCAGGTTCAGGTGGACCGCCTCCTGATGCTACTGGCCCTGGCGGTGGTACGACGGAGAGACGTCTCTGGTGAGAAGCGCCGTCATGGCTTGCGGCTGCCGCAGAGACTGAGGTCCGCGAATCTGCAATGCTCTCCTGGATCCCTCCAGGCACGAACTTTGCGATTTCGTCATTCAACCGATCGGATAGAGTCTCGGCCAAACCAAGGGTCTCTCCGCGCAAGACTTCCACCTCGTAGGCTAACCGACCACCGCTTCGTAGGATATCGTTGGTGAGTTCGGTCAGGGTATTGGTAAGCCTGGTGGTATGTGCATTGAGCTGGGAGAGCACCGTCTGGGCATGGATCGAAACACTGGCCAGGGGCATTGCTCCCTGCTGCGCTGCACCGCCATGGCCTGCCCGATTTGAGGTCTGCAACGGCGGCAATGTGGCGTTGAGATAGGATGCAGCATCAAAAGACGGGCTCAAGAAATCGTGCAAAAATGGATCGGCCACATGGGGTGATTTGGCCCGAACAGGGAGCTTTGACTGCTGCCTTGCGTGCACTGCAGCGCTTCTGGTGCCTGACGCGGCGCTGCTTTGTCGCCGACGTGATGATTTAGAATCCCATGCCATGTTTTGCTTAAGGACGAGTTGGGCTCATTCAGAGAATACGATGCGTCTCGATTGCGCACAACTTTCGGGCTGGATGCTACGGTTAACGATGTGCTCATTTGCCATGTTACGGTTTATGAGTGCAGTGGTGTGGTGATGGCGATTGGGAGAAGGGGTGTAGGTATCTTAGTTAAAGGGACTTAGATGCAATAGCCCCACAGCCAATCTTGTGACAGTTGACACCAGTTGGCGGTAGAAGCGTTGTTCCGTGTCTGGTGGTACTTCGTGTGTTAGATAACCACTGGTGCTCCCACAATCAACGACACCTCATTCTTCATGTGAAAGTTACCTGCGAAGCCTATGAACCATGGCGGCGTTCCGCAGACAGTTGGGATGGATGACTGGTGGTTGCCTTGGCTGCCCTTGTGTTTCCATCAATCCAATGCCAACACTTGTCGGACTGGGATGATGCAGCCTGGCGCATCAGGACATCAGGAGGGATAATGGAGTTCGGCAGCCTTGCAGTATGCAAAGGGATCTTACCTTTTGCCATGCAGCGGGCTGTCAAACCTTAATGGAACATTTGCTCATTCAAGTGAATGAAGGGATTCTTGGAAACTTCCAAAGCCTTGTATTTGGAACTGGGTTTCACCCTAAGCGACGAGTCGCAGTAGCCACCCGCCGTGGCCCTGCGGCAGCTTAGACGTGCTTAAGCGGACCATGACTGGCGTCGGGATCCCATCTTTTCAGATCGACCGTTGTCAACCGTGAGCACCTGCCTATTGTTGATCGAACTATCAAAAAAATGCTGTCGATGACCTGTGTACTCACTCTCTTCCTTCTGATTACTTCCAAGGCAGATTTCTCCCAAGCGATAAACGACCATCGCTTTCGTACCTGACCTCGATCTCCTGACCGCGACTACAATTAACATTCTTCTACGACGAGGCTGGATGAAACCCAGCGATTCCCACTACTGACAGCCATGAGCTTCAAGAAATTCAAATCCGATGTCTCGACAGCAGCCCAGAAGGTCGCTACTGGCGCCGTTGCTAGCGTCTTGTCAGTTGGGGCCGGCGACTCTGACGGCGAAGTTGTGATTACATACCGCCACGATAGCCTCCCCGCAGATCTGAAGATACAGGCACTCGCCCAGGATCTCAGCGAGTATCCCGACGGAAACATGTTCATGCTTTGGATTGCCGACGACTGTGACCTGCTGCAGCCCGTGCTGACCGCTATCAAAGCTACCCAGGACTACCTCCTAGGACTGTCTGTCTACGAGATGGTTATTGAGGTAGCAAGCCGTATCAGAAAGGAGCTTGGCCAGTCCAAGCAGGACGGGGACGGCAAGGAGTCACATGCTGACGCCGAGGCTGATGAGCACGAAGACCATGATTTCGACAACTTCGATGACGCAGACGACGACAGCCAATTTTCGATTGAAAACGGATTCGGGTTGACACCCTGGACTTCCGAGCCCGTTTCGGAGCAGTCGACGCTATCCGAACATCAGCAGCGAGTGTTAAGTCGCATCAGGCGGGACCTCCGCCAGGTCAAACATGCCGGCTACAAAGTTGGCTTCCTCGACGGCTTTGGCCAAACCTCCATTCTCGGCCATGTGTCCATCTCCATCCGCGTCGACAAGCTGGCGCTGTCAGACGAGGCAATGGAGGCCTGGGGCGTCAACCCGGGCGAGTACATTGTGCTCCTTCTCCGGTTTGAGAAGGGCTACATTCCCTTGGAACGCGTTCTCGAACTTCCGGCGAGCCAAACTGACATCAAGTTTCGCATTGGCAAGTCCAAAAGGCACAAACCCTCTCTAGCCCAAGCGCTGGCCGCCTTCGTCGAGGCTACCCAGACAATGCCAACGGCTAATGCGGACATCGGCGGGGAGGACTTGGATTCCCTCAGCGATAACTTTGAGAAACTCTTCATATCCAACTCACTAGACGACTTTCTGAACGGGAGTTTCATATCGTTGTTGAAACTCCGAAGATCCCTTGGGGTAGACTGGGAGAAGGCGAATGAGTCTTTGCTACAAAAGATCTTGCAACTCCCCGCAAAAGAGGTGCTCAGTGACTCTGCAGAGGCAGAGAACTGCAGTGGCGGGCCTCCTGGTTTCAATATAGACCAAGGACGACATCGAGTTCTGGCTTCGGACCACCTCATTGAGAGTGGTCCGGCCGATGAGCACAGCCTACCGCTCATTGCAGTGCAGTTCGCCATGCGGTACTTTGTCAAATGTACCGAATACTGCCTAAGATGCCATCGCCGACTCGAGAAGGGCTTCCAAGCTCTCCGGCCATACGTCTGCTCCACCCCACTATGCTTGTTCCAGTACATGGCCATGGGATTTGGTCCCTCCATCGAACACGAGATCCTCACGGAGCCCTACGTTGTTGACCTCCTGGTCAGTTTGTGCTACGCAGCTATCCAGCCATACTACTCACTCGCCAGTCGTTTGCCGGCATCCAACCCGCCTGCTCCGAAACCTAGCCTCCCGATCCGATCCCTCCCGGCTGGATTGAAACTACAGGTCCCGCATCTATCTAATCCGGAGCCAAAATCACTAACAGCCCAGTTAGTCGGCGATAGTCTTCTGTTTGAGCATGAGGACGCCAGAAAATTGGCTGAGAGATTGGCCCCGGCGAGATGGGTTGCGTTCCGCAAGCCACCATCACAGCCTAGTATTACCCAGCATGCGCGCATAGTCGAAATTGACTATGACGCCAAAAGAGCTGTGGTGGAAATAATGGTAGGTATTTGCCTTCTGTCTTGTTAGCGTCCGGCTTCATGCCTGTCTCTGGGACCAGGGATAGAGCAGTTCTGAATTACCCCTATTTCCGTAAGTAGGGAAGAAATAGTATGACTGACCAGATCTATAGGGCGAATCAGCCGCCCACTGGACTGCAGATTCGCCCAACAATAAGGGCGCCGACCAACCGCATGCACGCTCGCGTCAGGCGGAGAAGATGGAAGATGGGGACTATTGCGACGTTTTTCCCTACGATACTGACTTCGACTCACTGGACGAAAGCGACAAAGGGATTGCCATGCGCCACATCTTGGACACGCTTCCATCCATCCTCGAAATGAAAGACTGGCTGACGAGCCACCCTGGGTCCAGAATCCGCTCGATGGAGCGCATTTCCCCGGCTGCGGAATCACTCCTGAATTGGATTGTTTCCTCTAACCGCTCATGTATCTTCCAAGTCGGCGGATCGCAGGATGCCATGTCGAATCTCCTTCCCGAGCCAGCAGGCAAAGCTAGAGGCAGGGAGCACGAGTGGATTCCGGGCTTGGATGGTTGGATGCAGTTCCGCTTCGCTCAAGGCTCGCCCGACAAGGAATTGCGGTTCAACCGGGCACTCAAAGAGGTAGCCGAGACAAAATCTCTCGGTGCCCACCCAACTATTCTTGCCTGGCATGGGAGCAACTTGGCGAACTGGCACAGCATTGTACGAACCGGCTTGGACTACCAGGATATCAGGTCTGGCCGCGCCTACGGGCACGGCGTCTACTTCAGCCGTCACTTCTCCACGAGCATAGGCTACACAGGGTCCGCCCAATATTGGCCGAACTCAGACCTCAAGCTCATCAACTGCTTGAGTTTGAACGAGATTATCAATGCGCCCGAAAAATTCGTGTCGAAAGACCCTCACTACGTGGTATCCCAACTCGACTGGCATCAGTGTCGCTATCTGTTTGTACAGACAAGCCGTACGGTCAGAGGACCGACCAAGCAGCCGAGCGCTAAGATAGCAGACAGCCGGGCTTTATATCCGCAAGCACCAGGTTTTGAGGTCTATGGACCGTCTAACCAGATACTGAAGATCCCCTTGTCTGCCATCCCTCCTCGAACCATTGGCCTAGGGGGTGTAAAGACTTTGGGCCCTTCAAAGCGACCAATACAGCGGCTGGAAGACAGCGACGATGAGGATGCCGAGGATATCTCGCTGTTGTTGAGCGACGACGAATTCAATGCTTGTCGCAACCCGCCTGGCAAAAAATCGGCCTCGCATGCCTCTAGTCTGGACACTGAGGTCACCCGAGAGCGGTGCGTAATTCCCTGTGACCCTGTACTGCTGAAGAAGCTAACGCATGACCAAAGAGGTGGCGCGCGCCCGCCTACGCCGGCTAGTGTTGACAGGTCGCTTACCGACTTTGAGCCGGGTACGCTTGATCTGACGACGTTGCCTCGTCTCGGCGCTCCCTCATTCGCAACAGATGCGGCTGGCCGAGTGCTGAGCCGGGAATTACGAAAATTGCAGAGCATCCAGGCCAAGACGGCCCTCCACGAGCTGGGTTGGTACATGGACTTTGACCAGGTTACCAACCTCTTCCAGTGGATCGTTGAGCTCCACAGTTTCGACCCGGCGCTGCCGCTGGCGCAGGACATGAAGCGGACCGGCATCACGTCCATTGTGGTCGAGGTGCGCTTCGGCGCCAATTTCCCCCTTAGCCCCCCCTTTGTGCGCGTTATCCGCCCGCGGTTCCTCCCTTTCGCCATGGGCGGCGGCGGGCACGTCACGGCGGGCGGCGCCATGTGCATGCAGCTACTGACCGACTCCGGCTGGAGCCCCGCCTACAGCATGGAGAGCGTTCTTTTAGAGGTCCGGCTCGCCCTCTGCAATCCCGAGCCCAGGCCGGCGCGGCTGCAGAACGCGACGCAGAAGAACGTGGCCCCGCTCGACTATGGCGTTGAGGAAGCGATCGAGGCGTATATTCGCGCCGCGAGGTCGCATAACTGGAAGGTACCCGCGGGTCTTCGGCAGACGGCCAGCGGCGTTTAAGGGGGAGTGGGCGGTATGATCTTGGTGCCGGTTAAGGAATTGCTTGGTGGTCAAGGAGGATTCCTACCCAATCTGCTTTGGCAAGATCGCTGGCTCATCCACTCATCCGGTGTAGGTTGGACGGCACAAATGGGTGCGCTGGGCCAGCGTAGATGGCCGTTATGCGCCACGAATCAGCGAGGAGGTCAATCTGCTTTCTTTTCACCTTTGGCATGTAGCCTAGCGAGCCGAGCTTCCATGGAAGCGCCAAGGAAGGATAATAATTGATCTGATTTCCCTCGGGGCCTTGATGGGTGTACTTGCTCTCCTGGTTGTGACACTGAATTTGCCCCGGCCAGTCCTCAAAAATGATTTACGCATGGAATGGTAAACACCTTGCCGCAGGGCGGTGCTCAGTGCAGCTTGAACCATCCGCTGTTGCCATCTTGTTCTTTTAATCCTTCTCCATGTCTTGGTCCAGTGGAATGACTGCAAACCGACGCTTTCTGATTCAATGACACGAACAGGATTCTCCCGAGCATTCGGTGCCCACAAACTGGATAGACAAGAATGAGCCAGAATGCACAAGAATAGCAATGCTTATTATGAAATGAGAAAGTGACTAGGGAATCATTTCATCGCATCGCCAAGCACGGTCTAGTAGTCATGATATGATACAAGTGTGCTCAAAAGCTCTTCTACAAGCCGCCCCGTCTAATGCCACAAAATTAAACGAGCAACTCCTCCGAAATTTATGAGTATTAATACAACCACAGGCACGAACCCCATTACGCCCGCAGTCTATGCCGTCGCCTCCTTGAGGTAGCTGTACGGGACAGAAGTTAGCATCAAAGACAGCAAAAAGCCCTTGGGGTGTTGCGGAAAAAAACGTACGTGATGAGGTCGTTCCTGTCCTTGTCCTTCTTGAGACCGCCAAAGGCCATCTTGGTGCCGGGGATGTATTTCTTGGGGTTCTCGAGGTACTCAAAGAGGGTGTTCTCGTCCCATGTGATGCCCTTGCCCTTGTTGGCATCGGTGTATGCGTAGCCCTCGACGGAACCCGTCTTGCGGCCAAACAGGCCGTGGAGCGCGGGGCCGATCTTGTTGCCGCCGCCGGCCTCGAGCGTGTGGCACTGCGCGCAGCGTGTCTTGAAAAGGTTGGCTCCCTTCTTGGAGTCGCCTGTTTTGCGCTATCTGTTAGCCCCGAATTTGTTTGGAAACATAGCATCCTGGTGGTTCCGGTGTGTGTGCGGTCTCTTGCTTGGTGATGAGCTCATTCCCAATCTGTACTACACCCTTTGCCATTCTGCAGATCGGCTCCCGTGCTCTAGAAAATGGCGCAGCAGCAGCGGCGGCGGCAGCCGAGATGCGCTGGCTGAGGGGAGGCGGTAACAGCGGACAGAGAGTGTATGTCTCGAGGAATTCGACTTGGAATTGCTAGGCGAGACGCTCATGGCACCAATCAGCCCGGTATGGGGAACCAATGGCTGAAGGCAGCCGAGCTAGATCACTTCCCGCGAACCTTGTGCCAGAGCCGAGGTGGATGACGCGCAAAGGGAAACAGGAATTGCAAAACCCACCTTGGCTGAAGCCCATTTTGACGGTTGGTGATGTGTTAAGTAATTATAGAAATGTGAAGGAAAGTGCGGTGTTGGTGAGGGTACCCAAGGTGCTGTGTTTTGAAAAGACTGATCGCAAGTCCTGAGGGAAGGGAAAATGGTTCAAGAAAAAAATCAGGATTGATGAGGCGTTAAAGTTGACTTGTACTTTGTAGCCCTGCATCGGTGCCATGCCGACAAAAATTACCTAGCGTCCAACCATCACCTCAGCCAAGGTCGCGTCATCCCAAAAAGTGCCACAGCCGGCGCTGGAGAAACGCCCCACTAATTGGGAGAATTGGCCAATCACACTCCGACCGTTAGTCATTCTGACGGGCAAAGCCGGAAGTTGCCCGACAGCTGTGTCCCGTCGTCCGAAACTCTCGGCTTCCTGGGCTGCCGGGCCTAGCCAGCTGGCAATGGAGTTCTCGCAAAACCAAACTACGAGATAGAAATGCGCTAGCCAGAACGGGTGCAGTGGCATTTTTTTCCGGTCCACTGGTGACTGGGCGAACATGTTCCCGATTGAGCCTCAACCAACGTCCGACTGCTCCGCCAATTGCCGCTTTTCAGGGCCAAACGAGGTGTCACGCGCCGTCGACTGGGAGCCGGTGCTTTGTTCCTTGAGCCAGAAGATACCGGAGATCCCAACATTGTGGCAAGCCGGGTGCTGGATCTGGACCGGACCCGGTCCGCTCAAAAGTTAGAAGCCCGTCTTCCCCGGAAGCTAGGGCCATGGCTTCCGTCACGGCGTCCATACCACGGTTCCTGCTGCCGCAGTCCGGCCTGATATGGCGCCGGGTTCCATCACCCGCCGCCACCACCACCACCACCCGCCGTATCTCTGTCCGGTTAGCTTCCAGCAGCAGCAGCAGCAGCAGCAAAGCACCTGGGCCCCGTGTGCTCGCAAAACCCGAGCGCTTTAACCCCCCCTCGCATGGCGCCCGCCTGCCCAAGAAAACATCACCGCGGCACTATGGCGGCGACCTCAGTGCTGCCGAGATCAGAGTCCAACAACAGACCGACTACCCGGGCATGGCGCCACCCAAGGGGACATGGGCGCACTGGTTTATTCACAACCGCTGGCTCCACGTGGCCATCACTGTGGTGCGTAGCATCTTTCACTTTTGGGCCCTTTCTTCCCCCAACTGTCTCTAACCTTCACACCACCTTTGCAGGGAACCCTAAGTGGTTTAGCAATCTGGACCTTCGCACTGAACTTCACACACACCTCGCCCTTTGCCGACATGTTGCCGCCGCTCGAGGACTACCTCTGGCACCCCATCAGCTCGGTGAGCGCGCTGATCGAGGTGCTGCGGCTGCACGAGGCGCACAAGAACGCCATGATTAGCGAGAAGCGCAAGCGCCTTGTCGACGACGTGGCCAAGCGGGCCGCCTACCGCAAGGCGCACGGCCTGCCGGAGGAGATGGGCTTCTTTAAGGACAAGCCGATGACCAAGAGCAAGGCGGACGAGGAGATGGCGCAGCAACAGATCGACGAGGGAGAAACGGAAGGGGTAGCAGTAGAAGGGCAAGCGGATGCCTCCCATGAGGACGAAAAGGGGCGCCGGCTGACGGAGGAGGAGAGACAAGAGGTTGTGGTCAAGACCAAGCAGAAATGGATGGGTATCTGGTAAACCTTGGGGCTCTAACTAGCCGTGTACAACGGGCTTTGTACATGCAAAGGTATTGTACAGTACAGTTCTGGGACGGGGCGGATCGGGAGGGAGGGTAGGCTGGCTGGTTATGGACGGCAAATGAAAATGTAAAAAGGGATCGCTTCCGTCACCCATTGTCCGCCCTTCCCTTCTCTCTCTGCCCTCTACTCGTTCAACTGCCCCCTTTCCCTAACCCAACTCCACCCCCTCCAAGGCATCAAACACCTCATCCACCACTCCACCCCGTTCAAGCGCCTTCTGCACCAGCGCCGCCATAACCGCTCTCTTCGCCCCGCCCCGGGGAGCCCTCCACACACCCTCAACGACCGCCTCCCCTTCGGCCACCGCGGTCCTGCCCTCGGTCGCCTTGCCATTGCCGTTGCCCGCAACGCCATACGCAGCGTTACTCGAGTTTGCCACGCCGGGCGGAGTGAGCCTCGAGGGCGGGTCGACGGTCCTGATGGACAGCAGCCGCAGGTTCCTCCCCTTCTTTTCTTTTACGTCCATGCTGTCGTCGCCGTCGCCGTCGTCATTTTCGTCAGACCGGGTGGAGGAGGTGACAGAAACCGCAAGCGCCGCGTCGGCAACGGCCAGTTCCTCCTTGGAGGGGTCGAAGAGTATGTTGTTTGCTACGGCCATGACGAGGAGGGTTATGGGTGGGCGGGTAGCGGGGGAGCGGGGTGCCGATTTGGCTGTGGGCGTGGCTGTCTGTTGGCGGGGGTAGAGATATGGGGCGGCGGCCCAGTCGTCGTCGAAAAAGGGATCTTCGTCGCCCTCGGATTTGAGACGCGGTAGCCGGGTTGAGAGCAGCGCTAAGTGGGTTGTTAGCGAGAGTAGGGGGAGAGGGTACGACAACGGCGGCGAGATGAGGATTATCTGGACGTTTGCAAGGACAGATTGTTAGTTGATAGAAGGCGATGCGGGGGGACTTTTCTTTTCTGCGGGCAAATGGCGTACGTCGAGATAGAGCTTCCAGTGAAACCGTCGGTTGATCCATAACCTTTTCACGAGCCCCCCATCAGCGAGCAGCGCTTCGCTCAGCATGGCGGCGAGGAAGGCGGTTGCTGAATCGTCGTCTCGTAGACCGGGGATCTCAACCGTCAGTTCTATCCAGTCAGACTCCCCCGTTCTTGTAATATCGTCCGTTTCCTCTTCCTCGCCGTCATCGCCGGCTCCCTCCACAAACACCGTCTCGTCGTCGTGTCGTGACCTTGTCTTCTCCACCTCGGCTTTCACTCCCACAATCGCCTCGGTGCCGTCGGCAAAACAGATACGCGCGCTACCATTGGTGCCGGGTAGGATGCCCGTCTCGGCAACGAGGGGCCGGAACTGGGTGGGCGTCCGGCCATCGGGCCGGATGGGCGGTGTTAGGGAGAGGGAGGAGTGCAGGTACGCTAATTCGGCCGGGGAAAGGAGGACGTGCTGTGCCGATGCCATACTTGGATGCAATTGGGGTTTCGGCGGATTGGTTGCTGCGAAGAACCGCGCCGTTGAAAGGGTTGAAGAGAGCTCCCTTGAAGAAGGGAGAGCTCTCTCGGCGGTTTGTTAGTGGGGTTGTCTGGGCTGCTGAAATTCCTGTATCATTGTATGGAAACTTTTATCATTGTATGGAAACTTTTACGATAAGGATGGATAACGATGCCAATACCACCCTAACCCTTATGTTTTCCAGCTTGATGCCCCCCTTGATCTGAAGACACTGCCCCCTCTGTTCCGTTCGCTTCGTTGACTGACATGGGAGTACGTATGTAAGGAGTCTCTTAGCTCTTCTAAAACCAAATTCATTCCGCACACATGTAGCTCCCCAAATATACGAACCAGCTCATACACAGAACACCAGAGACTATCCGTATATCACTACAGGTTAGGTATGCTAACGACCTACTAGCCAGCAAGGCTGTAGTACTTCTCCGTGTCTTTGACGCTCGGCTTGACCTCGCGCAGTGCCTTCTCCCAGTCCTCCATGGTAATGACGGGTTCCACGTCCTCATCCCCTCCCATCTTCTTGGTCAGATACGCCCTCTCCAAGCACGCCTGCGCGGCCGCCTGCATGAGGTTCCCTAGGTCGGCGCCTGAGAAGCCGTTGCAGCGCATGTCGCGCGCCACCTTCTCCAGATCCGCCTCTCTAGTGCCCTTAGTAGCCATGCTTCCGGTCTCTGCCATGTCCAGATCCATGCTGCTGCTGCCGGCGGCATTTTTCTTGGCGGCGGCGGTTCTGGCCCTAGCCCTCGTGACTGAATTTCTGTACAGCGTCTTGAGGATATCGACGCGGTCGTCGGCCGAAGGCAGGCCGACGTAGATACTCGTGCCGAGGCGGCCGGGCCGGCGGATGGCCTCGTCAATGATGTCCGGGCGGTTGGTGGCGCCGATGACGTAGATGCCGCTGCGGTCGCCGACGCCGTCGAGCTCGGTGAGCAGCGTGTTGACGACGCGGGCGCTGGCGTCGCTGAGCGAGTCGTCGCGCTTGGGCACGAGGGCGTCCATTTCGTCAAAGAAGAGGATGCACGGCGCCGAAGACTTGGCCCGCGCAAAGAGCTGCCGCACCGCCCGCTCCGACTCGCCCACGTACTTGTTGAGCAGCTCCGGGCCCTTGATGGAAATGAAGTTTGCTTTCGACTCGTTGGCAACGGCCTTGGCGACCAGCGTCTTGCCGCAGCCTGGCGGGCCCCAAAGTAGGATGCCAGCTGCAGGCTTGATGCCCACTCTCCTGAAGAGTTCGGGGTCTTTGATGGGGCCGATGATGGACATTTCGAGCTTCTTGCGAACGTCGTCGAGAGCGCCGACGTCGGACCAGGTCGTGTCCGGGATGGTGCTGAATCCTTCACGCTTCGAGGCCGGTTGGACGCGCGATACGGCGGTTTTGAATTGGGACATGGTGATGCGGCTCTCGCCCCATGAGGCCGTGCGGTGGTCTTCAAGGAGGAGCCAGTCGCGCTGCTTCTGGGTCGCGTTGGGAAGGAAGTCTGGCGGGCGCAGTTTCCGGGCATGGTCGATGAGCTGGGCGAGGTTTCCCCCGAAGCTCTCCGACACTGCTGCCTTGACCACGTACTGTAAGTCGCTGCCGACGTAACCGGGCGTCATTTTGGCCAGCTCCTTGAAGTTGACATCTTCATCTAGATTGAGGTCCCGCGACAAAGAGCGAAGGATCTCTTCGCGCGCCCGCTCACTGGGCATGCCCATGTCGATCTCGGCGCTGAAACGGCGCCGGATGGCTGGGTCTAAGAAGTCAGGCCGATTGGTGGCGGCGAGGACCACGACGTTCTTCCCCAGCGGCGTATTTTGCTTGATCCGGTCCATACCATTCATGATCTCAGCGACGATGCGGCTTTCCATGCCCTTGTTGGCACTTTCCCGCTTGCCCGCAATCGAGTCGATCTCATCGAAGAAGACGAGGCAAGGCGCGAGCCGGATGGCCTCGTCAAAGACGTCACGGATATTCTTCTCCGATTCACCCGAGGTGCCGCCAACCACTGACGGTGCAGATACCGGAATAAAGGCGGTGCCTACGCTGGCCGCAACGGCATGGGCGAGGGTGGTCTTTCCACAGCCCGAGGGTCCGTGGAGCAGAACACCGTTATCGTAGCGGTAGCCCATTTTTTCGCACGCCTCGCCTGCGCACAGCGGAAACCAAACCTCGTGCAGTAGCCTCTCGAGGGTGTCGTCGACACCCGCAATATCCAGGATGGAGACTTTGTTGGGAGGACTCCGGTCAACCTCTTTGAGCACGCCTTTCCTCTTCTTGGGCTTCGGTTCGCCATTAGCTTGCCTATCAGCTGTAAAAACAGGTGCGACACCACTGGCGGCGGTGGTGGTAGGGCCGGCGCCTGCTGCATTTGTTGTCAGCATCTCTGGTGCCGGGGGCGCCCCGGGCATCGTAGCCGGTGTAGCGACAGGCGTCGTAGTTCCGCTTGACATGGCGCCCTTATCAGACCCGAACCGCCAAGACTTGGCGATCTGGCGATTCAGCAGGTTGGAATCGCGCTCTGCCTTGGCCAGCCTCTCACGCTCCTTTTCTTGAGCCTCGAGCAAGTCGTCTGAGTCCTCCTCCTCATCGGCCACGGCCTGGTCTTTCCGCAGCGCCAGTACTCGCTCAATCGAGTCCTCAAGGGGCCGCTTCTTTTGCCGCGCCAAGCTTGAATTTGACCGTTTTATGCTCTCGTAGACCGAGCTCACCGTGAGACGGGGTTTGCGCCCGTCGTCCTGTCCTTCTTCCTCGAGCTTGAGCACGATCTGGTACACATCGCGGTCCAAACCCAGTCTCAGGTTCGGACGTCGCGACATGACGGGATTTTATGAGACATATGCTGATCTATAAACCGATCCCGCCGGCCAGGCGCCGTGTCGCATGAGCCGTCCAAAAGTCTAAGATTTATCCAGAACTCCAGGGAAGGAGCCTTGTGTGAAAGGAGTATCACATAATTAGGTGAAAATCTATCTAAGCGTTCATGCGAGGGAATTGTGGGCAACCCTGGGAGCTACCGCACGCTTAAGAGCATGTTATGCATGTACGAAGTAAGCCACCGTAATGTAATCTTAGGGTACTGCACCCGGGATACAAATGTTACCTAGACTCCTCGGGAGATTTTGATCAAGTCTCCTTTGATCCTGTGAAATGATGCTTCTTTAACATTCTTTCTGTATCTTTGAATCAATATAACGTTGGCATCATTCAGTATCTTAGCATCTTACTAAGAAGCTGGTTGTTATAGTTGTTGGTAGTATAGTACACCGAGGTCCTACATACGTTACAGTACAATACCCTTACACTAGTGCGGATACACTGCGGCAGGGGTCGAGGCACACAAAACAGTGACGGTTAAACGACTTATTTGTTGTCTGCTGAAGGTAGAGAACTTGAACTCGACTCATCAATCTTGCTCCTCTCATAACCTGGCTCATTGTCTCTCATCGCTTGTCGCTGTCTCTCTGAAAGGCTCGGCAGTTCGTAATCACAGCGCCTTCCCTCTTCCCCCAACGCCATTCCATAACAATGAATACCTAAATGTTAGTCACAAGCTATGTGCTCTCATCTCCTGACATGTATGTTAAACCTCCTTCCACAATACACCTTCCTGCTTAAAAGCTGAGCAAGAGCATGCGAAAGAAAGGGACACGAACTCAGACAAAGCCTGTTCCAGCCTTCTTGACAGGTTCACTTGTATGATACCTGATATGCGCCAACAACAGACCACCAGCCACCAACCAACCGAAAAGGTAGGAACCCGTGTGAAGAGTCTGGTATTGCTCTTATGCCTGCCCAGCCCAATCAACCGAGTCGAGAGGTCCTCGAACTGGGATGGAAGTTGTAGAGAAACAAGAAATAAGACGAACCAACGCCAGTGCCCTATGCTGCGATATGGCATGATATGCTATGAAGTTTCAGAATGAAGAAAGGCCCGGATAAAAAAAGTATGTATACTCGCAAGCCTCTTTCCTTTGCATGCAGCCATCCATTCCAGACCCACATAACGCCCCAAGTTGTACAACCCAAGTCAATAAAGCGGATGGTTTCAATTGATCAAAATTGTTTCGCGAAAAGACAAGAAAAAAAAGTAACTCCGCCTGTTAGCAGCCCAGTGCCAGGTGCGAGGTGCTAGTTCGGCCGCCGGTGATCGTCCATGGCCTTGATGCGCTTTTTCAGGAACTCAAACGAGGAGAAAAAGACCGCATTGACAGCGCATGACCGGCCCATTGACACGCCCAGGCCGCGGTACATGTTGCGCTGGAAGAAGGCAATCTTGACCGGCTCAACTTTCTGGCCCTTGGAATACATGAGTGAGTTGCGCTGATAGATGCTTTTTGCAGAGTCGACTGGGTCTGGGCAAAGACTTGAGTTAGCAAGACAAAATAGGGAGAAGGCAGCTTATATGACGAAGCAAACATCGGGGTCTTGGACGGGGAAGTGGGCTTACAGATTAGGGCCCACGACACGATACCACAGAGTCCGCCTGCCACCAGAACCGCCAATGGGTTGGAGTGAGTGCCATCACCGCCGAAGGTGGTTAGGAGCTGCTTGCTGCTTTCGTAGGTCATGAAATATGTCCCTGTCCCAAGGGTATCGCGTACTGCAGGAAGCGAATCGGTTACTTCGAGCTTTCCAACTGAGCAGAGCAGGGCTACTTACGAAGGTGTAGCCTGAACCCAGTATATAGCCCGCCGAACCCTCTATGCTTGACGATGTTCCCTAGTGTCTTCAACGTCCCCTTGTTCTGATAGCTCGCTGCAATTGCATGGCTTTCCGGTTTGGGGCAATTCTTCTTGTCCGCCAACAGAACGGAAACCTGAGCGCTGAGCTTTGTCAACTCGAACGGACCTGGTGACTGGAGTTAGTGCTCGGCTTGAGGATCACAAACTCCAAGTTCTCTGTGTTTTCTTTCCCGCATGACGCGTAAAATTCCCCGACTTACAAGCAATGACCGTAATGCAAGAGCCCGCCGTTGCGCCGGCTGCCCCGAACGTCGCTATTGTCCAGAGATTCGGGTATGTACCCCTCGAGCTGACATGACCCATTACGTCGAAGCCAAAGTTCCGCTTGACCCAATCGCAATAAACGTACTTTGATCTCTGGTAAATCGAGAACGACACGGTCCGCACGAGAGTGATGCTTGCCATGGGCGCCGTCACTCCTAGAGTAGGGGAGCCAAATGCCATCAGCCAATGTGACCAGTCGCATCCCGGGAATCCTGCTTCATCTTACCTCGAAAGAAACCCCTCAGTTTCTCCGTTTGATATGTGTGCTGTACACAGTCGCGAAAACCCGCATAGCGGTACGTTTGCATGCGAGTTTTGACGCTGTCAAGCGGGAACGTCGTCAGGGTGGACAGCACACTCGAGGCCGACGCAGCTACCTCGACCCGGTAGCGCTTAACCAGGCGCTGGTAACTCGATACGGCATTGGTGCCGCTGCTGTTGGTAGTCGCGGTACTTTCGGCGGCTGCTGCGGGAGCTGCTATAGCGAGGCGCGTATCTGGGCTGATGACGTCGCTGGAACTGCCATCGCCACTGGTGCGGTCCGAGCTCACGCCGTGCCTTCGTTGTTGCTGCTGCTGCTGCTGGCGGTCTTGCTGCGAAGAGGTTTGATATGGAGGCATCATCGGAAATGGAGCGTGACTGCAGTGGACTGAACCATCTTGTAGGAGGATGCTGCTGTGGGAGCGGTCGTCGGCGGCTGAGGACAAGAGCTCACTTGGCATGGCTCTTCGGTCTTAACACCCCTTCTTGGTATTTAACTTTTCCTTCTCCACTTGTTGATTTCGTCGTCTTTATCGAACGGCAGGCACCTCTCACGGAGCAGCCGTCAGCTAGCCGGGCCGATGATCTCGGGATTAACTCGAGACCAGAGTCCTCAGCAGCGCGGTCGCGAAAGGGCCTGTGCCAGCGGGCGACGGTCCATTAAGAACCCCCCGCTGGTTTGGTCGAAGGGATATACCCTTTCCGTCGTCAATCGGTTGCGGGTTCGGTTGCGGTGTTGACCGTACTCTCGAAAACGTGCAACGTCGGGTTGGGCAAAGGTTCAAAGGGTCGAAATGAGGGGTGGCGGGCGGAGGTGGATAAGAACGCCCCTACTACCCGACGCTCTGGGTTAGGTGACAATTGAATGGTCGGCAGAGGGGCTTATCGTCGAGTCGTCGTGCAACACGATGTACGGCTCAATACGGGTATCTGGGCTTAGATTGGTGACGTTGTGGTCTGATGGGTTGTGGTGCATAGCTTAGTTGCGGGGTTGCAACACAGAGGAGCTCGTTGGTTTGTTTGAGCTCAACGCCTCTCTCCACCACGATCGAGAGTCGAGCGGTTCAATGACCCTGCAGGCCCTCACTCTTTACATGCCTGAGCTTTTCGCGCGGGGCCGATCTTGCAGGTCTCTTGATTGGCACACTTCAAATTCTTTGAGTCTTCTTCGCAACCGAAGACTAGGAATCAACAAACCGTTGTGTTACCAGCAGCAAGCTGGGCAGTGTTGACAAGACAAACGGCCAAGGGGCCGAAGCTCACGGCTCCTGTTTCCCGTTATGGCATGTACAGTACGAGGTGCAGAGCTCTGCTGGACGGCCTGCCCTGACGATGGCTTCGTTCTGGGCCATGAGTTCGGCTGGGCAAACGTCATTGCTGCAGCATTGATAAGTTGAATGAGGGGAAGCTCTGCAAGCGCTATGCAATGCTGGATCTGCAAGCATCGTTAAAGGTGGCCTGGTATTTTATTGAATATATACATAAATACGACCCTAGTACTCGCGCCTTACTGCCTCCAGTCGGCCAGCCGGAATCTGTCAGACTTGCCTCATAACTGCATTTTCAAGATATAAAGTCTTGAGCAATTCCTTATTCAACATAGAGAGTACCGCATTGTGAACCGCCCAGTTTTTCACTCCAGGGTAATATGGATGCTGGTAATTACAGGACATCACCGCAGAGCGCGTGTATGCCGAGGGGTCCTTCCGCGGGCCGCGGCATGAGTGTGCGACAGTCAACGGCCCACCATCCTCCATCCTCCCGCCTATGAGAATCGGCATTCTCTCCGCACATCCGTAGATCCCATCGAGATGATCGGGCGACGGCAGGATTCTGAAATGCAAGTCTTGCCTGCCCATGCACAGTGCCAGCGGATCACATTTTCAATCTTGAGGCGAACCAAAACAGGATCTCGTTTGGTTATTTGGGTCGTTGTGACGATCAACTCCCTGTCTCAAAACGATATCGGTTCGGACGCGGGCGGAGCTCTTCCCGGGGCATGTCGAAATGCGGAGGCTACTGTACCAACTGTCCCGGTTCGCATGTGGAGCAAAGACCGAGACGGCCCCGATCATGGGTGCCGAGACCGATTGGCATCCGGCAGCCGGCTGGCGGCACCGTGCGAATTAACCTGATAGCGAGGTCGATATGTACTTCCGAGTCTTGATTGAGCTGTCATCTCAGACACAAGCCCATCGTGTCGTTGAGCATGGCAATCGTCCTCTCATAATGGTCAAACTCGGTGCCCTTGACTGGATCGACAGACCTTGTGGTGTATACATTAGCACACAGGGACAGGAGAAGGAGACAAATCAAGACACTCGAGCTCACTCTTTCTTCTTTTTCTTGGCCTGCGTCTGGTCCTTTGACATCTTGGACAGTAATTTCCAGGGCGTCTTGCGTGCCTCGCGCATCCTCTCCCAGTGCACGCGACACAGGTTCTTGAGGATCTTGTGCTCTAACCCGCGCTCCTGGGCTGCCGCGTTAAGGAACCAGACGGTTCTCCTGACTCTCTCTGCGTCAAAGGTCCCGTTGGGGTCGCGGAACCCTGTGCGCAGCTGTTCAATGACCGTTGACCGCGACGGCTGTGAGAACTGCACCGCGCGAAGGCTTGCCCGTAGGAGCTTTCTGTATGCATGAAGGAGTTCGAGCTTAGACATTTTGTGCAAGGAAGATGTCGGTTCAAAACAGTCCAGTTTGTGAGATGAAGATTTTGGACACAAGAAAGCTTTAAGACTTCTCTCGCACGGGCCATTTGAATCATAACTGCAGTACAGTACAAAGAACCAGGTCCATGTCTCTGATACTAGGTTGGATCACAGTGGCATAGTCAAATACTGAATAGACGCACAACACTTGGATCGGGCAGGTTTATATCAGAGAATTCTATATACCACTAGCAAAAAGCGTATATGGATACAGATTCTATATTAGCCCAAAATAACCCGGCAGACAGTAGCGCATGTGTTGCGCTCAACAGTCTCGCCGTTCAACGGTTGGATACCAAACCCAGAAGTAAGATGCAAAATGCGCTGTTCCCAAACCAGGGATGCTCTCATTCAGCGAAGCCACTGCCACACCCTGAATGAACACGCACCATCTATATGCAAGAACGTGACCACATAACACCCCGAAGCAAGCCGCGGCCGCAGTCGCACCAGCTGTAGCTGCAGCCAGCAGTCAGCAAAAGCTGGAGGATCTCTACTCTATATAGCCCCCCCAATCCCAAAACCACCACTCTAATCCTCGCGCTGGTCAAGTGGCGCGTACTGCGCGCCACTACTCGATCCGCTGGCCCGCCCACGGCCCATGATCCTCGAGATCCACCCACCGAACCCTCCCGCTTGGTGGGAACCGGATTTCCTAGCAGACCCGCTCTTCTTGCCGTCATCATCACCAATATCATCGGGAGGATCGATAGGCAGGCCGGGGATAGCCGCGCTGGCAGCAGACCCAAATCTCCTAGCAGCACTGTTGCCTTGGTTCCTGATATCGAGCGGGGGCACCGGTGACCCGGCACGTACGAGGGCATCCGACTCGGCGTGAATCGCCGGTGTGCCGGTCGCACCCGTGGCGTCCCCAAATAGGGCGTCCATGTCCTCGAGACGGACTCCGCAAGTTTCTGGGTATAGAAAGTACACTGTCGAGAGTTAGGAATGTGGATTGGACTGAAAGGAAAGCGTGGGAAGACTTACCAACGACGAAACTGACGGCGCACCAGAATGCGTGTACAAGGTACAGTCTCCAGTGGATTAAGTCTTGGAGGATTGGCGTCATCTCCCCCACCAGCCAGTTGAAAGCCCAGTTGGTGGCAGTCGACAGACTGGCGCCCTTGGAGCGGATCTTCAGGGGAAGAATTTCGGGTGGGTAAAGCCAGGGGACCGGGCCCCAAGAGTACCCGAAGGCGGCATTATAAATCACCACCATGATGACGACCATCTTGGGTGTGGATGCGACGTTGATGTACATGTAGTACGAAATCATCGAGAGTGAGATGACCATGGCAATGGCTCCTGACAGTAGAATCGGACGGCGACCCCATCGATCCACAATATACCAAGGCGGGATTGTTGACAAGAAGTACGTAATGCCGTTGATTCCGGCCATCAAGACGGCGTCGTGGCCATGCCAGCCAGCCGCCTCAAAAACTAAAGGGGCATAGTACGAAATGACGTTGATTCCGTTGAGCTGAGCGAGCGCCTGTGCCGACATGGCGATGAAGACGCGCCTGCTGTATCGTTTGAACATTTCGCTGTAAGTGCGCTCGCCTTCTTGGCGGGCCAGGAGGACATTCATCTTGATGTCGCGGAACTCTTCCCTAGACCGAGGATCGTGAATGTCACCGCCGCCATACAGATTAGCAATGACTACGATGCCTTCTTCGTCGTGGTCGTTATCGAGAAGCCACCTTGTATGGCATTAGCAACTAAGTAGCATCGGAAACGCAAAAGTACTCACCTCGGCGATTCCACGATAATCAAGCTCCCTAATCCAAGCAGGGCGCCCATGATGCACTGCATCAACAAGGGCAAGCGCCAGGAGAGGTTGCCGTCGATGAAGCCGCAAAAGTAGTCCACCCAAACCGAAGTAGTGTATCCAATGATGTTGCCCGAAAACTCAATGCAGGCAAGTTTCCCCCGGTAATGCGGGGGCGAGATCTCGGACTGGTAGACCGGAACAATGGTCGAGAGCATGCCCACACCCAAACCAGCCAGGATTCTGCCGACCATCATCATGACCATATTCAAGGCAAATGTTTGTAAGGCGCCGCCAACGAAGAAGATGCAGGAACCGTAGAGAATGGTCTTTCTCCGGCCGATAATGTCGCCGATCCTGCCTACCATGAGCGAAGAAATTAAGGCGCCAATCTCCAAGATAGCGACCATGGTCGCAATCTGAAAGTGTGACGGCTGGTCAAAATAGTCTTCAAAGTACTTTCCACTTGAGGCTGTCAGCGAATGCCGCAAGCAGAGTAGGAAGCTTGCAGACGTACGTTATGATGCCCGACATGACGCCCTGATCATATCCGAAAAGGAATACACCTAAGGATACAAATATTGAAGTGAAGTATCTGGAACTCATGTCAGTGTACACTCTCAAGATACAAGGTTGCCAGCGAGACCGACAGTAACGGCTTGCCCGTCAGGCCGTGGATGGAACTAGTGCCCCCCGCCATGATGGCGGCTATTAGGCGTTCAGCCTTGGAGACCTTTCGAGCGCCAACGTCGGGAATACGGATAGCTTCTTTGCTAACGGAGCCAGCGTTTCGAGACGGCGCCGGGCTGTTTCCCGACGATGATCCCCCTTGATACCGGACTTGTTTCTTGTAGCGAGGCTTCGGATGACGCTTGAAAATACTAGCTAGTAGGCGATCGTCTAGAGTCTCGTTCAGCCGATGGCGCAGCGGGTCCTCTTGGTCGAGCTGCTCGGCGATGTCACCAGTGTCGGTCCACGAGGATTCGTCGGAACCGTCTTCAGACGCAGAGTAGGCTGGCTCGTCGGCGGGGGAGCCGTGGCCGTGCGATGTAAGGAGCCAGGACGACTGCTGGCGGTGGTGCCGGAGGTCTCGCTCGTCGTGGGCGGGAAGTGTTCGGAGGGGTATGTTTGAGGGAAGACGGGTGGGATTCGGTGACGGAATTTTGAAGAAGATGGGGCTGTTTAGCAGCAGCCCTCGTCCGCAGCAGCAGAACCTAAGGTGCAGGTGCACGACGGAATCCGTGTGGGGAATCGGGGGGGCGTTGTCTGAAGTTGACTGGATCCGAGGCTAAGGAACTCATCGGGGGGCGGTCACGGGGGCAACCTAGCGGCAGCGTTGGCTCAGGACTCGGTTCGGCCGGTGATCGGTTGCTACAGGAATGTTGGAATTGGTCGAACTTGGTTGTTTGACGTCGATTCAAGACAGCCCGTTGTCCGCACGGCTAAGGCGAGAAGCCCCATGTCCGCCCTTCTGGCCGCCAAGCCGTCAGCCTGCTAAACGGGAGCATCCCTGTCTGCGTCGGCTTCTGCTGCCGTTGCCCGCCTTGCACAGTGCGCCAAGTAGTAGTCACAGTGACCTGACCATTCCTCTTCGTAAGAAAGCTTGGAGAACCGGAGAGCTCTGCGCAAATCGCAGCAGATCACTGCACGACTCGGCAAGACGGCACTGAAAACACTCAATCGTTGGTCCAGCACATTTGGATTCGCTATTATCTTCTGCTCCCCCCTTTTTCACACCTTTGTCGGAGTCCACGGGACAACTCAACCTATCACATGGACTCTTTTTTGGATTTCGCGGAGTGACCCAAGTCACAGGCACAACGACAAACCCACGACGTGAGATCAGACCAGACGAGGGGTCGGACGGCAACTTCTTGAAACGAACCTTTTGTATGGAAGTCGAACACAGATTTTCCTTTCCTCAAGTGGAGTCGACTTCTGGCCACCACCACCACCTCCTCCTCCTGAGGATTGCCACCTGAAAAGTCACTTTGTGAGTTCCTAGACCAGCATGTACGAGGAGTATCAACTTCAGAGTTGGGCATAAATCTGCCATCAAGCAATCCGACAACGGCTCCGGCTCGTTATCGCTAATTGCCCGGCCAAGCAAGGCTTCGATCTGCTGAGAACTTGAAGTACTGACTGGTTTACTTAGATAGCATCTCAACTCGAGACGTTTCAAGGACAGGCAGGGAAAACATTCAAGAATTCTGCTCAACAAGGTAACAAATCACTTACGCCGTCGTATGCCCACTTTTTGAGTGTCATCCTCGCCAATGCCACCACCTGGCTGTCTGTTAAGACTACAGGGTAATAAGACAAAACTCCTCTGTCAGCCGTTCACAAAGCGACAGCCTAGCCACCCGCGCCACCCTCAGGTTGGCAATCGCTCTCATACCAGCCGACGACGGACGTAGTCTATGTTTTTGTACGTGGATCCGTCCAAGCCCTCCAAGCCCTCAGGCGCATGCTGATGCTAGTTCTATTTAAATCCATAGTATCAATGTTACCGTGAGCTCGTGAGTTCTGAGCTCATGAGCCTTGTAGCGTCCTACCAGAAGGTACCTTGGACATTCCATTACACTCCTGTTCTGCAACAAGGCTCCTCCTCCAAAGTGTAGATCGTTACTATCTCATGATGATGTAGCCTGTTCGGCGTTAGGATCCTGGTATTTTCCTGCTATCTGGTAGATTCTCCCCCGAAAAGTCAAAGTAGCTGACGATGACTTGAGGTCGGCTACCTAGTAGCGATCCTGCAAGATCGGGATCTGGTGGCATCACCCGGAACAGGACCAGATCTCCTTGATCTGCATCGTGGATCTCGGTAGTGCCTGAATACTGAATATCTACAGATGTAGTGTACAGGTTGTAGAATAAGGCCTGTAGAAACCAAGCGGTTCCAACGACCAACATTCGTGCTATATGCGAGTGTAAACACCTGGGCGGCCATTACTGGAATAAAGGTTCCGAGAATTGCACAATCTCATGCCGGGCAGAGGAAAGAGAAGCGTCTCTTTACACCAGTAAAGGGCCCTGCCCGTGGGTTTTCAACTTATACGCTTACCTACCACGAGCCCACATACTCCCATCCGTTTGTGTAGCACCTGAAAGGCTGAAATCGAAAGCAAAGACTCGCAGGATCGGGTTGTCTGAGATTAACGAAAACGCGAGACCAGTAATTGATGTTCCCGAAGTATTGTATCGGTATTTCGGAGCAATGGTATTTACATTGGTTTGTTAATGATCTGGTGTCTGTTTGTTCGGCCCTTGCACGGGTAGTAGGATAAGACGGGACGTTGTACAGGACCTACAGTTTCAGCTCTCACACGAGCTATATTAGCGTTAAAGACCGTACACCTAACCAACGTTAGGAAGCCAAACCTCATGGTGCCAGACATCCATAGTTACTTACACAGTAGATAATAAGCGGCAGCTTACAGCAGCCAACGGACATTGAAAATGGCTTGCACATATCCGTAGTGTACTCCGTAATTCCTCCGTAGGCTGTCTCAGACTGTGCACGCTGGGCATGTAAGTATTGTACCTGACGTGGGTAGCGTAAGTTACCGTTTCATACACCTGGAAGGGTAGCATTTTCCTCCCAGCAAAGTAAGCCTTACCTGGCGACCAGCTCATCATGCATAAACGGCGTCATTCTGCATTCCCTCAATATCAGATGGCTTACCTGAAGTCTTATCCATCTGCACGTGTAGGACGCCCCGCTGCCAACAGCGCCGTCGCCGCAGTTCGCCGTATAGGTATACTTTGTAGATTGGACGTCCCTCGCGATCTGTATCTGTACTGTAAGTACGCTGCGTAATTCAATTCCAGCTCTGAGTGCTCGACTAGTGTAACTTCCTCCCTTTAATTTTCCCCCAGCGGCTGGTTTAAGGTAACGTCGGGAAATGGCCGGAAAAGTGGTTGGTTCCGAGTCCAACCGTCATTTCGCAAGAGGCTGGGCTTGGTTCCTGGATGGGGAAAAGGCCCCAGGGCTTCATCCAATCGTACGGCTGGGATCCGGCAACGGGGCATGTTCAGTGGGGCGGTGTCTTGCGTTCCTGCCGCAAGGTTGGCTTGAGGTGGCAGTTCCCCCAGCCTGCAAGCAAGCAGGCATTGAGTTTTATATTGCGGAGATCTGACGGCAGGCTGGGGCTGCTTCGCTTGCTTCTCCATCGTCAACCGCACCCCCATCATCGCATCCTGCCGCCCCGAAGGTAGGGACGATTGATCCAATCCTCCCTTCAAGAGCGCATTGCCCACGCGCGACTTCCAAGGAGGACTGCACGAACGAGAAAGAGGTGGGAATCGCATTGCGAAAGAGGAGGGTGCATTACTGGGCTAGCTGGGAGCTCATGAGACTCTGGGCACCGACTCGAAATTCTCCACCCGACACCGACATCTGTTTAACCCTCGACACTGCGCGTAACCTGATGGTCGCTTGGGAGCAATAGCAGACGACAGACGAAGGAAGACTGACTTGGAGTTCTGTGCGCGTATCGACGTCATATTACCCGCTTGTTCGAGGTATACAAACCGGCGTGAAAGGTATCACGGCCGCGCGGCTCAACCAACCCATCCACCCGAGTTAGCCTGGTTCCACAATACACAATGGGTTCAACAAAGTTCGGCAACTTCGATGTGAGCGCCATTCACTGGGGATTGGAAAGGCCGGGTCAAGCGATGCTGACAGAATCTCAATACAGGAGTTTTGTCGGGACACTACTCTCCCAATCTGCAATGTGAGTGCATCCGCAGCGGGAACTCGGTCGCCTCATCTCCACACAGAGTGCTCACCGGATTTCTGTCACAGCTCGTCTCGCCCACAGATGACCAGTCAGGACCATGGCTGGGCTGTGAGTTAAGGGGGATCCCATTGCCAGACGGAAGGTTCCTGGGCAATTTGGGTTGGTAGTCTTCTTGAAAACTTAGTGGGGGGTGTAGTAACTGACATACTCAGGATCCATCCTGCTTTGTGGAGCTGCAATCGCCGTTACCGCCCTTTTGCTACTCCGGTCGGAGAGAAAAAGGGCAGCTGTTGGGCGGAGGTTGGTGTCCCTGCTTTCCTGTCGTATGTCCTGCGCTCTAACGTTGTCGGCAGAGAGATGCAAGCATTCCTGCTCGGATACCTGATAATATCAATATGCGAAATCTTCTCCATAGGAGGATTTCCGTTGGACTCCAGAGCACGATTGGTAGGTGGACAATGGGACAAACGAGCATTTCCCCGCTGACTTGAGTCCCAGGCTTTCAGCGCCGTGCACATTGGTGCTATATCGGCAACCACATGGATGCTTTTTCTCAACGGCATTGTCGGCTACCAGCTCATGGATGATGGGACCCCACTATCTATTGGTCTGACCCTCGGCTCAGGTCTCGTGTTCCTCCTTGGAGTCGGATACATCGCCCTCGATACCGGATTCCAATTTACCGGATTTTGGAATTCAAGCTACGAGCTTCCTAACCGGAATATCGCGCTCTACGTTCTATACCTGCTGTTGCCGCTGCTTTGGCTTGTCTTATACCTTGCGCTAGAGACAGTCCTCGTCCTGAGAGTCCTGGGCGAGACTAGGCCGATGATTTACCTCGCCTCGGCGGCGGTCGCCTTCGCTGTGGGGCAGATCTTCAACTTTGTCGTCAGCCCTTACATCTGCAACGGCACCACTGGTCGGATCGACGGCTCACTGTTCCAGACCTTGTTCACCCTCGTGTCAGTAGTGCTTGTCTGGCTCTTCTGGTCCAGTATTACCGAGGATGATTGGCCCATGGACCAGGGCACTCCTTACCCTTAATTAAAGCTCGAGATACCCGCGCTCTAGCGCATTAAGGGGCACCAGGGGGGCTGGAGTTTAACGGCTGTGATTTCTATTACACTCTCTTTTGTTGATACCATTATATTCTTCTTCTCTTCTTCGGCAACGATTCACTTGCCGGATTGTCGGCGTCCAGTAATAAAGCAAAAGAACAACAGCTCCACAAAATGAAAACAAAGAAAGGGCGGATGTACTGGCTGGGGGCACTCGAACTCAAGCAGACATGGTTAAATCCACTTGGATGGATGAGCTGACACGATATATCGACAGCTGGCTTGTCTGATGAGTGGATTGAACGATGAGAAATCGGTGGTGCGGCTTAGGTGCAGGATGAGATGAGAGACGATTAGTTGTCGGTGATCCGGTACAAGGGGGAGGCGGTTTGGCACGTTGGATGTCAACAACAGTGTTTGATGGCATGTATCTGCCTGTATCGGGGGGATTGGAATCTAGCTTTAGCGTATACCCTGAGGAGATGATAGTGATGCCATAGCACATAAATAATGACTTGCTACGCATGCAGCTTTTTAGCCCGGTTCCTCTTCATATCGCGTTCATCATAAGAGCTGAAGAAGCAATACACTTTGGCTGATACTCGATATTGGATTATGGAGTAGACAGGTCAGTTACACATACATAGGTACATCGTCCGGTCTGCTCCCTGAAGCTACCCAAGTGCCATCCCACATTATCCGAGAAGGTTCAGTATCCAACCCAAGCTGCTCTTCAAGGAAAATAGCACAAAAATGTTAGACTGAAATAATAACCATCCTAGACTACGCCAGCTGCCGTATATAGGGCCTCCAGTCACAGGCCTTAACCCGTTTCCTGCACATACCCAATCCTGTGTTAACCGCCCCGCTGTCGCGGCTGAATCCCCAGCTTCCGTAGCTGCACGCGGGGCAAGACACCCGCCAAAATCAAAGCCTCCGCAAGGAGCACGCTCCACAGCCGGATCCCGAGCACCGCCCGGTTGTAGTCCGTGCCCACCGCGCTGGCGACCGTGGCTAAGAGCAGCAGCAGCACACCGTACCCGACATAGCGGTGGTATTTCCACAGCGCCTTGGCGCGGTCCAGGCCGCCCCAGACGCCTGGGACGGCCCAGATGGTCAGCCCGAACAGGTACTGCACGGCCAGCAGGGCGACGGTGGACACGCCCAGGTAGGCGTGCGCGCTGTGGAAGTGCGGGAGGCGGTTGACGTGCTTGTTGGTCTCGATGATGGCAGTGCCGGCCGCGAAAAGCATGAAGGAGAGTACGTGCAGAGCGGAATGGCCGCGCTGGCCGAGCAGCTTGGTCGTCGGCGTGTGAGTCGGCTGGAGAAGCAGGACGGCCTGGATGGCTGTGAAGATGCCGAGGGATTCTGTGGTGTAATAGGCGGGGCAAAAGCAGCCGGTGAAGTTAGTTTGAGTGGTCTATCTCTTGCGTTCTGCCTGGGTGATTTGGGACGGAATGGAAGGGATAGATGATTTCGGGAAATACCCACGTAGGAGGGGGTGCGGAGAGAATAGACGCAGCATCGGGTGCGTAAACACCGAGACCCAGATTATCACGGCCAGGATGATGGCGCCGAGTTGAGCTAGCCAGCCGGTTCCTGCATGGATGATGATCCGGGTTAGCCGGGCTAGTTATGCTAATGAGTGTGGCTTCTGGAGCTCACCAAGCCAGAGGTTCTTGATCATGGGCTCGTCGGGCTTCTGAATTGCGTCACCCGGTCTCCCTAGGAGAGGCTCGCTCTCCGTCGGGGCAGGTGCAGCGCCCTGCTCTGCGGGCTGCGGTGGCTCTCCAGATTCCATTGCTGTGCTACTGTTACGAGATACTCTCGATTGCTGAAAGATGTACTTCTGTCGTCCGTGAATCACTAGTTGTTTGAAATGATCGTCTACCGTTTGAGCTATCCTCGAGTCTCACACATTGAAGCTGCAGTAGGATGTGGCGGGGGGAAAGCCTGGACATAACAGGATTAGCTGCCTACCTACGGAGGTACCGTCCCATGTAAGCTTCCATACCTACAGGCAGTAATGTAGAGCAGGGACGCCGGCGCCGACAAATGCCTTGGCGATCAACCTCCCCTTTATCTATGAAATTAGTGAAAGTCTCGTCTCGACTCCTCACTGCTGCTGACGAATTTGGCTTCGGCAGTGTGCTTGTTTGCCCGGTCCATGTGCAATTGGCGGTGGTTGGACGGGATGGTCAATGTCGATGACGGCACCGAAACCGACAGAAGGCTTGGACCAGTAAGATCGGTCGCATTTCAACGCTCCAGTGTAGCGGGGTTATCTGCGCAACAAGGCCCGAGTCCGGTGGCTTGCTCCACTGCCGTGCCGGGCCAAACGTTCCACCTCGGTGAATCGGAGGTCACACGAGCATTTTGACTGTATGGAGTTCCCCGCGGCGCAGATGCTACAGAATGGATCCATGGAGCTGGCCTCCACTTCGAGGACCATGCCTTATCGGAGTTGGCTAACTAGGAACTATTTTTTGGGGTGCTCCTAACATGTTCTGCCCACTGCAACCGTCCCAACAAAGTGCGGTATCGGCACCTAGATAAGGTCATCTTGAAGTCTTCTTCTGCGTGAGTCGGTCCTCTTTGTTCCGTTGTTGGGAATTTGGGATCGTCATCTACTAGGCATTGGGTCTTGTTACATGTCCTCACCCATAATGGACGAGATCCAGTACAAGCTTGAGCATGTGAAGGTCACTCCTATCGCGGCCGACAATATCGACAAGACCTTCCGCTCCAGTTGTATTGGTTTGTTAGCCCGCGTATCACCCCAACGACGTTGTGCTCGTGCCTAACATGTGGTGTGAGCAGACCTCATCTCAGCGGCGCTGGGGGGCAAAGTCCTGGGATACTCGGACCAATGGTTCGCCGACGCCTCAAACCTCATAAACCCGGCCGCCCCTATCAGGCAGCCGGGCAAGATGGTGTACACAGGCGCCTGGTATGACGGCTGGGAAACGAGACGGCACAACGCTGAGCCGTTCGACTGGGTTGTGATTCGCCTGGGCGTGGCCTCTGGCACGGTCGAGGGCGTCGAAGTGGACACAGCTTTCTTCAACGGCAACCACGCGCCCGCCGTTTCGGTCGAAGGCTGCTTCAGCCAGGATGACGAGCAAGTTCTCTCCTGGAAGGGAGATCGTGGCGGTTGGGAAACCATCCTTGGTATCCAAGAATGCGGCCCATCCCAAAGATTTGGCTGGAAGCTGGACAGTCCGACGCGGAAGCAATATACCCATGTCCGTCTGAATATGTACCCCGATGGAGGCATCGCCAGGTTCCGTCTTTATGGGCATGCGGTGCCTGTTTTTCCAGAAGATAAGGAGGCTATCATCGACCTCGCTGCGGCTCAGAATGGAGGAGTAGCTGTCGCGTGCAGTGACCAGCATTTTGGCAGCAAAGATAACTTGATCCTACCAGGCCGCGGGAGGGACATGGGAGACGGATGGGAGACTGCTCGGTCTCGCACCAAAGGGCACTTCGACTGGGCCATTATCAGGCTTGGGGCGGCTGGGTTCATACAAAGTTTCATCGTTGACACAGCCCATTTCCGGGGTAACTATCCTCAGCAAGTGAGAATCGAGGCGATTGAGTGGAAGGGAGAGCGGGAACCAGAGGCCGATGCTGCGGATTGGATAGAGATGGCAGAGCCTGTCAAGTGCGGTCCGGATCAAGAGCACCCAGTCGAAAGCCGGGTCAAGGACAAGGCATTTACCCATGTCAAGCTCATCATGGTGCCAGATGGAGGAGTGAAAAGACTGAGAGTCTTTGCGAAGCGGGCTGTCTGACGGTGACCAGGGCAACTGAAACCGGGTTGGAGGCGGCGGGGCGGTTGGCAACTCTTCGTCCCAACATCAAACAAGGAAAGATGAGTTAGAACGTAGGGAGAGGCTATAAACGGAGACGGGGGAAGGAGCATCGGGTGTTGGGGTAGGCAATGATGGCAATCTGAACAACAAAAGTGCTGAAAATACCTCGGTCGATAATCATGAAATCAAGACATCAAATAGCCTAAGGTAGTCGCGCAATGAATGAACCCAGATAGGGGCAATATACACAACAAGCCAAAGAAACCACATCACCGTGGTAGAAACACCGCACGATGGCCGCAATTTATTCAAAGTCCAGCAATCCCTAGAGACCAACGCATTTTTGACAGAAGGGGTTCGTATGATACGTAGAATGGGAAGGAGACTTAGGAGAGCAGCGATCCGTAATGGATTACGGATAGTTACCGCATGTTATCTTATCAGTCATAATCGAATGCACAGACCATCTGGTGTGGGGTTGAGTTACTTACGAAAAGTACCTTAATCTGAGCAAGGCTGGCTCAAACATGCCTGAACAACCCCTCTAAATCAGGTTAAGGGGAAACGGCCAGGATAGCGTCGTTTCTCATCCCTTGGTCTTCACACGCCGCTGAGTTGATTCGTATGCACCTGTAGACGAGGGCGACGCCGTGCGGATCAATATATTAATGTTCCCCGAAATAGCCCTCATGCGCGCCTCCGCTTCCGGGAAAGCCCGCCCATGAACCGCCCTCGCCGGCCACGAATCGTCATCTTGGGCCATGGACCTCGGGGATTCTGATGGCGGCTTCGGCGCCAGGCCCCGAGATTCGCTCCAGAAGAAGCGGGATCTGCCCGCTGACCTGCCTCGATCCCTCGACGATAGGAGACATGTGCCGACCGATCTGGTGCCCGAGACCGAGCTGTACGATGGATGGCAGGGTTGGCCTCCCGCCCAATACTTTCCTTTCTTTCACTGTCGTACGGAGGCTGACCCTCCCTAGGACAATCTCAGTTCTTAACCTCGCCCATGCTGGCGAAGCCTCTATCGTTCAGCGATCTGGCTCTCAATGACCCCAATTACGACGAAGACCTTACCAAGGGCGGCCCAGACAGCGAAACCCGGCTGATGGAGATGCTCGCCGCTCAGGCTTCCCACGCCGCCAGTGCCGCCTTCGATGACGAAGATGCCGTCGCCGCTGACGGATCAAGGTCCGACGACGAAAAGCGGGATGTGCTGCAAAAGACCTTTATAATGGCTGCCAGCAACGGGAACCTCGAATCCGTCAACAAGATTCTGAACGGCAAGGCGAGGCAGTACGTTGACATCAATGCGCCCGACGACGAGGGCACGCCCGCCCTCATATATGCAAGCTGCTTTGTGAGTTGAGTGCTCGCGGGACCGCCTGGCCTGGCGCTAATGCCCAAGTTCAGGGCCACGAGTCAGTGGTGCAGGCTCTCATCAACGCCGGCGTTGACGTCAACAAGCAAGACCGCAACCACTGGAGCGCGCTTATGTGGGCAATGACAAACCGGCACAAAGGGATCGCTAAGTTGCTGTTGGACAACAATGCTTCCCCGGAAACGAAGACATCGTCGGGGAGGACGGCCTTCGATTTTGTCCCTCCGGATAGCGAGATGTCCTTCTATCTTAGCGGGTACGGCATCGGAACCGCCGGCACCGCTGACGACTTCTACAACCCGGGATTCACTCAGGATAAGTTTGAGGAGGAGCTCGCCGAGAATGAAATGCGGCGGCGCATGATGATGGAAAGTGCCCGTGACCTGGAAGTAGATCTCGGTAACGTGGGCATAGATGACCAGCCTGAGGTTCGTGTCCGTCGTCACCCCGCTCCCGCGATCCCATGCTGACTCCACTAGTCTCAGGATGAGTTTGAAGAAGAGCAGCAAGAGTTTGATTGGACCAGGTGTCTACATGACCAGATGTTCGTTTTCCAGGAAAACGAGCTGGAGCGCATTCTAGATATCGTCATAACGAACATGACGCCCCAGCGGTCGCCTTCTCAAAAACCGGTTCCCGCAAACATGATTTTCCTAGGAGCCAGATACGCGCATTACCATGCCAGCCGCGAATTGCTGGCCAACCTTCTCGTTACTGCCATGGAAAAGATCAATGATGTGGTGGGAAGACACCAGTGGGACATGACCATCCTGGCTTTCTGGATGTCCAACGCTACACTCTTACTGCACTATCTCAAGAAGGACGCCGAGCTCGTCGAGGCTACAACCGAGTTCCAAGCACAGCTTGCCGAACTGATCAACGAGATCTTCATACTGATAGTTCGGGACGCTGAGAGGCGCTTGGACAAAGTACTCGATGTGGCCATGCTTGACCACGAAACGATCCCAGGGTTTGAGGACATAACGTTCCAGAATGAATGGAAGCTCTTCAAGCGGAGGAAGGAGGTTAAAGAAGAACCTCTGGAAAAGCGGTTACGGCCGCCGTCGCCCAAGCAAAGAGCGAAGCCGTCGCCACGAAATGTGACGTCGCTCCTCTCGTCGACCCTCTTCGTCCTAGACCTCTACGACGTACACTCTGTCATCACGGCCCAGATTATCTCACAGCTGATATACTGGCTTGGCGCCGAGCTCTTCAACCGCATCATGTCAAATCGCAAGTATCTCGCCCGCACAAAGGCCATGCAAATTCGCATGAATATATCTACGCTCGAAGACTGGGCGCGCCAAAACAACCGACAGCCGGAGCACTACGAAAAGGGCGAGATGAAGTCGAGCGGCGAGAACACGGTGGACGCGGCCCGCCGACACCTGGCCCCCGTCATTCAGTTGCTCCAATGGCTGCAATGCTTCTCGTCGCTCGGTGCCGACGACCTCGAGGCCCTCGTCGGCACCCTCCAGCAGCTCCGCGCTCTCAGCCCCCAGCAGCTCATCCACGCCGCCACGCACTACCGACCCGAGGTGGGCGAGAAGGGCCTGCCCAAGAGTGCCATGAAGTACCTCGCCGCGATCCAGAAGGAGGTCGCCCTGCGACGCGAGAAGAATCGGGCCGCCGCTGCTGCTGCCGCCACCGCGGCCGCCTCCCCGCCTTCTACACCCGGCGGCAAGCATGTCGGGTCCAATGGACACGGGGCAGCTGGCGGGACGCCGGCCACGCCCAGGCCGGATGATGACGACGGCGACGAAGATGATCCCCCCGCCAACCTCCTCCTGGACCCGGCACTGATGCTGCCCTTCACCCTGCCGAGCGCCACGGACATGCTGGTCAGCTATGGAGCCGGGTTTGGCGGGGTAAACCGCGAGCGGGAAAGGAAGTATATCCCGACCATACCGCCCGAGTTCCTAGAGAAGATTGAGGCCGGGGCCGGCGCCAGAAAGGGCCCGCCGCTGTATGGAGAGAAGGACTGGGAGAATGAGGATGTCTGACGATGAACCTTGTCTTTGCCTCGTAGGAGGCAGGCAGGCAGACAGACCGGACGGACACATACATATCGGCCGGGTTGGCTGTGCTCGGGGCATTTGGAAGGGGGAAAGAGGAGGTGTAGGGAAGGAAAGCTGGGTCGTAAGGTGTGTCTGAAACGACTTACACGGGCTATGGGATGTATGGATATGTGATTGGACGGACTGTCGTCGTGGCATTCACATCTTGCTTAAAGCGCGACGAGAAAAGAAGCATGTTCAGAAGCAAATCGGTTTATTCGGAATCAGGATAGAAATGCCGTTTCAATTTCTGACCTTGATGACTATTGTAACAAGCACAGGTATGTACCTCTTTTGTTCCTCCTCTCCTTCACCGGGAAAGAAAAATTAGAGAATTGGGAAAGGAAAAAGAAGAAAAGTTCTCATGGGCCCTGATAGCCATGTTCATGGATTGACTGGCTCTCGTGGCTCATGCAAGCTGCAAGGGACGAGAACAGGTGGCACCGCGCGAATTGGTCAGTGTGACGCGGGGATGCATCTTGTTCTGTCAGTAAGCGTGTCGATGTGCGACAGCATGGCATAGAAGAAGGTACAAGATGCTGATCGCGATCTCCGGAGGGAGAAGCGATGAGGTGTACAAACGGTCACTGTTGAGGTTCAGGGGGGACAATGGAGTGGTTGGTCTGGAGGGTGCATGATCCCATTTCCCTTCTCTAGCACTCATCGTCAAGTAAGGTAGGTAAGGTAGGTTGGCGTGTTAACGCGTGGTTCGCTGGACTCTGTTTGCGAAATTTATTTTGTGCCTTGGCCGCTAGTGATTCTTCGCAATCTCTGTGCCCTGCGCTGATGATGGCGTGCATGCAAGACCTTCGTCCTTGCAGGGTGGGTTATCGTCAAGAATCATCACCGCTTACACCAAGAAGTTTGGTTTGCTCTTGAGTCCTGACGCCCGATTCAGACAGGGGTAAGATTGTACATACAATGTCGAACTGCGATTTGCCGTGGTTGTAGGCAGCCTGCCTTCTTTGGTAGGGATTTCTTTCCTATTCCTGATGTCCAGGAAGTAGCGGTAAGCTCTGCTCTCGGCCGACCACGGTGAGAGCTGTCTTGAGCTTGCTATGAAGGTCATGGCAGCCTTTTGGAAACAGGGTTCTCTTTACGCCTCGCCCCTCGGCGATGGGATGACGTTACCTTATGTACATACGTACAATGCTGTCATGTGTCAATCCTCACGGACCGAGACACCGCAAGCACCGCAAATTCCTGGATATCAAAAGCCCGATGCGGCAGCGCGGAAGCAGACAGCAGACCGCAGACAAGCTCACAGTTTCTGCCCATTGACCAGCTGCCCCATCCGTTGCCTAAAAAGGCCCGGGAATGAGGGATGGGAATGTGTTGGCTAAATTGCCGCCACGTCAAAGGCTCCAATCACTTGTCCTGGTCGGACCATGGCTTTCCGTTGGCAAAGAGTCATGCACAAAAAAGTACATACCTTCAACATCGGCGGGCATTGGGTGGAATAATGTCGTGCCTTGAAGTATAGTTCATCTTGGCAGCCGGTCACTGCTTCCTCCACGGTGGGAAGAAGTGGATGATAGCAGACTTGGAGGGAAGAACTGGTGAGAGTTTTGTCCTGGCTTGGAGGAGTGGGGTAACTACACCTTGCTCTCTGGATTATCCGGCTCGATCACATATGCAGAGGTCGCCTCTCCTCTCCGGACAAGGGAGCTCAAGACTAAAAAATCAAACCTTAAGAGTGAAAGCAACTTATACAGGTAATCCCGGTGAAATAGACGGGAGTGAGTGTAGGAGCAAGGCTCCGTTGGCTGTTGGCTGTTTAGGTGGTGCATGATGGTGGTGTAAGTGCTAACGCCGGAGGAGTCTCAGATGTAGTCATGTCGAGTCATACATGATGCACGAAGCAGGCACAGGCTCAGTAATGTTGTCTATCTCGTCACACGAACGGAATTCCCTTCTACTGAATTTATGAGCCAGATTGCTTCGCCGGAATGAGGCCATAATCCCATAACCTTGAGTTCAAGCTGCCATTGAGGACCTTGGAGATACTCGGACAGATAATGCGGGCCCACAGTGCCGGGGTTCAGCTGGAGGCCATATTGAGAGGTAACCCTACCGCTCCGGATGTGACAAGCCCCAAATCGCACTCAAAACCTATTCCCCAGCGATAGCAGCGATGCCGGCCCGCCTTGGTTTATTACATGCAGCTGGAGTTTGCCACCTTTCTAAGTGGTGAACGGTTTTTCCTAGTGTGCGGAGTAGCAAACGAGGAGGAGGGGGGAGGAAGGCCGTAGGTGGTTGACAGCTGCAGAACCCCTTCAGTGAGCTCAACGATATCACTGGACAATTGGATGGGCCCAGTGAAAGAAAAAGACTTCGAACCCGGGCCAGATCGGCAAGCGACTCTCTGAAAAAACGAGACTAGCTATTAGAAGTTATTTTCCGTTCTTGCCCTATTGGGCCTCACGTTCCAGAAGAAATGCTCCAATTGCCAGCACTTATGTAGCTGGCAAAGTACCTATGCGTGTGAGAACTAAAAGTTTCTACCCCCACGAGGTGATGCTTAAAGCTGTTCCTCCTGGTCTGCCGTCTTCCGTTTCTGACGAGCTTCATGCGCAACCTTACTTATGCTTTCTTCTCCCCGCATTAGCAAAAGCTTCCGTATGCGCTGGGAGGAACCTTGGAGCGGAAAAGCCTGACGTTTGCTGAGCCTGACGAAGCAGAAGTAGGTTGGACCCAGCACATACAGAGGACAGTTTTAAACTCGATGAGGTCGCGGCTTCTCTCTGTTGTTTAGTTTCCCCTTGTCCCTGTGTGTCCCCGTGTACTTCCTTCCTTCTAGTCCCGACTTTTTGGAAAGTGCCCTTGTGCCTAAAGTTACTAATCACGACGGATTTGGGAAAGAGCTGCAACATTGCAAGCACAGCATGGCGCCTCAGAAATTTGGCAGCATGCGCCACAAATCACGGCCAACGGCAATGCGGCTTGCTCCTTTCCGAGATGACGCTGGCTTGGTCGCACTGCGGTACGAGGAAACAAAGCAGGCAGAACCCCCGATCCCTATTCCTCCGCCACGGAACCCACGCCGGCTGCTGAACCGATCCCCGTCGACCACCACATCGCCCTCTCTCATTGTTGTCAATCCTCCGCCCATTCCCCCACCCCAGGAGGAGCACCCGCTCTTCCGGACCGGGGCCCTGCCGCAAATCGAGGAACGGAAGCGAGACTCAGGGGCCCCGACATCGTCTTCTGTCACGCTCCGTGAAGACGGCGCTGAGGATCCCCTTTACCAGAAGCTCCTGGCCGATATTGCCGATGCACCGTCATCATCTTCGGCAGACGAGCAAAGCCCCCAGTTGTCCCCGGCAATTGACAGCCCATTCGCACCTCCTCCCCTGAGACTTTCAATCTCGCATCGCACAGGGGAGTCAGCAAGCGAGGTTACCTCCCCAACGCAGCCGGATCCACAGGCGTCGCCGACGCCTCAGATCCCTCTGACCAGGAAGCTCAGCAAAACCTTCACCATCAAGTCGTCGAGCGGATCAAAACGGTTACGGAAAAAGATGCTTGGCGGCGATAAGGTTGCATCTCAAGATGCGCCTCCTGTCACGGAGCGGGGCTCGCCTAAGTCGCCGAAACGGCCCAAATCGCCCAAGTCGCTCAAGTCCCCGAAGTCCCCTGAGCTTCCCCCACACTCGACAGGGTTCCCCAGCCACGAGGGCGAACAGGATTCTGAACGTTCTGAATCCTTTGCGCCCATCACCACTCCCATTCCCGAAGATAGTTTATGGGACGAGTTGGGCAATCTCTCCTTCTCCACGAGGGGGAGTATCATGTTTGGCGGCAAGAGCAAATCCCCCTTCAATCTGCTGATGATGTCGACAACGACGACGCCCGCGCCGGGAACAGTCGCAGCCCCTGAAGAGCAGGCCGCGAGCACATCTCACGATTTGACGGACCCCAAGCCGGACACTGCGATAACAAACCATGCCGATGCGATCACTGAGAAACCCCGCGCCGCCGCCCATGTTGATTCACTGTCTGTGCCCAGCATTCGTGTCTCGTCGATAGACGTAGAGAGGGAATCACAAAAGGTGAGATCGCTCTATGAATCTGGCGATGACCTGATGTGGGAAGATGGGGCCCCTGTCTCGTTTGCCGAGCGTCTCGCGCCCACACAGGAAGTTCCATCAGAAGAGGAAGAAAACGTCGTGTACGGTTTTCCTATGACTTTCCGGCTTGCATGTGCTGGCTCGATGCTGACTCGTCACTCTTACAACCTAGATCATGTCGCCAGTCAGACCCTCCTTCAGGACCTCCTTCGACTCTACCGCCAGGCGATCATCTCACTTCGCTTACGCGGGCATTAGCCATTACGCCACGGTCGGCCAATTCCTTATCACCGCAACGAGATAGCCAGGTCAGGCGAGAATACGAGTGCGCGGGCGGCATCGAGGATTGGGAGGATCTAGAAGGCGCAAGTGTCGACCGTTATGGGTTCATAAGCAATAAGAGGCCGGTATCCAGAGCAGGGTCGGCAGCCGAGTTGAAATCATCGCAATTTGCCCCTAGGAGGAGGAATGTCTTGGTCAAGCGCCCGGTGACAGCCTACTCCTCGTCGGCGCCAGGAGGCGGCTTTATGCGCCCTCCAAGCAGGAAGGTTTCGGCGCGATCACTCAACACTTACACGTCTGAGTTGTCAACAGTCTCGCGGCGGTCAACTCGGTCGTCACTAAGGGCCGCTGCGAATCGACTACCGCACAACAGGGACCGTAGATGGATGGACGAGGCCGGAGAAATGCTGTCCCTACAAGCCGGTCTTACTGGCATCACCGACGACGACAAGACGGGCAAGACCATCGAAGCCCAAAAACGCAAGGAGGCGGAACGATCCGAGAAATGGAGGAAGATGGCCACTGTCGTCAAGGCCGAAAAAGGAGCCCAAAGTCTAGGCCAGGCACAGGGTCAAGGAATGAGCTACGAGTTTGACACAAAAAGCACGAAGTTGATCGAGCGCACCTGGAAAGGGATCCCTGACTGCTGGCGATCGGCAGCCTGGTATTCGTTTCTCGCGTCGAGCGCCAAGGCATGGAACAGCAGCGAAACAGACGAGCGGCTGATAGCCGAATTCAAAAGACTACAAAACGTAGCATCCCCAGATGACGTGCAGATTGATCTGGATGTGCCGAGGACTGTCAATGGACACATCATGTTTCGGAGAAGATATCGCGGCGGTCAGCGTCTGCTGTTCCGCGTACTTCACGCCATTTCACTCTACTTCCCCGAAACAGGCTATGTGCAGGGCATGGCGTCGTTGGCCGCCACGCTGCTGTGCTATTTTGACGAAGAACGATGCTTCGTCATGCTTGTGCGCCTGTGGAGGTATCGCGGACTTGAGTACCTGTATCAGCCCGAGTTTGCCGGGCTTATGGCAGCGCTGGAAGATCTGGAGACCCGGTGGCTGGCCGGCAAGGACGTAGCCAGCAAACTTGTAGGTTCCCCAACACCGGTTCCCGCCCATATCCTCCCGACTGACCTTGGAAAACAGAAGGAACTCTCCATTCCCGTAACCGCCTACGGCATTAGGTGGTACCTCACCCTGTTCAACCTCTCAATCCCCTTCCCAGCACAGCTCCGCGTGTGGGACGTGTTTATGCTCATGGGCGAATGTCCGCCCGACTTATCCGACTCGACGACCGAAGCAGAAAAGGAAAAGGGCAAGTCCAAGGAGGTAACCGGTGACAGCAACCTTGCGAGATCCCTCAAGGGTCTTGACATCCTGCACGCCACCAGCGCGGCCCTGATCCACGCCCTTAGGGACGTGCTGCTGGACTCAGACTTTGAGAACGCCATGAAGGCACTGACGGCTTGGATCCCCATCAAAGACGAGGACCTGTTGATGAAGGTCGCGAGGGCTGAGTGGCGGCGGCATCAGGGGAGAAGGGCTGCTAAGGATAAGGATAAAGACAAGTGATGGATTTGCCAACTAGGGACGCTCATTTGCAGCCTTTCCTTTGTTTTTGTCCCCGCGCTGAATTTCTCTAGTTCTTGATGGCAAGTGAGCCTTTATATGGCTCACCCGTGGAGGCTCGGGAGGGCGTTCGAGTGGGTTTTTGGGTTGACTGGCGGTGTTCATTTTCGGATCGGAGATTGTTGATACCCCTTACTCTATACCCGTTTCGCGATTTGGACGCAAGGAGAAGTTGGAATGGCGGCGGTCAGATCACTGCTCGTTTTCGACAAGCGACGGTCGAGTTGCGTTTGGGCTTTTGGATTGTTGAATTGGGAGATATATAGTTTGGTTAGCTAGTCTGTCTATGCATTCTTCCCCTTTGTCTTTTGTGGAGAGGATGATACTGAAGGAATCCCTTTCTGCTCTCAACCTAGGCCGAGCTCGTATTATGGAGGATGCCACTTGTTGCAGTATAGATTATGCTACATTTGCTAAACTCCCCAACTTGAAAACACACGACCTCCCCATACCGTCTTGTCTCCCAGCCCTCTTCTGCTATTGAGAATGACCTGATCTACAGTGCCAACGTTAAGCAGAGTCTTGTGAAGCTCGTCTCCGTACCCTTCTCCCTGCGTTCCCCGGAGATGGACGTTTGCGACAAATGGAAAGGTGTGCAAGAGGGTTTCGGTATGATAAATGGCCAGGGATGTGATGGCTCCTGATACCACGCGACATTCATCGACTAGGACTTCGCTCATGAGCCTCTATGAAGCTGATCAGTTTCCGTGCCCGGGGCAGCTGCTTCACCAGCGGCATCCATTCTTCATCACCCGGTCTTTGCACCCCATATGTCCTTCGCCACTCCCAAATATTGACCGACAGCAGAAACAACAGGGGAGTGGCTCATCTTGAGATAAACATCCCTAGACCCGCGCTCAGGGAAGCAGCAATACGCACCGTGTACCGATGTACTGTACCGGGAACTAGAGACTCCGGCCGTAGACACGGTGGTGTCTAAGCATTGCTACTCATCCGAAGTCATGACCATCTCGTGATACTATCTCCATCGGCCAGTCAGTTGATGTGTTACCCGCTATGTATGCGGTTCACGGGCACCAACCAGTCTCAGCTAAGTTCCGAATCAGGAGAGGCCGTGGAAGTAACTTATGTAGTCGCAACACATAGGATGATAGGCGGTAATGCACCGAACTTGTATGTAGATGATATCAACACACATCACCCTCCCATCTCACCATGCTCCGGAGCATTGCAGGTAATCGCTTGCTGATCATCCGCCCAACAGCGGCCGACAGTTTCTCCATGTATTATTGTATGTGCCATAACAATACATAAGGTACACAACAGAGCGTACAGTACATACAGCTTGGCCATCGAGTCCAAGTCAACAAGCCCCGAAACCTTACATACCTTACTTAGCCTCTCCCGCCTACTTGCCCACCTACCTAGCCCACCTACCATGCGTACTACACGTGTATCTGCTGTCCCAACAACAGCGCCACCACCGCATCCCTTTCCCCAAAGGTTTGTTTTCGCTCCCCCTTTTGGGGGAGTTGAGACGTCTAGTCTTACACTACACCCCTTGCGCGGCAGATGGGCCACATTGACGTTAGCTACGGCACAGGCAAGGGGGCACAGTCGTCTTCCCCCCTTGTTTGTCCAAAAGACCAACCGCACGTGTTTTCACATCCGTATCTGGGAGAAACGGTGTGTGTGTGTTACACCCCGCAGCGAGCCAGATGCGGTCAGACGGCTGAGCTTCCCTTCCTCTGCCTGGCATGCAACATACTGGTAGTATTGCACTTACGATACGGCAACAAACTTTGCCTTGTCTGTTTCTGTTTCGTCTGAGTGTGTTTGTAGGAGCTATATACGTATACAGTCTCTGCTTATCAATCTTGCTCCAATCTTGCTTCTGCTCCTTTCTCTCTGCAGATAGTTATGACATGCCGTCCCGCTGTGATCCGGGGTATGTGTTCGTACATTCGTAGTATGGACATATGTATGTGCGGTGCGTACTGTGCCACTGTAAGGGAACAACAAGTCAATCACCTGCCGATACGGATTGTGGCACGTAGACGTCAAGGCGCAATCAGCGGATGGAGAGAGAATGGGTATGAAGATATCATCAGCACAGCACGGACAGTGTGCTACAGGCGGCAAAAGCTCAACCAACGGAGTATGTATGTAGGAGAAAACCCAAAGGGAAAGAGCAACGTCCAGAGAGGGAAAAAAGCAAGACTACCAAGGTAGTTTCTAAAATAGCCGCGGATGTCAAACCACCCGAACAGGCAGGTAGGCGCTCACCCGCACCAGCTTTTGACTCGGCCGCCGTGAACCCGCGTCTAAGGACCCCTCTGACTAAGAATTCAGCCGCGATTTCCGGCTGGCCCGGCCGCGCGGGATGCGGATGAAGCGGGATGCTTAAGGATGCTGACGTTTGCTGGCCGGAACATGGCAGGTAAGCGCCGTGGGAACGGGATTGGGCGGGAGTTGGGGAGCAAGAATAGCCGACGTTCTACGACCCAGTACTACCTTACTTAGCCAAGCTCACCAAGTCTACCCAGAAGGAGTGAGAAAAGACAATGCAAAAGATGCAAACCGGAAAAGGGCGCCTAGTGAACGGAACGGACTCCGGCGTTCCTGCTCTCTTCCCAAAGCGGACAAGAGTTGTCTGACAAGCGCAGGGACACAGTGCACTGCAGCAGCGAGCGAACGTTAACGGCGGCAGCACAACACGAAGCTTGCCAGCTCTAGGCTCCTGCACAGCAACATCGAGACGCCAAGCGCGAAGCTGTCCGTTTTCGACCAAAAGAGAACGTTGTGTAGCACGACGTCCCGTGGTCTCCGGCTATCTCATCTCCTAGCCGAGACAATCTGACCAAGGATTAGCGGTTGACACAGATCATAAATACGTAGTAGACTATGCTTGAGGGAAGTCTTACCAGGCAACATGTTCGATACATGGAGCGCCTCGCTCTTGCTGTCCTCAGAATGCGCACAAAAGGAGCAAGTCCACCCATCACCTGCTTCGGGGTAGTATAACAACCCCCCCCCCCCCACCTCCCCCCAAAGTTTCATCGCCCACGTACTTCCGATAACACCAGTGCGGATACCACGCACTACGAAGGCACCTAGCATTTGCGTCTTCTCACCTAATAATCTAGAGAGCAACAATTCAATCAAATTTCTGCCACATTGGTACAATACAAAGCACCTGTTATAACATAATTAGCATCGAATAGAAAAAGGATGCTAGGCCAAGGGAGTTTACGGCTCGCCTAAAAGGCCCCTTCGGGTTCAATGGGGAAGCGCGTCTGCATCTTGGGGATGCGCGGGTGGGTTAATCGGACGGCACGGAAGAGCATCGCAGATCACCGTCGATCCCGAGCCGAGCAGCCGCCTTATGTCAAGATGAGCAATCAGCACCGGTTCAGAAACGGCACGGCCTCGATCCAGTGATATCTCAAAATATCATGCCGCGTAAACGCGTGCTGGAAGATCGTCAGATCCTGCCTGTAGAGACGATGTAGCCAGCTAGGTACGGAGAGCAGCATCCCACTTGCCCGGTGTCGCTTCTTGATCGCATCGTCGCAGCTGCGTCTAAGTCAGCCGGCCAGATACGGACAATCTTGATGCAATTGAAGGCCCGGTGTTCCCTTCAGCGCCGGTAGGCTAAACTCTAGCTGTTCTCCCGGCGTGTTGTATCACAGCATAAGGCGTCGAACTGGGGCACAGCTACACGGGCAATGATATCTAGCCGCAAGCGCAGTCTCGCCTGTTGAGCCAATCCGGACGACCGACTTGGCGACGGAATAGAAGGCTGTATTATAACGTTGAGCCGTATCATCCTCCGGCATTGCAACCGTCACCTCGGACGCCTGCCGTACGCACCTAGTCGGTTTCGACGCACAGAGACGGGACAGAAAAGAAGCATTCCCGCAAGCGGCTCAGGCTGCGCTTAGGTTTGATCAGGCGTTGGTAGAGCACCGAACAATGCAGCTTGCAGTGTCGCATTCGAGATTTTGCCGGAGGCGACGGCGGCTGGATGCGACTTCTTCAGCGTCGTATCACTCGTCCAAGGGCTCGGAGAATTCCGTCTCGCCTGCCTCCCCGGCTCTCCGCTGCAATAGCGACCCCGAGGGCTGTCTGTCGCTGGCGTTGAAGCGTTGCGACTGGCGTACACGTCGATCCATGTCGACGAACGCCTGCCGTCTTGCCAAGCCATGCTTGGGAGGAGCAAGAGTTGCAGGGAAAGGATCGCAGCCGTGCCCAGTAAGCACGCCATCAGGCTTCGGAGTGAAGGTTTGTTGTGGGGCGGGGACAAGCGGTTGCCGGTCCCGAACACCGGCTGGGCCGGCGGATCCCGCACGAAAGGAGCCGGATGTTGGGCTGGCGGCAATGAACACAGAATTCGCCGGTTATAACCTGGGGATACTGTTCATCCGTACACGTACAAGTAGGTAAGGTAGGTAGCCATCTTCCAAAGACCTCGGATTTAGGTATGTACTGTACCTTGGTTGAATGTGTGTGCACTGCTGGGACGCCCTCGTTCGCGGGCCGATGTGCTGTTCAGAGCTGAAGGTGCTTCTGTCCAAACAAATAGAAACCGGAAAGATATCTACAGTACCGTCCGTGCAGACGGAATCGGAAGTAGTTGCATGTTCGTACATACCTTACCTACCTACCGATCGTGTAGTGAGGTGTCGTGGAGTGAAAGCGCCGGTACAGTGCGAGTTCCCTAAAACGACCGTGGTCACGGACCACAATGTGGCCTTTTACACTGTATCCAAGCCATGTGCCATACGCTGTCGTGACTCTGCCCGCAAGCCGCCAGCAAAACGGGAAGGAAATCGCAGATTTCTAGGCCCTAGAAAGTAAGTCCATCTAGGCAATCGCAATTCAGTACATTCAAGTGCCTATATCTGGAATTTCGTGCTAAATTTTGAATGTTTAGCTGGTGTACTCCGGTGCATGTCGACCACGGTCGCTTTGTGGAGGGACCACGGTCGTTGTAGGGAACTCAGTGCAGTGGGTCTCTGCCCCGGCGCACGGTTCTTGAGTGTCGTCTCTCAACAATGATTTTCCCAAGTTCCAACGCCAAACCATTTTGGGCTTTGTACGGAGTACCCAGCCTGAAACAACGGGTTTGATTTCTGTGCAGCCCTATCAGTACATCTGTACGGAGGTACTCCGTACTGTTACCCGTAACTTTACTCCGTATAACCAACGTCATCCCCCTTTTGGTTGTTGTGCATCGTCACTTCCCTGATTCCATGATATGGATGCAGTGCATTAGCGAAGGCTAGAAACCGCTTGTTATAACTTCGCGGTGCCCCGGAGCCCAACGGTTGGGAGGTTGGACAAGCAAATGCGGTTTCCTTCAATGCAACCCGTCTGCAGGGTTGCCCACAGCGAATGATAAATTGCCCGAAGTCTACCTTCGTACATCGAGAATCGTCGATCGTGAGAACTTGGGCCTGGTGTGGGTGGGCGGCCGTTTGGTTCTCCTTCAAGTGAACTGTGTCTTCGCAGGTAGCCGGCACAGTTTATACTCTCGTTTGACTTGTCCTATCTTCTCTTCGCCTGCCTCTATTAGTAGTTACCTATGAGTCTCTACGCTGCAAGTTAGAGCACTATATGATGTATACAAGCAGAACATACAACGCCACTCTTTGGTGTAACTGCAGCTCGCTTAACCGGCACTTCGTACTGTACAATAAGCAGAGCTCTGAATTCGTCACTGTGATTTATCGATCAACAAGCGCGCGAGAAATGCCCAGCCTGCAAGCGCTTTGGCATGTTCCCGTTCTGGCGCATGATCGCATACCTACTACGAAGGCGCCTGCGCCGGGATGGGGAGTATGTACATACATACAGCACACACATATCTATTTGAAGTGCACATCACTTGCCTTTCTGGGTCGGGTCAGTTAGTTGATAGGGATGATACCTCCGTATTGGCCCAGCAGACGCAATGGGACTGAACGGGCGCTTGCGAGAGCGGGCTGACGACTAGACTCCACACAGTCCACAGTGGAGAATGCACAAATTGAGAAGGGGCTATGGAAGAGTTTGTGAAAGGAAGAGACGCTTCTCGATCTTGGACTGGTCCATCTCCACTCATCTAATATGTACTAACAATGCGCGGACTCTCATCTCTCTGATTGCGAGGAATGGGACGACAGAGGCGGGGTTTGGAATTGCAGGAGGTTCCTGGTGGAGTGCCTAGAGGTACGGAGCTTACCGATAGACCCACAAGTACGAAGTATCCGTACCTAGTGTACGGAGTATGTACATACGTTCGTACTTCGTATGAATACCACCTTACGTAGGTACCTAAGTCTCTGCAAGCTTTGCTAGCGGTGTAAAGAAAGGACGTTGACCAGGCAGCAAGCTCTATGTTCATAATATCTGTGTTACGAGATCTCTGCATTTGGCCGCAGGCCAGTCGTTTGTACGACTCCAAAAACCCGCTTTTGTCAACATCACAAGCGACAGGATCATTAACTACCTGTTGCAGGGTATCTTCGATCGCCGAGGCTAACTTGATGGAGCGGCACACGCTAACTGCATGGCCCGTGCTCTTTTCCGATCCAGATCAAGTGCTGGTGGTTCGGGAAGGCGAGCCTCAGTCGGGGAAAACTGACGTGGCTTGCTTCCAATCCAACCCTCTCCCATTCTGTGACAGCCGGTTTTCTCCCACCATACCCAACCAAGACATCTTCTGCAATTGGCCATGCCTGAGATGGAAGCATGCCGCCCATGTAGTCATCAAACCATCAAAAGAGGAAACCCAAGAAGCAGAGGGAAAGAAGTAAAATAAAGGCACTGATTAAAAGGACACATCTCGAAGAAATCTATCCTCTTCTGGTTTGACATGGTCAGCTTGGCAATTGGTGTAAATCTGAGCTTGACATCGTCCACAGTGCGGAATTGTCCCCTGACCGTTTTCCCTCCCAATCGTTCCTCAAAATTTGAGAACGTAACCTAGGTAGTAATACACACTTAATTGACGGATTAATACAGCTCGAATATACATTTGGCGAATATGTATGTAGTAGAAAAGAACAAAAGTGCCGCATCGGTGAAGAGACGGATAGGGAAGCAGTCCCGTAGCATGCTGGCGTGTTTGAGGCAGGACCAGGGAGGTGGTATCGACGAGGAGTTGAATTCTTGCGCGGCGCGACCTGGCCTTTTCTATCCCGGTACGTGTACTGTACATACACTGGTGTACATACAATACACACCCGGCGGATCACGGTTCCGCGTTGTGTTCCGGAGGGGTAAGTTGGGGCTTTGACATGGGAACACAGGGTGCCAGGGCCACGGCAAACCTTGCCATGTTGCCTTTCTCGCTTTTCGAGAAGCACAATGTCTCGCTTGGAAGACCCTTGCTCCATGCCCGCACCCTTGGCCCGGTTTTCGTGGCCATCCTGGGGATTACCGCAAAGGGAAGGGGGGCGTTGACGAGGCTGAAACATCGCTGGAAATTAAGGTTCAGTCAATATCTCCTGGTCTCGTGGCTGACGATCCTGGAACTCCACCACTGCGCATATTTTCCTCCGACAACCGGGGCGACGTCCGCCGCTCGCCTTCACCATAGTGCGATTGGTGATGCTGCTGCTGGTGTTGTTGTTGCAGATGGTGCTGCCGCGAAGGCCCTGGTGCCTGCGACGGGTGTGGGTTGTCTGACAGTAGTGATGACACCGAGTGGGCTCCAGTCCGCCCAAGTGGAGGCGGAGGTGCAAATGAAAGCGGCGCCTGTTGTACTTGGGGTTGGCTTGATGATGGAACCTGGCCGCTCTCCCGGGCAGAGCTCGCCCCGGTTCCCGCCCCTGGCATCGGCGACATTTCCCTTCCCGGACCTGAAGTCTCCCCCCGTCCTCGCCCGCTTGGTCGGTATGAGCCCAGGTCGCTGCGTTGCCGCGAGTGGCCTCTCCTGCGGCCCGGTGGCGGATTCGACAGCCCCGTGCTATGCGAGAAGGGCGGCGACCGAAGACGCTGTGATGAGCTTGGCGGAGGAACTGGCTGCTGCGGCCCTGTTGCTTTTCTCTTCCGTGGCGATTCCCCTAGTGCGTAAACGAGCCGGTTAGCCCGTGCCAGCGCCTCATGAACGCGATTTCACCTTGGACGAACCTGAGGGCGTGGCGGGCTGATCAGTGCTGCTCCGCCCTCCCGCCTGCGTCGTCGGCGGCTGCCAGTGGTGGAAGTAGATGGACGGCGACGGCTGTGGCTCCTGCTGTTGTTGTGACTGGGCAATTCCGGGGTGCTGGGCTGCCCCCGAAGCGCTCCCCGGCCCGCCGGGCACGTTCGTGTTCAGGTTTGGCAAGCTCGGCCCACCCGCATGCGGTCGCCCGCCCATCGTCCCTGGCATGCTCTGTCCCCTTGGCCTCGTGGGAGATCCTGGATAGCCTGACATGTATGCGCTGGGGGGCCCTTGCGCTGAGCCTGGCGTCGAGGGGACGCCGCTAGAGGTCGGGTACTGTCCGTACGTCTGGGCTTGCGAGTCTCGCCTCTGATGTTCTGGAGAGACGGGGCCCGGCGGCATCAACGCGGGCGGGTGTGGCTGCTGGGATTGCGACATCATGTACTGCTGCGCCCACTCCAGGGCTGCTGGCGGAAGGATTCCTCCGCCCATCCCCGCAAACACAACTGGCACCAGTGGCGGCGGGATCCCTCCCTGCAGAGAGGTTCTCAAGATCTCGTGCTCCACTCTCCTCTGTTCAAGGCGGTAGCTCTCCTGCCGGGTCCTTTCCTCCTCTTGCCGCCTCTTGTCTTCCTCTGCCTTGGCAACAAGCCATGCTTTCATCGACTCCTCATGCCACGACGGAGCCGTAGGAAGGGCGCCCAAACTATGGCTCTGCGAGGTCGGGGGTGGCGGAGCTGCCGGAGCTACTGACAAGCCTGGTGGCGCTGGGGGTTGCGAAAGTCCAGATCCGGGGGGCGGTTGAACTGGAGGCAGAGCCGCCGGCGGAGGCAAGTTGCGATGAGGTGCAGACATGAGCTGATCAGACGGACTGCTGCCCCCAGTGGTGATGAATAACGCCTTCTGGCCCGGATCCTGGTGTATCAAGGGGGGAGAAGGTCGAGATGTGCTCGGCGGCGTAGGTAGGTCATGGACAGGCCTGTAGCCGTACTGCACTGGCTTGTTGATGGTAAGCATCCTCGTCTGAGTGGAGGCAGCAGTGCGGACGAGGGAGAAGGGAGTAGAGGAACATGTGTAAGTCGCAGGGTCGGATTTTATATAAGGGGAAGAAAACGATGGCAGGGGGGGTTAGGGAGACAAGGGCCAGCAAGAGGTGGAAATAACCTTTATTGTAGAAAGGCAGAGCTGGATGTGGCGGCCAGCCTAGGTAGAGATGGTAACAGAGAAAGGTAGCAGGCGGGGCGTGTGGCATGAAACGTCCTAAGTACAGAGCCCACCTTCATCTGGCCATTGGCGCCGCAAAGAATATGTATGTACTTTGCTGAAGTAGGGGGGGGAAAAGGCGGGGATGGCTGATGCGATGAGCAAGCCAAGCCCAAGGTAGAAAAGCAACTACACTAGGTCGACTAGGTAGGTACTCTTCATCAAGGCGGAGCTAGTGTTGAGCGGGAGAGGCGAGGGGATCCTTGCTCCGTAAGGTAGCTCTTTCCCCGTCTCGATCTCCCTCGCCCTTCTGGGAACAAGTTGGGAAGCTGCGAGCCGTTCGGACGGTGTTTGCAGGTCCAGTCCAGCCAATATCTCGGGTTGGAGCGTCGAGCCACGGCGGGCCGCGAGTTACAAGCGGGAAGAACGACGACAATTTGTAGCTATTTCGCAAACCAGCCTGGTGGTTTCTGTTTTAGGCACGTAACCGAGCGGGAAACAATGTGGAGCAGGATTGGGTGTGTGCCCAGAGCTATTTCATTTGGGACCAGCGCGTATCAGAACAGATTGACGCAAGGGTATCGAGCAAGATGGACAAGGACTACCGAAGGGGTTGCCGGAAAACTCGAGACAGGCAACCCGGTGAACCCAGGACAGAGACGACGACTAAACGCTCAGGGCCAGTCGATTGGCGGCAGAGGTCCGCACCGAGGAGCCAGGTCGGGACGAGCTTGGCTTAGTACACTAGGACATCGAGATGGTGCATGGGAGCAGGGCCGGGAGCCAAGATACCAGGAGTCTGGGGAGGGAGAGGATTGGCAGGCCCATGGAACAAGATCTCATGGTATGGGGTAAGGCCGCCGTGGACCACGATCCGGGGCTTGGCCACTTTCCACAGTACATACATGCTCAGCGTCACCTTGACTCAGGCCGAGGAGGAGAGGTGCTCTGATGGAATGCCTGCCCTGCCCACACCACCGGAATTCAGGGAGTAGTGTGCTGTTACAAGGCTGGCTGGCTGGCCTGGGTGATCGCTGTGCAGAACGGAGGAAATTCGTCTGTTTTTAGCACGCGGTCCCGGGCCCCGGTCGATTTTCCCTACCAAGGTCGGTATGTATTGTATGTACCTGTATGTGTGTAGCCCCCCTTCTTGTTCCAAAGTCCAGGGGTGGGCTTGGACTGTGCGAGGAGCCTGGACTCGAGCAGGGTGCATTTTGGATCTGCCAAGATGACGAGGGTTGGCTGGCAAATGAGCGTGTGGAGGTGTGAGAATAACGGACCCTGCTCAATGGAGCTTAGGGTACGGATACATTAGAGAGAAGGATAATCCCCTAGATCAAAAGAACAGAGCGAAACCCCTCTGTTGCATACGTCGTTAGCATTCACCTTTGTTACTCACTTTCAGGTTGGTTGGCCAGAGACAGTTCCCCATACTTTCAGTAAGGGAGACAGATGCGCTCGCAGAGAGTAGGACTAGGCTTGCCCGGTTGGATCTCGTAGGCGGGTTCGAGAAACAGAGAATCGCAGAAGCGCAGAAACGCCATCTGATAAACGAATGCGGTAAACAAGGACATCAATAACAGTGGTTTCAGCAGCAAGTCAAGGCCGCAGATCTGATGTAACTGATTGGGGGACGCACGGAGGTACCACGGTCCTAGGCTCAAGGCCGTTTGGGTCCGGGTGCAGATGGGAGCGAGTTAACCGCGCAGTGTGGGTAGCTTAGGGTAAGTTGGCTGCAACACACGTCCCAAGTGACAACTAATGAGAGGACGCACCGCACCAGCCCCGGGAGTCTCAAATCATGAGGTGAGGTTGCTTATGGCGCGCCTTGAATGCGCAAACTGCCTGTACATAACCCTGGACCCCAAGAGCCATTGCGCTTCGGTATTGTCGAGGCATTAGGTACGGCGTCCGTATCTTACTCATGCTCGACGTTGCGTCCTAGATTGTGATACTTCAAGAGCAGCAAGTCATGGATAAATGCATCTTTAGAATGCACAGTACACACGGGGAGCCCTGGTCAACTACCGGGCCTGAGCGGGCGTAGTCGCGTGGGTACGAACTTCACCAGATATGCTGCAAAGAAACACACATTACCCAGTCGAGCCAGTTTTGGTAGCATAAGGTAGTGGCGAAGCGAGAATTGCAGTGGCATTGGCAACCTGTCGAGAAATAGGTGCCACCAGGCTGACTTGGTTCGTGGGGTCCAACCGGAGAAAGCAAGGGACCTACATACCTGGCTGATGACGGACATTCTCTGCATATGACAACTGATGAGCAAGCCAGGAGGATGCCGGCCGACAGATCACAAGAAAGGTCTTCGATTCGGAATGATGCCAATATGTATCGGTTAGTCGGTTACCTCGCTAACTATACCACCGTGATTTTAAAGACAGTAACGTCAACTGAGAGATGAGGATTTTGAGGTTCTGTTGAACCAGACCTGGTACGGAATGTATGAAGTAAGGGGTGTGGAAAACGGCCTTGAAGGTCCAGCCGGGATTTTAGGCACGGAGATACCCGCAAAGGGACACGTTCAGAAATTATCCACTACGCTAGCCACAAACAGCCAATCAAGGCGCGTGGTCGTTGACAACAGGTCAAGATGCAGCACGCGCCAACTCCAAAACACACAGGTGGTGGCAGGTGGTCTAAGAGGGTGGTCCGAGCGCCAACGCCGAACACTGCGCGCTTCAGGTCGCCTCAAGTCGGTTTCTCCTGGGCGGTAGGAACCACCTTACCGACCGTGAAGAAAGACTGAGTGTCAGTGGTCTGATTGTGTAGCAGTTTCTGCGCCAATTCACGGGAGACGACCTCTTTATGGAAACCCAGGTACCGAGGCGGACACCCTCACTAGCTGGTAGGTCCGACACAGATACACGCCGCGCAGCAACAAGGGTCGACGGAGAGAAAGGAGATCATGGCACGCATCCCGCTGCAGGCGGTCAAGCTGGGACGGGCAAGGTGCTTGCTTCTAGTAGGCTTCTAGCTGCCTAGGGACTTGTACCTCAATGGTCGATGTAAGGTAAGGTACAATACCTACGTTTGCCCCTTCCCTCGGCGCCTTGTCTACGCTGCCGGATGGCCGCCTTAGCACTTTCCCTCTCAATCTGACCTGAATTTCACAGGAGTGTACTTCTGCTTTGCAATGCTTTTCAGTGCATCCTCGTATTAGGATGCCAGTTGAGGATCCCAGACTTCCCTCACCGACCGCCCAAGATCACGGGCGTGTAAGGTACATCCCTACTAGGTCAGGTATGCAAGGCAGTAGCACAAGGTAAGGTAGCGTTGAGCGCTAAGTTGAGGTTTCCATCTTTCTTGGTTGTTACTCCAACTGTTGCTGAGAAACCGCATGCTTAACGGTTCTCTACAGATCCGAGGTCCTGCAGAACTGGACCCGGTTCTTTGAGTCGACCTGCAGACGTGTAGCCCCAGAGCCAACAATAGACAGCACAGCACACTAAGCCTGCTACGATGCCGACGCGCGATGAATGTTGCTCAACAAATCGGGCCCGGTTTTGTTTCACTCCGACAAACTCCATACTCTCGGCCTACTTTTGGTTCTGTCGTGTCTCATCAACTCATCATGAGGCAAAGACTACACACCGTGTTCTGCGCTCCGGAACCGCCATTGATGGGTCCTGGCCCGTTTCATCAACCTCTTTCTCGGTCTTGCAACACCCCGACTAGGGCAAGATGAGTCTCAACACCCTGCAGGCACGGGAAGATGACCGAGTTTTGCTGCTCGGATGCTGCAGAATGCCGACCGATGCTGCCACCTGCAGTCGCCTGTTAGCTATGGTCTGCGCAGAGTCCCAACGCACCCGATACTCCTTCAGCAAGGCATCTCTTGTTCTTACTTGCACGGCATATGCAACTCTGCATACATACGGCGCGTGCTGAAGGGGACTGTATTGGGTCCCTCACCTAGCAGTTGTCTATGTGCGGCACGGCGAGGAATACGCGAATCAAGCTGTGCTTTCGCTGTAGCGGATGCTGCTCACACTAGGTCAAAATCACCAGAACATGCCGGCCGCACGCCTTAAGGATCTAGATGGCTTGATCTGAGTTTACGCACAATCCGTCAATGCCTCCTCTCCGACAACTCCGACTGTGTCCCAGAGAGCCAGCTTGAAAGCTGTTGGAACAGATGACCAACGGCGCCGAGTATACCTTGACGCCGCGGGACGGAAGCTACTTCATCTTCGGACACCCCTCCGAGGCATGAAGACTGAAGCAGACTTCAGCTGCCGAGTAAAACAGACTACTTCAACTCGCAGGGCACCATCGTCACAAGCGCTACGGCTATACCCAAACGAAACTGCGTTGTTACTCGGTCGGGATATTTTGAGCATGCGCACTCTGTCCAAGGCAGAAAATGGGCGCGAGAAGTTTATTGCGTTGCTTAAGACGCAAATGAAGGCATGTCAGGCCCGCGGTCGTCCGTCTTTTGCGGTCAAACAGTACCTTCACGCGCCATCTCCACGCCTCTGTACCCAAGAGTCTACATAAACCTGCCCTTGACAGATTTTTGTCAAGATTCTCTGGAATAACAGCGCGACAAGAGAAAAGTTGGCCCCCCAATTGCCGATCCACCGCTGGGGGTCAGTGAGAAACTACAAATGAGTAGGCTGATCTATTCGTTATAGTTACGTCTTTATGTCTAAAGGACACGCAACACGTACGGTCAGTTATTGAAGGACATGGAAATGATATCCTGGCAGCCCGGTAGACCTTGGGGCCTCGCGCAATCATCTTGGCCGTTACTCAGTGCACCGTAGCCTCGGTCAGCACCCTTTTCTGGACTCCGCGTGGGAATCTGTACATGTGGCGCTTCCACGCCGGCTCAGGACCCTTGCTTCGACCTGGGTCACTGATGGAAGAGCAATCTGAAACACTACCAACTCTTACTTGGTAATATTGCGACCGCGGAAGGAGGACGGCTCGTTTGAAGCCATGTCACACTACATGCACGCCGTTTCTGGCCGGATTTCGCACCCCTGTACGCAGTAGCTCAGACTCTTGTACGGGCCGACATTGAAGACACTTGCCGCTTGGCGCCCCGGGACAGCGAGCCCGGAGAGAGCGCCGGCCACGGACGGATGGCCTCCCCCCCCCCCCCCCCCCCCCCGAAAAACCTCCCATCGAGTAGCCCCAGTATCTCGCAGACCGGGGACGGTCGAATATGTATTGAGTACGTGTCATGGTTCAACGAGCTTCACCATAGCTTTGGCTGTCCTTCCCCGAACCGGCTTGTCGGAGTCACATACTTTGTTATACGGCTATCGTGTTCCTTTGGGCTGTGCAGGTTCTGCTTTCATCGGCCCAATGGCAACAATACGGAATAGGACAAGCCAAGGAGGAAGGGTGAAGATCATTCCGCCGGCGAGATATTGTCTTTCACTGGCAACATTGGCCAGGTGGGTCGAGCCAATTTGGAGACGCAATACTAGGTCAAAGTGATTGGAGATCTAAGGGTATCGTAACTCCTACAGCGGCACATTTGCCCTCGAACAGGATTGGAGTCCGATTAAGACTTAAGCTGACCCAGACCCCGATGAGGCTCACAGGGTGCGCGATTGTGGCACACAACACCGACGCAGTGGAACGATCCATCCCTACTTGCGGGTGCGCTTGTTGGACACGGGGCTGTGCCTCGTACAGCCCTTTCAAGAAGCAGGATACAGGCACCGACGATGGGATGTACTTTACCACAAGCTCTGGCAATGGTTTCTGGCTCTCGCAGCGGTGCCTACATAGTCAGAATCCCACGGAATCAGCTGAGCGTGAGATATCATCCGGTGGAGAGAAACAACAGCCGGCCGGTCGGATTTCCGATGAACAGAGACGCGTATGCAGCATAAATCAGGCGATGGATGTCATGGTCGATGATCAAGGCTGAACGCCACTGGTTCCAGAGGCCCGAGAACTGCATATGGACTTTGGCTTACGCCCCAAGCTGTCCGCCCTGGCAACCACCTCTCCTCGTGTTCACGGTTACTTGCCTGCGGGATGTGACATGGGAGGATGCAAGAGTCACTTCTTGAACCTAGGATATCGGGCGACTCCTTCACCGCTACAAGGCTGTTTTAACTCGTTGGAAAACAGGGTACCAAAACCGCTGCCAAGTTTCCTGTGTCCCAATTTTGGGAGACTGTCGACTGTTGGTGAGAGTGAGGTAAGAAAAAGCCCCTGTTATCGAGTTTTGAGTATATTGCGAGCCGCAAACCCACTCAAGTTGTCTTATTCACACGTCCCTCGATTTCATGTTACATCGGTTGCACGGTCCGTGTCTTGATCAGTTCTGAGATGTACTGCATTCTCCTTCAGGGGCTAACGTCTGTTCCCGATACCATAGATTTCAGATGTCTGGAACCGACTGCGGCGCGGGATTAACAGACTTGTTCGAAAAGACCGACGAATGTTGCAAATTCATTGGTAGAGTGATGGGGGCCATGACGACGGAAGACGACGGCGATGGCGATAGCCCTCCCGCAAAGACATCTTGGCTGGTTTTTATGGCTTGGCGCTTCCGGTGTTCTGTATGTGTGGACATACATACCAGACTCAAATGGAAGATACAAACGGCGGGCTGCAGGACAAGGAAACACTGGTGGGGGCACCCGAATGCCATTGTTTCCGGCGATGTTCAACGGTTATCGTTGTCGAACTTGGACAGCCTCCCGGTCAATCGACCATAGCCCGATTTACGCAGCGCGCTGACTTGTCTAGTCTCCTAAGCGTACGGCAGTTCCAGGATTTAGCGGAAACCGTCGCAACGGCAATACTTGACACGCGTCCTGTGCACCGCGGCGGGTGGCTGCCGGAGCGAAAGAGTGGCGATCACCGTCGGAGAGACCTGCGTGGCCCAAGAGCTTCCTTCGATCGGGTTCTACGTTTCTGATGGATCTCGGTATAGATTAAAAAAACAAGGATGCATACCAGTCGCGGCAATGCCTCGGTCGTGCCTTCTCACCGCTTACGCGTAGCTAGGGTGCCGTATTGTACAATACATAGCTATCGTGCTTCCTCATCCCGCGCGAAACGACAGTCAAGAAGAGGCCGAAAGTGGAGTTTGAGGTTGCACAACACACAATTTATACGGGGTGAGCCGCATTTCAAGAATGCAATGGTCGCAGTCGGACCTGTCCGACAATCTCATTCACTTGAGCGGACAGGATCGGGAGCCGCTTGATCTGGGCTACGAATCATCCGCCAGGGCAGTATTCAATCTCCAAAGCCCAGCAACGTAACTGGCCTAAAAGTCGGTTTGAGAGAGTTATAATGGCCCAATCAATGTCTTGGATAGCTGCCACTCCCGCCATTGGTAACGTCATCGGCCTCGTCTATTCGTTGTTCCACCGAGAAGCGCTCCTCCTTCGGCCGGGGCGCCCCGAGAGCTGCATGTCAAATCGGATCGTATGTGCATCTGTATGGATGGGGACTACGCCAAAAACTCTTGATAGCCGATGGGAAGATGGAGACGTGGCAACTGCATCTTGCAGGCCGTATAGGACTGTCTGTGTAAGAAAGGTGCTCCTTTTTTTGATGTAATCACACCCGTTTATCACCGCGAAATGACCATATCCAGCGAAAGCAGTCGGCAAACTTTGCCTCCGTCTTCCGTGCTCTCGCTCGCAGATCGATTAGACTCTTGAGTTTTTTTGGCCATGCTCATCTGTGGTAGATGGCCAAATTCCAATACTATACTCTATGTTGGGGGTTAGTGTGGTACTTGGCTTAGCAAGGAAGCTTCGACAATGAAGAGTAACAAGAGACAGCTAGTGCTTCCTCACACTCCCCCTTTCCATGCCAACTCAGCATCTCAGCATCTACATACAATGGGCTTCTTGCTTCTGGCAGTAGTGCATCTGTCGGTTGAAGCTTGTGATCACAGGAGAGGGTGTCATGGGAGTTCGAGCCCCGGGGAAGGCAGTAAGCCAGCGAAGTCCAGTCAGGCATCACACGGTACTTACGGACAGATCGTGATCTCTGTGGTGTCGTTGCGGCTTGGTACAGCTGCCGACTTGGAGAGGAAATGAGATGTAACTTAACAAATGTCAATTCAATCCCTCTCCTGCTCCCGTTGACTTTGATATCCTGATATGCTATGCTGCCCTCGTGCCTTGTATCCAACAGTTCACCTTAGTGGTAGCTGGCTGACTGACTAACTAACCGACTATCTTACACGATATTACACGATAAAAGAAAACATTGCGATGGTAACCTGCCGTTGAGAGACCACGAACCTATGTAGGACAAGAGAGAGAAGCAAACGACACGAGAACGCAAGACGCCTACATATGCGGAATGGAAGCCACCCAAAACAAAATCCATAACGTCAAAATGGGATACCAGGCAGTAGTCGTGACGAACACCATGCTAAAGCCAAAAGAAACGGGTTGCGGGAAGAGGAGAGGAGGAAAGGGCAATTCAATGTCCATTCCAAAAATGACTCCATCCGCCGTTCTTGTGCGATTCCCATCCAGCCATCTCAAAGCAAGAATCGTAAATGGGTAACTAGGTAAGCGGAGTATCTACCAAGTTTACGTTGCGGTGATTAATATCAGATCCTGCCACGATGTGCGCCTGTATTATGTACCACATCCAGCCTTTTTTGCAGCCTCCTTTTTCTCATTAAGCACTGAATCCTCCCCTTCACAAATCACAATTCATACAACAACAACCCAGAACATGGGGTCGCCCAAAGTTCGTTGTCCTTAGAAAAACTTTGATAGCGCCCTGCTCAGGTCGATGAAGTCGACCGGCTTGGTGACGTAATCGTTGAAGCCCGCCTCGACGCACTTCTCCTGAACGTCCGACATGACGTTGGCCGAGAGGGCGATGATGGGCAGGGAGCCGAACCCTCCCTGAGCCTCCCACGCCCTAATCTCTCGACAGGCCTGGTAGCCGTCCTTGCGCGGCATGTGGAGATCGCACTGGAAGAGAGAGAAACAGAAGTCAGCAAGGAAAATAAGGAAAAAAAGGGGAGAAAAAAGGAGATAGAAAAAGGAAATCGAAAGCGAGAGGAAAGCGCATACCAAGATTAACGAGTAATACCCCCACCCCCGCTCAAAGACCATATCGGTGCACTCAACCCCGTCAGCCGCGAGCTCCACCTCGACGCCCACTCTGCGCAGGTACTTTTGCAGGACCTTCTGGTTGACGGGGTTGTCCTCGACCAGAAGGACCTTGTATCCTTTGCCGGCGAGGCGCTTCTCCATGTCGGCGTAGCTCTGGCGCTGGTCCTCGACCAGCCTTTGGGCCGTGGACCGGTTGTGGTCGATGCTCTGGTCGCGCTCCTTGCCCGGGTCAAATATGACGGCGAAGCGCGACGGCTTGACGGGCTTGTAAATGTACGTGACCTTGTGCTCCGAGAGTATCTCCTCGTATTTCGTGCCGGCCACGGCCTTGGACACGGCCTGCCGCTGCACCGAGTCCGACAGAATCAGCATCGTCGTCGTCTTGCCCACGGTCGTCGAGTAACTCGTCATGAGCTTGTCCATGAGGCTGATGATCTCCTCCGGGGACGGGAGGTTGACGACGATGTGCGTGAAGCGGACGGCGTCCTCGCCGTCGAGGTAGGCATTCGCTTCCTGCACCGAGGCGACGGCCGTAATCTGATGGGGGATGTGCTTGGGAAGAGTCATCTCAATATGCTTGGTTGTGGCTTCCCGGCTGTGTTTTTGTGGGCAGATGATTAGGATCGAGTACATGGGCGGGGGCACCGGGGTAGGAGTCTGTCCGTTGCTGCTGGAGGGCAGCGTCCCAGGCAACATTTTGTTGGGACGCATCTCGAGCTTCATTTGAGACAAGTCTTGTCCGCTTGCGCGCGCCGCCTGGCTGAAGCGGACAAGTCCGGCGCTCACCGTCGACTCAGACGATCGGTCCGTCGCGCGCGTGTGGCTGGAGGAGGCTGATTGCTCCGAGCTGACGCTAGAGAGCGTAGCTGGGGATCTGAACTCATGGTCCGTGGTTGAGGGACTCTCGGAAGCCACAGGATGGTATCCAGGAACAGGAGGACACTCCATGGGGCTAATAGGCGTTTCTCGCACCAAGCCAGGAGTCGGCTGAGCAGCAGCCGAGTCATCCGGGCGGTCGTGCACTGTTGGAAGGCCAAATTTGGCCGTGAAGGTGAATGTCGAGCCTTTACCCAGGACAGCGGTCCCTTCCATCTTACCTCCGTGGAGCTCGACCAGCTGGCGTGAAATGACCAAGCCCAGCCCACTGCCACCATGCTGCCGGGTACTGCTCCCATCGATCTGGCTAAACGGTTTGAAGATCAGCTCGGCCTCTGCCTTGGTGAAACCTCTACCCGTGTCGATAATGGAGAACTCCAGCATGATTTCATCCGGTCGGAGTGCCACGTCCTTGGGTGTAATAACCTTGCACCTGCTGAATACCTCGCCCTGGTTTGTGAATTTGATGGCGTTGCCAATGACGTTGAGCAGCACCTGGCGGATCCGGACTCTGTCACCCTTGACCCACGCCGGCACATCTTCCTCCACCACGTAGTTCAGCTCCAGGCGCTTGGCTATGGCCATGGTAGACACGAGCTCATTTACATCCTCGATGAGGGAGCGTGTGTGGAACCACTCGTAGCTCAACTTCATCATGCCGGCGTCCACCTTGGAGAGGTCGAGGATATCGTTGATGATCATGAGCAGGCTGCTGGCGCTCGTCTGGATTGTGTTTGTGTAGTCTCGCTGCTCCTCGTTGAGCGTGGTATCCTGCAGGAAGCTGACCATGCCGGAAATGCCGATGAGCGGTGTCCGTATCTCGTGTGACATGTTGCTGAGGAAGCGGCCCTTGGAGTCCATGGCCTCTTTCAGTTTGGTCTCAAGCAGCTTCAGGTCGTTAATATCGGTGGCAGATCCGAAATACGAGCTGGCGCCGTTGCCGAAGTCGACATTGTCTATCTCGACGCACCGGATGAGATGCCATCGGTACTCGCCGCTCTTGGATCGCAGCCGTATTTCAGTCGTGTACGAGAGCCGCCCGCTACTGTCTCTAGAGACCTTAATCACACCCTTCTTAGCAAGCTCTGTAAGATTCGCGGTCAAAGGATCGTTCGTCGAGCCGGTGTCGCTGTCGGTGCCAAAGCTGCTGTTTTGCGAGACAGCAGGTCTCCCGGCTTTGTTGTCAACCGAAGGCCTGTGTCCGTGGCGGTTCGGGCCATCTTGCTGGTCGGGGCTGGGAGGACTGTCAACGGGGATACGGCACTTTGCCAGGTCATCCGGATGAACGTAATCCATGAAGCCAAGCCCGAGAGCATCAGAGAAACCTTGGCCCGTGTACGATAGCCACTGCTCGTTTGCAAAGGTGATGCCTTCGTCCTCGGTGGCAGTGAAAATGATCTGCGGTATCAAGTTGGCGAGCAGGCGGTGTTTAGCCTCGGATGCCTCGATTTCTTCCTGTCGCGCTGCCCTGAGCTCGGCAATGTGCTGGTCGTGAATGTCCATGTACGAGCCGAGGAACTGCAGAATGACACCTCTTTTGTCCTTGGAGGCAACTGCACGAGCATAGAACCACCTGTAAGCTCCGTCAAATCGCCTGATGCGCACTGTCCTGGAGAATTGCTCCCCGGTCCTGACGCACTGGCTCCAGGCGCGAAGGTATTCTTCCCTGTCGTCGGGATGAATGCTTCCCCAGGGGTCAGCTGCGAGGTCCCCTGATGTTTGTCCACGATATGTGAGAAACCGGCTGTTGACCCACACAATTTCACCAGTCTGAGGAAGGGCGACGAAGACGTGAGCTGGTAATGAGTCGAGGATGAGTCCTTTAAGTTTGTCAGAGGGTGGCGTCATTTCAGCTGTCGCAATCGATCCGGTTCTCGAGGGCGGCAGGGGTTGAGAGCCTCTGCTAATCGTGGAGCTAGGGGGTAGGGACTGGAACGTGGAGGCAAAGTCAGCGCCGTATGAATGTAGCTGCGTATGACGTTGGCGAGCCGCGTTAGATGGGGGAGCAGTTGATTTCTTTTGGCCCTCGCTCCCAGCGGTCTGAGACACCGTAGTAGCGCCCTTCTCGGCAACTGCCTGGTCTTTCTGTTCCCTCGACCCGGGGCGTCTCTGCTGGCTACTGTTAGGGAGCAGCTCTTCCAAATCCTGAGCGCCCAAGTCAGTGCTGCTTTGGGGCTCGGCGGCGGCAGGGCTATGTGAAGATGTGTCGATTTTCTGCAGTGGCTTCCCCGCTGATAAACGCAGCGAAAGCCTTTTCTCGCCAGCAGCGGACAAGTCTCGCGAGTTCCTCCTCGCTCGCTGGCCACCGCCGGCCGCCCCATTCTGCGGCACGGAACTGAAATAGCTATCGCCGCCGCTAATCAAGGCCGGGCTGGTAGTTGTCCGCTTGTCCATGACGAACCCGAGGGAAGGCTGCTCCCAGTGAGGTGTCCCGCTCGGAGAGCCAAGAGCGCTGCGGGAAGGGCCAGAAACATCACTCGGGCTGGTCATGCTACCAGCCAAGGAATCCCTGGATGCGGCCTCTTCGGCAGGGAAATATCCCAGCGAAGCGAGCGCGGCGGGGTCAGCCAGCGGGCGACCGTCAGGTCCAAGAGCGCCAAAGCCTGCTGTCTGTGGTCTTCGCTTCTGCAATCCGTTCAACTCGGTTTCCAAATTGGTGTAGTGACGGCAAAGGGAGAAAGAGGTGGCGAGATGGGGAGCGAGATGCTCCAAGGAGTGGCGGAGGGTGGAAGGATATGGAATGATGGGACTTAGTATTGACAGAATGGCTATCGGCGCGTGCTTCTCCTTGACGGCGCGCTCTGGGGACGGATTCGTGACACTGGAAGCATCTCCGCCCTTGCCCCGCGTCGACAGCTTCTTCTCCATCAGAGTATGATCGAGCTTGAAAGTAGGATTCGGCTTTGACAGGAGCACATGTGTCAAAGGGATGTGTAGCACCGTCCAGGAATTGTCAACACCTATGGCCTCAGGCGGCTGCATGGCTGAATAATCCTGTGAGCCGGAGGCCGGGTTAAATGACTCCTCGTCGACCATAGCGTCGGTAAAAAAGGGATTTTCGGCGGAATCAGCACGCACGGCAGGAGAAGGGGCTGGCGATTGCGACCACGGTGAGGGTGGGGCTTGCTCGTACTCTTCGTACCGGGGACTGGGTGGTTTGGGGGCCTCATCCTCCATCCGGCCCGCCTTCTTATCTTGTGCTTGGCCCCTGGCAGCCCGGTGAGCACTGGGGGAAAGAGTCGCGCTGCCGAGTAGCGAAGAGAGCTTTGACAAGGAATCCGCCCGCGATCTTCTCAACCGCTTTCTCGGCCCCTCGGGCGACTTGGCGGTAGGAGCACCAGACCGAGCCTCGGAAGGCTTGCTCTCGGTCGAAGACTGGCCAAGATAGGGGTAGGTCCTGGTTAGTGCAACCACGCGGCCACGCTCTAATATGCGTAGAACGCCGTTGTGGTCAATCAGCGGGTCGGCCTCGTAGTCAAGTGCCTGGAGCACATTCAGCACTTTTCCATGACCCTCCCTCGGCGCTGTGAACGGAACCTCCCAGCTCGGAATGGCCCGACGTTCCTCCAACGCATCGTGTTCCTCCAAGGCCTGTCGGTTTAGGTTGGTGGCATTGTCGTCCTCGTCACTAGCGGTATCATGGTTAAACGTTGTAGTAGGGTAGCTGGATTTACTCCTGGGCAGCTGATAAGGCCGACGGAGTGAGTAGGGTGTTTGCTCGTTCCTCGCCGTCCTTCTCTCCACTTTTTCTTCGTATGACGTGAAGGAATGCCTACTCTGCAGCGCGGGCCGCGCAGGTTCTGGTTTGGGCGTCTCTGCAACTTGAGAAAAATCATCAGAAACTTCAGTGCTGCTCGGAATGAGACTTGAGCCTCGCGCTAGATAGCCAAGACTCAGGTTGTCCTCGCGATGAGCGTTGTAAGTAGCTTTCTGACCCCACGGGACGTTCTCGATATCTGTCGAGTCGGCAGGAACCGCAAGCGTCACCCTCTCGGCCTTGTATACCTCGACCATGATCTGCACAACGGTATGCCACCACGGATCGAGTCCTGGCTCGGCCGAGAGCATGAGGGACAATTCGTACAGGTTTGGGCTCGGATAGTCACTACACAAGTCGGCCTCAGAAGCGCGGCATCCAGGTGGCAAAAAGGTCATAGCCGAGGCCGGCGTGGAGGGGTTCGAGACGACGCTGTCACGGCCCTTGAAGGATTCGTACGACAGGCGATTTCTTTCAGGGGGCGCGGTCGGGGAGAGGGTGGTGAACGGACGGTGAACCGAAGAAGGCAGAAAGCTCTGGGATGACATGCGCGGGAACGGGTACGAAGGTGTCCCAGCTGCCACACCAGGCGTAGTGGCTGACCCTCGAACGGTATTCCCGGATCCGGCCGAGGACTTTGGTTCCGATTCGGACGACGCTGGTTGCGACGGAGGCGAAGTCTCCTCCATGATGGGAGAGACCCTCGTCGGCTCGGGTGCAGGGGGTTGGCCTCCTCTTGCAGGTAACTCTCGCCGTTCAATCTGGCGGGCCAGGGTCTCGCGGTACTCGTTCAACTGCCGTTGCGCATCCCTGAAGTCCGGTTCGGCGGGTTTCTCAGGGCCGCTTTGGCCGGCTACAAGGCGGGGTTCGATTCGGGGAGTCTCATCGCCCTGTAGCGGGCCCAAACCCTTGACGGGCGACGCTGAGTTGGCGTCTGGTTCGGCGTTGCCCTTGAACGAGACGGATCTTTTTTCAGGCGGCCGAGAAGGCGGGCCGGCGATGTCGGGCGACTGTGGCGCGCCCGTACTCGCTGTGCCGCCCGACATTGGTTCGTCTACTGCAGTCAACGACGATGGTCCAGACGCAGTCACCACATGGTTAGCAACGGTCTTCTCAGCTCGACGACGGAGGCACACAGCGCGGTTCAGTATCTGCCGACTGCGTCTTAGCTACCCTGATCAAGCTAGGCGACGAATGATTGCTGCTGGACCTTGGTAATGCTTCGCAGAGCTGAACGACCGTTCCTCATGGGGCTGTACTCCCTCGTGAAGTCGTTTGCACGCGGCCACGCAGGCTAAGTCCGGGGATCGAGCACGCATCCACCACACAATGCTGAGCCGGTTTTTCCCCCTTTTCGGTCTCCTTTTTCTCTTTTCCTGTTTCTGTTTCTGTTTGTTTGTTGCTTTGTTTGGGAGGAAGCAATCAAAAAGAAAATCATCCAAAAGGACGCTGAGAACGGATATTCAGATTAAAAGGGTGTATCGCCTGCTCGCCGGGGATGGCATGACTTGACACGCGCAATATTGTCGCCAGATTGAGCACAGTAAAGAGACGGTGCAAGCTAAGAAGGCAACCCCTTGGTTCCCTGGAAGGAGGCAAGGTATTATTGGGGGTTAATGGATGTGCGTGGTTTTGGGTGGATAACGTGAGTGCGCGCGTCAGTCGGTGGGCAGCCGTGGGGAATGTTGGTTAGTTGGTACGAAGGCAGGTTCGAGGGAGAGAAGGGTTGGCAAACTGATTTGAAAAGGGGAGGCGGGAGAGGGAAGTGACTCTCTTGCCTATGACGTTATGCGCCCGCTGTGCGGCCGATTTGAGACGTGAGGCCAAGAGTCGGCCGCCAATCTCTAAGGATGGATTACCAGGCCTTGAAGAGCACTGCTGACCTACCTACATAAACCAGTGTAGTTTTATATAGTTGATTCCGTCTACACTACTTTACGCGTCTTCTTCTGTCGATTTTCCCAGGCCTTCTTGCCGCTTGGTTTTGGTTGCTGGTGAACATGCCAGGTTTACCGCATCCAAGGTGAAGCTTGAGACTCACCTCGTCATTGGACCCCTGATGCAGGGTTGTGAGGAAAAGGGAAGCAGGCGTAACGTTACGAGGTAAATATACGGTACAATACGAACCATACACCGGAAATGTTGTACCAATCGTCAAATCGTACCATCCCCTAAAAGCTGTTCTACACTACTACTCCGTACACTATCCGTCTGCTTTGGGGCTCGAGTTTCGCTGCTTCCGATCGCTTCCATTCGTTCCACCCTGTGCCGACATATCCTGCTGCCCTTCCCCCAATCCCGTCTGATATGCACGCTTCGTGGTTGATCTTCCAAATCCGAGGGCAATTTTCTAGATCGTCAGAAAGCGCTAACGTACTGTTTAGGATGGTCCCTGAATCGGCCCTCCATCGTACCCCGTGAATAGTAAGGATCGCAGTTGCTGGGGACATCGGGTTCCCTTTTCACTTGATCAATGCTGTGGTGGAAGGCACCAACCAAGGTGAGCGGGATTCTCTATGCCTTTTTGTCTTCAATTCGGTACTAGTATTGTCGTCTATCCGTACATACCTGATGCATTACGGTACAGAATTCCTGTACTGTGTAAGCATTCCGTGGAGCATCTTGAATGCAAGGGGCCGGCTGTAAATTACAGGCATCGCTACAAAGTCTGTCGCAAGTCGCAACGGGCATCTACAAAACATTAGCATACTGCGGGTTGCGTACGCTCGGCGATGCCGCTCCTGCAGGGGGCATTTTCCAAGTCCCCTATGCGAATTTTTTTAGATGGGAGGATGGACAACAGGGCGGGATGAACTTGTACTTCGTACATAAACTACAGGCCCAGGTTACAATACAAAGCTCTGGGAATCACAGCCCCGTCGGCTTGCAGAGCTGAATCGGTCCTTGAGGCTCATGATGTTCCAATATTGGATTTTGTATGTATGGACTGTACAAAGTACTTGTATTGTACAAATTTACACCTCAGGTACTTTGTACTGATACCATTACCTTACAACTCTCACCGCAGGCTGTAACGTCCATCTTGTGCATCCAAAGACCCACTTGCGTGCCATTCCCATACTGCCCCACAATCTGCCCGCTTTCGATACGACGTGGTGATTCGCTAGCTGTCCAAGTTATTTCCCTTGTCCTCTGATCGGTTACGGACTCGGGTCGGGGACTCGGAGCCGGACCCTGAATCTTCCAGGTTCTCGGACGGCCTCCTATGATGGCAACAACCCCGGCTGAAAGTCTAATACCCAAGTTCCATAATCGATCCAAGATATAGGGCATTCCGAAATAATCGGGTGATGCGGTTTCGCAGCCGCCGAAGCCGTGAAGAGACTGAGAGAGGGAAGATGGGAATTTTCTGGCAATTCCTAAGGCATTGCCCAAACAAGGCAGATCCCTTGTATTGGACACGTTCGGTGGTTTGACTGATGGAAGAAATTACGTCAGAGGCGATCAGGGCAAACAAGGGTTACATTTCAGGGTACAAGAATCTGCAAGAAAATGCCGGCCTCATTGGTTGGAATACTGTAGTGCATTGTCCATGTACGTGTACAGTACATGTACATACATACAGAGATTCCGAACCCCTTGGCGGTGTCTGACCCAGTCACCCAATCGTTGATTGCTGCCACCAACACAGCCTATTTCATTGTCAAGAGCAAGAGAGGACGCTTCAATTGAATCGCGATCGCAATGGATTCGCCTTGCCGCACAGTTGACGGATTCCGTCGATAACAATGCCTTCAAATCGATGGGTTTGAGGTTACCATTACACACTCATGTACAAGTATTGTACTGTACAATACATACATACAGGACTTACCTAGGACCACAACCGCAAGCCGAATTGCGGCAATGCTATAAACTATAATTACCTACTAGCTTACACTAGAGGAAAGTTAGCTACTGTAGTGTCCACGGCACTTCGTCGAGAAGGGAATTCGTTCCGAGGGCTTTGGCAGCTTGGATGACCGGAGGGACCGGACCCGGTAGACAACATAGGAGCAAGTCCCGAGGCGTACAATACCTTACATACATCACCCAACAGCACCTTGTCTCCAAACAACCTGCCTTGTGCTGGCACTCTTGATGTGAAGGGCTGAGGATGAGGCAGGAGTGCAATGATATGTATGTACGTTGTATGTACCGTACATATAATACACTGTCCAACCCTACGCGCACAGCGAACGGAAGAGGAAAATGGTCCCAAATATGTACTATACCTAGACAGTACTGTGATAAACGGGTGAGCTCACCTGGGCACAGTGGGCAGCGATTTGGCATTGAACCCTGACTGCCCCACCTGCTGCACCGGCTGTTCTGCGAGGCTGTCGCGCAACCAAAATCAACCAACTGGAGAGTCGCAGGGTGGTAGCTAGGCAGCCTTGTGAGAAAGAAGGCGCTGCAACATGTAGATACTGCCCTAGCCATCAACAATTCCACGAAGGCATATTTCAACACACATATACCTATCCTCCGATTCTTTTCAGGCGAAAGTTGAAGGATTCTTGGGATGAATATTCAGTTGTCAGTTTGAGTCGTGTTGAAGTCTCGCGGTCCGAGCAAACAAACGTTTCGTCCATCAAACAAGGATTATTAGGCGCCCCTCCAGGATGGCCGACTCAGATGGCGAGTACGTCGACGAGTTCTCAGACGACGATCTGGACGGCCACCGCGTGACATCAGGCGCCGACGCCAGCTCCTACGGCACGCGATCCAAATCAGCCCCCGGCACAGGGACCAAAGGCGATGGCCGGAAAGCCAAAGGCAACACGCGCTCAAAGGCGGCGTGGGAAGACGTCCAGCGGTCCTGGGAGCACGTGGTTGAGACAGAAGATGGCGCTATCACCATCGAAGCCCTGATAGAGGCCGAGAAGCGCCGCCGGGTCATGCGAGACACCACGCCGCTGCAGCGGGGCATCATCCGACACCTCATGCTCGTGCTCGACATGAGCTTCGCCATGGCCGAGAAGGACCTGCTACCGAACCGTTACATCCTCGCCCTCAACTATGCCGTCGATTTTGTGCGCGAGTACTTTGAGCAGAACCCCATCAGCCAGCTGGGCATCGTCGGCATGCGCGACGGCATCGCCGTCCGCATCAGCGACATGAGTGGCAACCCAGCAGAGCACATCGAGCGGCTAAGGACATGGGCAGAACAACAGGAACCACAGGGCAACCCTAGTCTGCAGAACGCACTCGAAATGTGCCGCGGTGCCTTGTTGTACGTACTCAGAATACCTTGCCTCTTCGCAGCTCAGCTTCCAACTAACCCGTTTCTCCTCAGCCACACGCCCTCCCACGGCACACGCGAGGTCCTGATTATTTACGGCGCCCTCCTGTCCTCCGACCCGGGGGACATCCACGACACAATATCCAACCTAATCACCGACCGCATCCGGGTGTCGATAGTCGGCCTCGCTGCACAGGTGGCCATTTGCGCTGAGCTGTGTGCGCGCACCAATGCCCCCTTTTCCAACAACCAACCCGGTCCCATCAGCACCACCGCCAACGCTACCAACTACTACTCCGTCGCCCTCCACGAGCAGCATTTCCGCGAGCTGTTCCTAGCCGCCACCACCCCACCGCCCACCCCCGCACCACCACCGACCACAACCACAAACACGTCAGCAGGGACCGCGACCAACGCGTCCCTGCTAATGATGGGCTTCCCCTCGCGCGCGCTGGCGGCCAAGGACGGCGTGTCGCTCTGCGCCTGCCACCACCGGCCCTCGCGCGAGGGGTATGCCTGCACGCGCTGCGCCGCCAAGGTCTGCCGCCTGCCCGCCGACTGCCCCGTGTGCGGACTGACCCTGATCCTCAGCACCCACCTGGCGCGGTCCTACCACCACCTGTTCCCGCTCCGCGTGTGGGTTGAGGTTGGCTGGGCCGAGGCGGCAGCCAGGGTCAAAGCTGCTGGCGGGCCGGCGGGGGCGGGGAGTTGTTGTTTTGCCTGCCTGGTGCGGTTTCCCGAGGTTCCGCAGCGGTTTTTGACGGGGAGCGGGGCTGCTGCTAGTACTGGTGGTGCTGCTGGGAAGGGGCTGAAGGCTGGGGGGAAAGGGGAGAAAGGGGCTGCTGGTGGTGAGGCTGCGGGCGGGGGCGCGGGGGGGGTAGATGGTGCTGCTGCTGCTGTCGTCAAGGGGGTCAGCGAGAGCGGGCGGTACAAGTGCCAGGTGTGCGGGAATCACTTCTGCATCGACTGCGACGTGTTTGCGCACGAGATCATTCATAACTGTCCCGGCTGTCAGAGCGACACGCGCGGACCGGCAGAGCGGAATGGGGAAGCCAATGGCCAGCCTGATAACGGCACGGGGGAGGCGATGGCTGTCGACTCATGACCTTGGCTGAGCGAGTGATAATAAGCTCGGTGAAAGAGAGGAACGGTCAAAGTTGATGGCGTTTGGCTGGTGTTGGACAGTTGAGATACCAAGTTCGCCTCTGACGACGGCGAGGGACGGCAAAGGGGCTCATGGCTATGGCGTTTTGACGGGGCTTATCAGGATCTGGCAAAAGCAATCTTTTTGCATAACCTGGTGGTTCATACATAATGAACCCCCATGAATAGATATTTGTTGTTTTGAACATGGAGATCTAGCTATCATAACTAGGCACATGATTGCATCCTCAAGGAATGAAGTATCAGATTACAGATTCCCGCGCTCCGCTTGCTCCCGCTCAATCGCCTCAAACAGGCTCTTGAAATTGCCTGCTCCAAAGCCGTCAAACTCATTCCGCTGGATGATCTCGATAAACACCGTTGGCCGGTCCATCAGGGGCTTGGTGAATAGCTGCAGCAGGTATCCCTGCTCGTCATAGTCGATAAGGATATTCAGCCGCTCAATGACGTCAAACTCCTCCTTGAGCTCCCAGTTGCGTCGCTCCGTCTTGAGGCGCATGCGCATCGTGTCGTAGTATGTCTTGGGCACGGCGATGAACTCGACGCCCCTCGCGCGCAGGGCGGCCACGGCCGAGACAATGTCCGGGGTGAGCAGTGCGATGTGTTGCACTCCCGGGCCCGAGTTGAACTGGACGTACTCCTCGATTTGCGACTTCTTCTTGCCCGGGGCGGGCTCGTTGATGGGCATCTTGACCACGTTGTTGGGGCTCGCCATGACGATGCTGCTCAGCGCTGAGAACTCGGTGCAGATCTGGCTGTCGTCGACCGACCAGAAGCGGTGGAATGACAGGCACTGCTCGTAAAAGGCGCAGGCGGACACCATTTCGTTCCAATCCTGGTTGCCGACGCAGTGGTCGATGCGCGCGAGCGGCACATCCGGCAGCGTGACGGTGGCCGGGGAGGACGTGACAGCGCGGAAACCCGGCATAAAGGCGCCGCGGAAGTTGTGGCGTGCGATGAGAGTGTGCGTGGTGTCACCGTAGGTGCGAATGACGGCTGTCCGCACGTGGCCGTGCTCCTTGTCGCCCGTCGTCATGGGCGGCTGCACCGAGTCGGCGCCCTTGGCGACGGCCTTGTCGTACACACCATCCACATTGTCTACCTCAAAAGCAACATCCTTGACGGCGTCGCCATGCTTCTCCAGGTGCTCGTGGATCTCACGGAGCAGGTGCCTGTCCTCGGGCGAGATGGGCTCATCCGCTGGCAGGTGCTTCTCTGAACGGATGGGAGATGTAAAGACGAAGCGGATGTCGTCCTTAGCAATCACGTAGGAAGCAAAATACCGACTACCGGTCTCAAGGCCCCGGTAGGCGATGGTCTTGAATCCGAAGAAGGCGTTGTAGTATCCGGCAGCCTGCTTGGCGTTGCCAACCCACCAGGTTATATGGTCGTAGCCGTTAAAGTTGGCAGCAGGCCTTTGGACAGCGTAGTCGGTTGCGCCTTGGGAAGCGTAACCGTTTGAGGGCGTCACAGGATCCGAGATGGCCGACGGTGACATGCTCACAGGGACCGAAGCGCGTGGATGTGGTGCCCGGTTGGTGAGAGAAGGCTTTGCGCTCTTTGGTGACAGACTGGGATCCTTTAGTGTGGATGTGTCGCACGTTTGGTGTAAAAGTGAAGACTCTGGAAAGCCAGGGCGAGGCGAGTGGACTTATATGAGCAAAAAGCTGCAAGACGAACTCGGCTTAAGGATGCGTTCCCCTTGCCTTCCCTCCAGGTACAAGTTCTGATCCAAACAGGAAAGAGATCCAACACGCCGGGTTTAACGTCACACGCCTAAGCTCGGTATTGCGCTCACTCATCGAAGAGATGGAAGGAAGGAGAGAGGGGCCCAGGGTCTAACATGATTCCAACCGATGCACCGTAGCAGCTCCTCCGCAGCCACCCCCCATTCTCTCTTCTGACTTAATGGTGCCTTAGCCTGTCAATTCCCCGGATGCCTGTGAGCTGTCCTAAGCATTGAACCTAATGGTTAGGTCACTGGCCCAAACAATGACGATAAAGCCGAGTCTGGGAGCGTTGACTGCGCTCAGTTTGGTTGTCCGAGGGGTGGGGTGCCGGCGGCAGCGGAATGCCGCCGTACTCTGATAAGCGAGGATCGTCCTGGCAAAGCCGCACAATGCCGACTCTGGCCGAGGGCCGCACCAAAGCCGCACCCTCCGGCGCCAGTACAAGGGGCAACGGCCGGCAGCTGCCAGTCATCCTGATGGCATTGAGCAAGCGATCGAGTAAGCCACGAGACCCTGTGCTTTCCCGGATTTAGCTGCGGCAATTCGCAACTGGAAGGGCTTCCAGAGGTTGGATGAATCCAAGTCGATACAGCTAGGCCCGCTAAGGTTGTCAAGTTGCCACGCCAGTGTCCGTGCCATCAAACACTCGATAACCACACCAAGGACACAGCACTTCTGGCTCCGAATTTGGCTTTTTAGCTTGAGCTTCATTCCTTCGACTTCCGCCGACCATCGAGGTGTTAATTGACACCCAGCGATCAAGAGATCAAAGGCTGCTATAGAGCCTCTGCAGAGAGTGACATCATGGCTTATATCGAGCTGAGCCGGCGCGACATCAACGTCCTCGAGAAGATCAAAGACCCAGAGTTCGACCCGGCTCTTGCGGTCCAAATCGATGCAACCCTTCCCAAGGACCCGCACGTACCAGACACGGAGTACCGGCAGATCTCCCAAAGAGAGCGCGACATCATCTCGTCCATCCAAAACCTCGAACTCCGAAAAGCAAAGTCGATGCCGGGCGCGACTGAAGATGCCGATATTGTCGCTAGGTATCGTGATTGTGTTTATGAGCTAGGCCGTCTCATACAAGACCACCCGCGCTATGCCAGCGCTCTGAACAACAGGGTGCAGGCCCTGAGGCGACTGTATGGGGATGCAATACTTGTTTCTGGGGCGCCGAAACTGGCCCAAGCATTGCTTCAAGACATCGACGACCGCGAGAGGCTAGAGACAGCGAAGACTATGCTGGACGACCTTGACAGCGCTATCTCACTTCTAACCCCGGGTGTCCCGCATTCGAGACTTTCGCCCCAAGTCGCTAGGACTCTGGCAATGGCTCACACACAGCGGGCCGCCCTGTACCTTATGACCTCCAAGCTCCTCCTCTCCAAATCCCTCTCGGTGGACGCGGGAAGGCCGGAAGCGCGCTGGTCGAAGCTGGACTTCGAGGAGCATGCCTCACGGGATTTCGCTTTGGGGGGCAGATACGGCAACGAGATTGCCAAGGGGCTGGCTGTGAGCACGAACCCTACCGCAAAGCTCTGCGGGCAGATGGTCCGAGAGGCGATGAGGAAGGAATACGGAACGGATCATGCAGCATGATGCGGCGACGGATTGTCTCATGTATGGAAGCGGCGTCGTGGTGTCATTTTCGTATTACGAGGAATAGGCTTCTAGCCTTATGTTGAACTCTTTGGTGGGATGCTTCGAGCGTATACGGATAAGGTGGGCGCGTAGGCAGAATATACTTATTATGAGCTCTTCGCTAGTCCAAGGCGCCTGCGATTCTTGATTTAGAAAGCGAATTAGAGATGGTATCATACCAGGGAGCATACCGGCGAGCCGTCTCGATTATCTCTTGTGTGGTCTTGCCCTTTTCCTTCTCCTCGCGATTGATCCTTAGAGCTGCTGCTGAGACGCCAATGAAGAGGGCGAAAATCGGATCGGCAACCCGAGAAATAATGTAGACTGGAGCTGCCATTGTTCCCAATGTAAGAGTCACTGTGCCGCAAAGGTTCGAGTCTTCTACGTGTTCCTGTGACGATCTTCAGCTTCTTCGTCAGGGAGGTGTTGAGAGAGAGATGTTCACCCAAAGACCCACCAGTTAGTTGGAAGCTTCCTTCTCCCTCGAGCGCACAGACCAACATTAGTCATCCTCGAACCAATGCTGGTGAGCCGTTAGTCCCACTCGAATTTTGCAGCCCACAAACTGGAAATTATTTTGGGGAAAGACCACTAGCAACGGTTCAATCTCTCACCTTCGTGCCAGCAGTCGACTTAAGGTAGGCAAATTCAGGTATGACACCGCCATTCAATGAGTCCGCTTTCCCAGTGGACGTTCCTGTCAATCTGGGCTGGGTCGCTGACCTAGTTTTTCTTCTCAAGCAGAACCGACAAAATGAAGTTCCTTAAGACGTCGCGGGTCTGCCTGGTCACCCGGGGCCGCTATGCCGGCAAGAAGGTACGCAGATCTGGAACGAGCGCTTCAATCTTCTCCTCGACGATACAGGCGAATGGTCAGGGTTGGGAATCACTTGGAAATGGATGTTATCAGAGCCAGGAATGTTGGGCGTGGGGCAAGGCGGCAGCGAGGAAGGGCATCGAGGTGGAAAGGGCGGAGCAACAGCACGGGAGAGACTTCGAACATCACCAAAACAAGAAGATCGGCGCGTAGGAGTCATGAGAACCAGAACGGGTTATACTGACGCGATCCAACCCCTGAACAGGTCGTCATTATCCAGCCCGTCGACAACGGCAGCAAGACGCACCCCTACGGCCACGCCCTCGTAGCGGGCATCGAGCGGTACCCGAGCAAGATCACACGCCGCATGTCCAAGTCGAGGCAGGAGAAGCGCAGCAAGGTCAAGCCCTTCATCAAGGTCATCAACTACAACCACCTGATGCCCACCCGTTACACACTTGAGCTCGAGGGCCTCAAGAGCGTCGTGTCGGCCGAGACCTTTAAGGAGGTCAGCCAGCGCGAGGAAGCCAAGAAGACGGTCAAGAAGGTGCTGGAGGAGCGCTACACGAGCGGCAAGAACCGATGGTTTTTCACTCCTCTGAGTATGTTTCCCCCCTTCCGAATATGAGGCCTGGCATTGGCCTGGCGAATGGCGGCTCCGATAGCTTACTGACCTTGCGCCTAAGGATTTTGATCGGTTTTTTTCTTCAAATTGGCTGGGCGGGGCGAACGGTTCTTATCGGGCTGTATACAGCATTCATCACGGAATAAACATCTGAGACTCACTAGCTGAATTTTACGGCAAATCTGACGACAAGCAACCGTCTCTCCAGGCGTTGGAGTCGTTATCCTCAGTGAGATGCATGATACCCGCCATGTGCAAAGTGAACGCAGGGGCCCGAGGCAGGTCAAGGGTGGATGGAGCTGGCGGGAACGTGGCCTCAGCGGCCGAAAATGACACATTAAATGGGTATCTGCCCCGGTAGGACGATCAACAAGTCTCTGGCATCAATCTCAGTCGACCCGTTCCTCATTGCTACATGTGCCTAGGACAGGTGATTGCTTGGGAGTGTGAGGATTTCGGCCGTGACGGCCCGCAATTGTTGTGATGCCACATTCCATGCTTCGGAAAGTGCAGCTGTCCGCTTTTGAGATGTTACTGTGCCAGGGTCGCAGCTTGCCAATTGACGATCGGCAATCATCTGCCAGTCAACGACTGTTTGGTCCGACTCATCCTGTAGCACATTACAGTCAACGTAGTCTGTGTCCTAAACCATGCGTTTTTTCAGAAGTCATCTCCTAATTTACCGCCAACGATAGATACCATATTTCATGAAGTCTATTTCCCTCTATATCCTCAGAGAAGTACATAGTATATGCTATAAAGATAAACAGCCGTCCATTCTCAAACACCCTTGCCCACCCCATCCTCATGATGTGCCTGATGCCGTGTTGTAATTTCAATAGTGAGATCAGACCTTGTGTGCGTGCGATTTCATGAGTTGATAAAGCCCTTGCTTCCTTTAATTGTCCTTGTTTCCCGTCTTGTCTATAAGAGCTCGTAGCAACAGCGAAACAGTGGACCCAGTCCCCGTCCTTTGCGACCTGCCTTACATGATGAAAAGAAAAGTTTCGACAAAACAATGGGAAGGAAATGGGGAGGGGGGAAAGGGAAAGGAAAACAGAAAGTGGAATCCCTCCCCTAAAAAGAAGTGCAATTATGTACCGTACTTGTAGAATTGCGCCGTCTCGTCTTGTCCGTCATGAAGTCCGAATTTTGAGTCCAGCGGTCGGAGCCCTTCCCAAGTTCGACTCCCAACCCACAGGCCCAAAAGAAATAGTGAACAACCCCGGCCGACTGGCATTAAACGTCATAGGGATGGAAAATAGGGGAATTAAAATCTGAGTATGTCATGGAATTCCCCGTCCCGTGCCATGCATGCCGTGCCTCTCCTTGTCGTACTCTAGGACCTCGTTATTCCCATCTTGGCCTTTGCATCGTTGAGATACTCGGTCGGGTTGACGGAAGCGTAGTTTGGTGCGAGGCCGCCAAGGAGGACAAAGATGGTCATCGCTGCCAGAAGGATGATGGAGATGCGGCGGAGAATAGGACGGCGGTTGCCGAAGTCAGCCCATTGGCGGCTGGCCTCCCCAGCGTAGCCCTTGATCGCCTCGTAGCCGAGCTTGTAGTAAACCATGCCACCCAGTGCAATGCTGTAGCCGAAGAACTGCAGGCCGGTTACCTGAGTGCCGAAGATGATCATGGAGGCAACGACGAGCATCACATCCTTGAGGACACCGCAGAGCGTCAGGACCAGTGAAGATGTCTTGCCGATCTGTCAAGGTGAATTAGCAAATCGGTACGCACACCCCCCGGAAACCGCGAAGGAACTTACCAAAAAGACCACCGAGACGTTTAGCAGGAACGCGCACATGCCGTTCAAGAAAAAAGTGAACAGCCCGACGTGGTAAACCTCCTCCATGCTGATCCTGGGCACTTCCCAGATGAGCGCAACCAAGCCATTCATGGCGGCACAGACAGGGGCAAAGTAGTACAGCGACACAAGAGGATCCATCTTGAACTCGGCAGAGCTCAGGAGCCGCTGAACCATGGTGAGCCGCAGCGCCTCAAATATGATGCCACCAATCTGGTAAATGAATCCGATCCACACAAACTTGATCTCGCCGATCGAGGCGATGATGACGCCGACGACAATGGCCGAGACATTGAGAAAGACCTTGAGGTTCGGCTGCGAGACGCCAAGCGCCCAACTAGAGAGGAGGACGGCAACGGGGGTGGTCGCCTGTTTCGTCGAGTTAACAACAGCCCAGCAGCCTGCACGTTGAACAGTAAGTACCGACCTTGAGCATCTGAATAAAGGCAACGCTGAGGTAGAGGTAGGTGAGATTGCCACAGATCAAGCTCAAGCTGAAGAAAAAGCCGATCGGGACAATAGCGCGGAGATAGACGCGACCTGTCATCTTGACCGTTTTCCGGCCATCGAGGAGGGTTGTGTAGCGGGCGAGAAGCTGTGTCATGAGAGTCGCAAAGGCCAAGTGAAATGTTGTCAGGATGACCGGGTAGCCTGTAATGTCTCAGTACGCCTCCTATCAACTATCGCCTTGGCTCTGCGGTGTCCTTACTGAACTTGCGCGTGTCGAGGATCCATTTATTGAAGAGGATGACGGACGAGCTAAGCGCGATCCAGATGCTGTGGGTGTAGCGCGTTAATCGGCTGTCTCTTCGCCGTCGACGAAACCTCATGCCGTTCTACTCACCTCACGTAGAAGGCGGGATGCAGCGAGGGCTTGGGGGGTTGCGACTTCTCGGCCTCGGGGTTGACTGTTGGAAGAACCGGTCCGCTCTGGTCCCGGGCCTGTTCGCCCGAGGCGCGCGTCTTTTCTTCCACGCTCATTTTCCTGATATCTTCTGTTGTAGTTTCGGTGGATATTGCTGGATCCGGCAGCGCTCTGAAGCGGTACAGAGCAAGGAGGCTCTAGAGAAGAAATACAATCGACGCTGACAGTGTCGGCAGCACGAAGTTGGATGAATTGAGGGATAAAACGAGTGGATGGTCAAGCCTGCTGCGACCCGGTTTGGTTGTGGGAGGAAAGTGGGCGGTGGTGATGAAGGGAGGAGCAGGTGTGTAATTAATTGAATTGCGGCAGTCCTTGGTGGGCGTGCCTGCGTAAAGAGGCTGCTCCCGGATGGGCGATGCTCGACTTCGCTATTTTTTTGCTCAGGGGTTCCCTCCTAGTTAGAAAACAGAATGGCGAAAAAGGATGGCTTTGAAGGCGAACGTCTGGTAAGCGGGCGCCTGGGAAGAATTATGGGCAGAACTGATTCACCAATCAAAATCCTGATACGGGAAATTGCTACCAGTCTACAACCAGCCTTGGGGGTTGCCATAGTGCTACCCAACAACATCCCAGTAAGAAGTAATACAGTCAGATAACAGCGACACGCAAGATCAGACATCATCAGACATACACCCACTCCCTCAAGACCTGTTTCCCTGACAGACATGTACGAAAATCAACGCTCCGGTCAGTGTGTCGTGTTGAGCTGTTGACACGGCCGCATCACCAGACGAGCCTGGTATTGCAAGTGGTGCCTTCGTTGAGAATTGTTACGTGTCAACCTTCAAGCAAGAAATCCAAGCCGTACCTACCGTAAGGGGAAAATGAGAAGCAGGTAACTTACGTATTGCGAATCTACCCAGTATACACTACCTCGCCATATGGGGTTATAATCAGGAGAAGACATAGTCTGGAATTTCCTGCACTAAGCGAAACAGGTATGTAGACATATTCGTATCTACCTTAGGTACTTGTACATACCTATTTGGTTTTTCTCTTCGTAGGTACATGCCGGTATAATGTAAACACTTGGCCTAAACGCGTAACATCCACCCCGCTATCGGCGAGATAAGGATGATCATGATCATCTACTCCGTACTGTGTAGGCAAAAAGATCAAGCACTCGATCGACATTCTATCCCAGTACCTACCTACCTATAGTATTGAGGTACAATAGACGTATGTATGTCCAAGCAGCTTATTTGTAGTGTACGACGTCCAGACCTGATAACGGCAATGTCGTGATTAGAGTATCTGTAAGATTGTGAAAGCATCATCACGCACCTCAGCTAAGGTTCCATCACATAAGTCCTGATTCAGTGCATGCTTTAGATGCAGGACGCAGGTTGTCATCCCAGCCATCTCTTTGATAAACGGGACTACAGACACACAGGGGTTCCTCAGTCGCAGAGGAGAGTTACCTAGTAGCCAAGAAGGTTTTATCGATGAAGCAGTTCGAATTTCTTTGCGGTCAAGGTAACGCTCGGCCCTATCTGTCCCTTGGACGTCACCCTAACCGCGGGGGTGAATATCATCATGCTGTGGTCAATCCTGGGTGACATGAGAGAAATCCCGTGCTTTGAAATTAGTTGTTGCCCTTGGACTCAACACAGATGTTGCTGGGCAACTCCAATACGGCAGCAACTTGAATGTTCCAGATGTCCAGCGTTTCTAATGAATCGATTGGCCTCAACCGCAACCGGCTACTGACGAAATGGCCCGCATTTCGTTATGTATCTGGAGTACGATCTTAGCATTGCCTCGAAACTCTGGCGTTCAATGGTCCGTTTGAGTGACCTTGACGGATACATGTTTCTAGAGTGAACAGGACTCCAGGGGCAGGCCGGGTACCTGAGTCGTACAGGAGAAGAACCTGTGGGCCGGACTTAACATCGAGTCATTGACCATCCCCGGGCTCGTTGAAACGGCTCGGTGAGCACGACAGTCAACCGCCTTCCGCCTTCCGACTCCCAAGCAGCCGAAGGACCGAAAGCGTATTGAACCGTACCAACATTACATGCACGTAACTGTTCCCTTGAGTCTTGTGCGAGGCTGTGCGACGACTCAACTGCTGCTATTCTGTGGTAGCTCGCGTTACTTATCGTAGTAAGCAAGGTATCCGTATCTTGGTTGAACATTGCTTGCTCGGCGTATACATATGTATTGTACTTGCGCATTAACGTACGTACATACGCGATATGAGGGAGGCATGTTATTGAACCCACCAGCTGAGAATTCGAACGGCGGGTTGTAATGTAGACGATCTGTCTTCCTGATCTCCAGCAAGCCTCCTTCTATCTGCAAAAGCCGGCAGGTTTCGAGGTCGATCGGTTGAGTAGCTGGTTTTCCTAATTCTCTTTTTTGTAGTGATCGTCGAAATATCTGTATGCTGCCCTTGGGAGATCGCAGCGTTGAAACAAGCAGGCTGAGGCAGAGCGGGGTTGCGATGTGCGGCTTACGCCAACTCGAATCAAGAACCCGTTGACCGCATTGGGATTCCCTGTTTCCAAAGCCCCTGGGGTCGCAAGGTGCTGACACGGCAATCGCCATAAAATCGAGACCCTCCTTCAGGGATCCTGAGCAAGGGATTTGCATGTTTCAACCCATGCAAATCAATGTTCCTGGCGACGATAACCTAAAATTCATCTGAGAGGGGTCTGAACTTCTCATTGGTATGTATACAATGCGCGCGATGGTCAAAGGTCCGACTTGGGGTCCATTCCCGGACGGCGTACACATACACTAATCTGCGTAATTTTGTTTCTTCGTTGCATTGCAGCCAGCTCCCGGACTGATGGTGTGTCGGGTACCCTGCATGCAGACGAACAGACGATGGCTCTCGTGCACCCCAAGACCCCAAGCGAAGTGAGGCAATACCCAGCGGGATGCGTTGAATTGCGAGACCCACCAGCCCTTGCCATTCGCCAGGGGCTCGAATAATTTTAGCCCCTCCATCGAACCGCCCGCCCCGCCCCCCTTTTCCAGGGTTGATGGCGGTCTGGCACCAACGACTGCCCACAGGTCCAAGGTTGCGGCCACCGCCTTCATAATAAACCCCGTCGCAAGAGGAACTCGTATTTTCCGCTACGCGTCTCTTCAAGCTCACCAACCGCACCTGCTGGCCGTGTCGTATTATCGTCGTTCATCTAGCCCAAAGCGTCCCAGGTCTCTGCAGCAAAACACTCCGTTGCTCCCCTCGGCGCGGCTTTTGACGAACCCAAGTGCTGTATCGTTCCAGCCCGAGGTACTTTGCTCGCAATGGCGGATATGTAAGCTTTTCCACGACGGGACCCGTGAAGAAACACGATGCATCTCCAGATCAAAGATCAGGATCGCTAAATTCTGCCATCTTCCCAGCACTGTCGACGTCCTCGTTATCGGTGCCGGCCCGACCGGTCTGGGTGCCGCCAAGCGCCTCAACCACCTTGTGCGCCAATCCTCCCCGTCACACTCTCTATTGAATGTTTCGCTGACCTTGAGGACGCTAGAATGGGCCTTCTTGGCTGATCTTGGATGCGAATGAGAAAGCTGGTGGTCTCGCTTCCACCGATGTCACTCCTGAGGGCTTCGTAGGTTCGCGCCTAGAACAGCGGACCACATGAAATGCTGATGGATGCGGTTGCAGCTCTACGATGTCGGCGGCCACGTCATCTTCTCCCACTACAAGTACTTCGACGATTGTCTCGACGAGGCCTTGCCCAAGGAGGATGACTGGTACACGCACCAACGCATCTCGTACGCGCGGTATAAGGGCCAGTGGGTTCCTTACCCGGTCCAGAACAATATTTCGATGATGCCCAAGGAGGACCAGGTCAAGTGCATCGACGGCCTCATCGATGCTGCCCTGGCCGCCCGTGTTGCGACCACCAAGCCCAAGGACTTTGACGAGTGGATCGTGCGGACCTGCGGCGAAGGTCTCGCTGATGTCTTCATGCGCCCGTATAATTACAAGGTCTGGGCTGTGCCAACCACCAAGGTAGGGATACCCTCTCAAATCTCGGTATCTTCAGTGCTGACCCCGGCTTTAGATGCAATGCCAATGGCTCGGTGAGCGTGTCGCGGCGCCCGACGTCAAGACCGTCACCAGGAACGTCATTCTCAATAAGGTCGCCGGAGGTTGGGGCCCCAACGCTACCTTCAGGTTTCCGGCAAGGGACGGCACCGGCGGCATTTGGATCGCTGTGGCTAACACGCTCCCGGACGAGAAGAAGCGATTCGGCAAGAAGGGCGAGGTTACCAAGGTCGACGCCGAGAAGAAGATTGTCACGGTGGCAGATGGCACGACGATCCAGTACAGCAAGCTCATCAACACCATGGCTTTGGACCACCTTGCCGAGAAGATGGGGAACCAGGAGCTCGTCAAGCTGACCAAGGGTCTTTTCTATTCCTCCACCCACGTCATCGGCGTCGGTATCCGCGGGGCGCGCCCTGAGCGCATCGGCGATAAGTGCTGGGTAAGAGAAAATAGCCGGATGCCGTGGGCCCAAGCTAACATTCGCGTCAGCTCTACTTCTCCGAGGACAACTGCCCCTTCTACCGCGCCACCATCTTCTCAAACTACTCGCCTTACAACCAGCCTCAAGCCGACGTCAAGCTTCCCACCCTGTTCCTGGGAGACGGCAGCAAGCCCAAGAGCAGCGAGGCTAAGGAAGGGCCTTACTGGTCCATCATGCTCGAGGTGTCGCAATCGAGCATGAAGCCCGTGGATGAGCCAAATCTGCTCAGGGACTGCATTCAGGGTCTCATTAACACGGAAATGATCAACCCCGACGATGAGATTGTCTCGACATACCATCGCAAGTTCGACCACGGCTACCCAACGCCGTCGCTCGAGAGAGAGGGCGTCCTCCAGGAGCTCCTTCCCAAGCTCCAGGCCATGGATATCTGGTCGCGCGGCCGCTTCGGCAGCTGGAGATATGAGGTCGGAAACCAGGACCACTCTTTCATGCTGGGTGTCGAGGCGGTCGACAACATTGTCAGCGGCGCCGTCGAGCTGACGCTCAACTACCCCGACTTTGTCAACAGGCGTCAAAACACAGAGCGCCGCCTCGCGCAGCCCTTCTTTGCACCGGGGTCAGCCTCCAGCAATAGCATCCCTATCAGGGGCGCCTCTACAGCATGAGGCGCCGGGACAGCGCACCTGCCTGCGGGCGTCCGTGGCGACTGCCTATGCCCTATATTTGAAATATAACGTAGTCAAGGGACCCTAGTGGCGGAGCCCCGCCTGCCATACTGGCCGTGGGGATCCTTTTCTGTTCGTGGCTTTGTTTCACGTTATGCTTGCAAGTACTTGTTATTGCAGAGAGAACCGCTTAAAGCTGCGGATTATAGCATAGATGGACGGGAGATTTCGTGCCAGCGGTTCGTTATAGACAGCTGACGTTTCGGCCATAGAAATAATAATACAAGCTTGGAAGGGGAACATTAACAACCCGCCTCCCCGGCCACGTCTCTCATGTCTTTACCCTATTTGACGTGTAAACACGTAAAGGTGCCTCGAGACGGCCTAGCCTCTGCTGGATTGGCTGCGTGTCCATTGCGAGGTCGCTGACTGCTACCACGGTATGCTGTTATTGTATCTTACAGTTTGTACATAGTAATTTGGTGACATTTCACTTGGATTTCAACGCGGAAAACGGATGTGCCACTGTTCAGCTGCATCGGATGGTCGTGACGTCAATGGCGCTCTAGCAGGTAACTGTCATGATTGAGGGTCGAAGTGTACTGTGTGTATGTACAGTACATACACGCGTACAGTACATCACACCTGTCTGGGAGAAGGGCGATACTGCGTCCGGGCAGAGCCATCAGGCAGACATCGACAAACTGACAAGCGAGTGCTTGGAGGTTTGGGACAACATGAATGCCCTAGCTAGACCCTGTATTCGAGTGGAGTGCTCTGCACCACTGTAGGTAAGGTAGGGTAGCGAGGGTAGGTAGGGGAATGAAAGGAATCTCCAGTATGAATTAGCCTAACTTAGTTCAGGTGACTTTCATACCAACTTGTATATTACTTGTATTACGTAACAACAGGGAGCCAACCTACGGTACTTGTACAAGTACCTTACTCATGGCACTACACAGTACGTACAGTACATAGGTACGTACGAAGGTATACATATGTACAATACAGTACTGTATGTATACCAGGTGATGGTGTGCACTCCGTATTTTTTCACATTACGTGTACGTGGTCTACACCGCACGAGATAGATGTTCTGAAACGTTACGGGTTATTTACCAAGCTCCGTACGGAGTACTTGTACGATATCGTTACATGGGAGGATACGAAGATACTACGGAATTTCAGGAGTAGAACGGGAAGGCGCAGATGATGGTAAAAACTGGGAAATCCAACCACGGTTCGCTGAATGCCATTTGTTCCCAATTGCGGTTCTGAAGTAAGGTAGTACCTCCAAGTTCCTTTGCTCAATATAAATGCAAGACAACTACACACCAATACACACAAGTCAACTTCATCAACAGGTATTGGCGCAAGCTGTTCCAGGCGGTCTGGTGATCGTTGGACATAGGAATCCAACAAATAACCTAACGTCTTCTGAGGGTCTCCGCGAAGACTCGTTCCTCATTCCCATTATATAACCTAGGTACGGAGTACATATCCTGCTTTCCCCTTCGGTGGCTGCACGGCTCGACGGGTTTCGTTGAGCAACCTGAGCCGGCTTTTGGCGACTGTTGGTTATCGTCCCCGCCACCACCACCACCACCGCCCTAGATCAGGTAGGGTAGTTATTTGCAGGATTCTGGCAGAACGTTGGCGCTCACGGGAACATTCCCTTACAGTAAGAGCACACTCGCTTTTCGCCCTGTTCTTCCCAACAGTGTCCAAATTCGCTGTCATCGTCGTAAGTTGCCGCCCAGGGCCTCCAGCTGTTGCAGGCTCGTTCTGCTCTTCGATTTTGCGCATTTGACTTAAGCAAATTTCCCTCTTGATCATTCATAAATACAATAGTCCCGAATTTCATGTTCCACCAGCACTAGGAATGGTGGTATTGCCCAGCCTATATTAGCAGATGAGATTTCCACTTTCAAATTGACCCATCGATATCAAGCAGGTAGGCTGACTACGCGCCTCGTCACTTTTCATACAGTAGCCTGCCTGCCCCTTTGACTGCACGCGCCAGCAGTAGGCACTAGGCATACCCACTAATTACACTACAGAGCTGTAATCAACGCCCTGCTTGCCGCACAACCAGAATCTTGCATCGCCGTTCCCCACAACCACGAACAACTGCCACACCTCTGGCCCCGCCAACGATCTTTGCGAAAGGGGGCAAAGGAATAAAAAAATAACTAAAGGATCGGAACCAAAAACAAGACACGCAGAGGAATCAGATTCCAAATCTTTCCAGCAGCAGCGCGCCTGTCGGGGGTCGCGTGGTGTTGGACTGTCGTCTCTCTCGAATCTCGATTGCTTCCTGCCCTTTCCCCGCTTGTCGAACCGTAACCGTCGTGAACCGGGCCGCGTTCAGAACATGACTATCACGAGGACGCTCATCTCATTCATCTTCGATCCTTGAATCTGCGGATCCCCTCAAAGGGGCCCTGTCGCGAGCATGGACCCCGTCGACCGTCCGCTCGACGACCAGCCGCTCGAAACCCCTGCGCGCATCTTCGAGAGGCTGCATCAAATAGCAGGATACACATGGAACGAATCGCGGCCGCCCTTCCGCTCAACCTACGATAACTGGCACATCTTTGGGACGAGGTTCGTCTCTCCGTACTCGACCCCTAGCACGCATACGGCTGCGTCACCCGCGCCCCATCATTTGGTGAGCCCGCCGGCCCTGCCAAACCTCGTGCCGACTAGCCGAGCGGTCCCCGCAGATCTTCGCTCGACATCCTCCTCTTCCTCAGAGAGCGAACACAGCAGCACCGACCGCTCTACTTCTTCCCCCGCCGATGTAGTGGAGGAGCGCGTCGTCGCAAGAGTGTCATACCACGTCCTCCGCGAAGAGAGGGCTTTTCACATATCCAAAAGTCTAGTCTCGAGCGTAGACCCCAACGGGGACCGCATCGTTAAGCCGCTCGATCTCATCCGACTCACACCGCTGCCTGGTGACCGAGGAGCCATCATCGTCACCATCTACGAGGATCCTGGGCCTAACTATCTCTTCAGAATCCTGGACCTGGGACCCGCGTTCTACTTCGCCGAAAAGCACAACGACCGTTGGGAAGCCACCCGCAGCCGCATCTCGTCGCTGGACCCGGCCATCAGCCTACAGAGCTTCCTGGACTTCGCCATCGGCGCAGCCCAGTGTTTGGAGATAGTTCACTACGGCCAAGGCATAGTGCATGGCGAGATACGGGGCGACTCGTTTCACTACAACATCGAAACGAACCAGGTCAAGCTGGTGTCTTTCGGTTCCGGGATAAGATCTTTTGAATACGGCCTGACTAGCCACGGATGGTCTGCGCTATCTAAGGAGGTGGGCGCGAAGCACAAACTGCAATACATTAGCCCGGAACAGACTGGGCGCATCCCCGTCGAGCCGGACAACAGGACCGACATTTACTCGCTCGGCGTTCTGCTCTGGTGTCTCCTAACACAGCAGCCCGTTTTTCAAGGGGAGACGCCCCTCGACGTCGTCCAGGGCGTTCTTGGACGGAGGATACCGAGCGTCAACACGTTCCGAATGGATGTCCCCGAAGTTATCGGCCGAATCATCCAGAAATGCACGTCCAAGAATGTCAGCGACAGGTACTACTCTGCAGGCGGCCTCCGCTACGACCTTGTTTCGGTTCAGAAGATGCTTGGCGACGGCAATTCAGCGGCATTGAGGGACTGGCCGATTGGTTCCAGGGACGTCTCTTCCTCCTTCAGGTTACCCTCAGTCATGATAGGCCGAGAGCGCGAACGAGACGAACTCGTCAAGGTTATCGAGAGGGTTGCAAAAAGCCATTCCGTTGGCCCCACGGGGAGCGTGAGCTGGAGTTCCGACGCCTCGAACTTGTCTACCGAGTTATTCGACGCTGGCGACGCATCCAGCGACGGTGGAAGCTCGGGCGGAGCGACGAACCGACGCACCGGCTCTGCCACACAGCTAGAAATGAGGCCCAAGATCGGCTTGAATCAGTCGGTACAAGGAACAGACTCGGCGGGATCTCTATCCACCGCCGGCTCGGGTAACTCAGGGGGTCTCAGACCGCAACACCAATGGGACAAGAACCACATCACCCATGCCGAGGGCGTCTTGAGCGCCGACGGTGGCAGTAGTTCCGAGCTTTCGAGGCACCCCGCCACCGTGGCAGCGGATTCCTCGTCGACCAGCTTGTCCCGGCAGCTAGGCTCGGCCAAATTCAGGAGGCAAGGCCATTGCGAGGTCGTAATCATTGAGGGTGCGGGAGGACTGGGCAAGAGCTGCCTTGTCCAGTCGGTTCTTCCAGATGCACGCAGGAGAGGGTACTGTACAACGGCCAAGTTTGACCGTGCCAGAAGGACGGCCTATGGTCCTCTGCTGAAGCTGCTCTCGTCCTTGTTCCGCCAGGTGTGGGGCGAGAGAAACACGGAAACTCCTTTCCACCAAGCGCTGAAGCAGTATGTTCGGCCAGTATGGCCCATGTTGCACAAGGTTCTAGGCCTTCCCGAGTTTCTCCTCCCGTCCTTGGAAACAGCTCTTTCACGCTCCTCATCCAACCACCGGGTTTCTAGATCAAATCTGAAGAGCCAAAGTTCCCCCCTGGATTCCTCTGCCAGTACTACGCCGCGGCCCCCTTCCACGGGCATGTCCGCGCAGAGCTCCCGGGACTTCCTCAGGGCCGGCACCTCCACGAAGACCAATCGGCTGGTGACAACCTTTCTCGACGTGCTGAGGATGTTCACCCATTACAAGTTCATCTGCTTCTGTCTGGATGATCTGCATTACGCCGACGATGAGTCTCTGGAGCTTCTCAGTCAAATTGTCAGCGCAAGGCTTAAAATGGTCGTCATAATTACCTACCGCCCGGAGGGCAATGCCCTTGAGATGGTGCAGAAGATAGTCAGCCCCCCTAAGTCGGAAGAGCCCTCTAGGTCTGGGATCCCTACGACGACTAAGCTCGTTTTGCAGCCACTTGGTGAGGACGAAATAGTCCACTATGTTTCAACGACACTCTCGTTGCCAAAGGAAGAGGTCCATCCTCTGGCATTGGTCATCCAGTCCAAGACAGCAGGAAATCCCTTTTACATGCGGGAAATGCTGAGCGCCGGCCACCGGAAGAAGTGCATTTGGTACGACTATATCACCGGCCGCTGGAAATACGATTTGGATAAACTCTTTGATCAATTCAAAGGGGAGCAGAACTACGACGTGCTTGACACGGCTTTCATCACACGACGCCTCAGCGAGCTGCCGCGGGCTTCCAGGTCCATCCTAGCTTGGGCCGCACTGCTAGGCAACACGTTCTCATTTGAACTGATCTGCAAATTGATGGAGGAGGAAAACCGCGTTGACGAGTGCACCGAGGAGCTAGGCCAGCCATCGGCATCAACATCAGCCTTTTCGCAGGAGGATGCCGTGGCCGGACTGGAATCTGCTATTCAGGCCTTCATCATTGTCCCGTGCGACCGGGATGACTACTTCCGCTTCGCCCACGACAGATACATCCAAGCTGCATCGGCGCTTAAGGAGTGCAACGCGCGAAAAATGCACTTTATGATTGCTCAGCTCCTTCTCAAGAAGTCCTCATGTGATTCGGCGCTGAAGGACAGCACCGCCTATCACATTTGCGAGTCAGTAGATATCATCAAAAAGCGGGTAGCACATCGGCAGCCCTTCCGCAAGCTGCTATTTGAGCGCGCACACGAGGCTATTGAAAGCGGGGCGCGGTCTACCGCAGCGAAGTATTACAGCAATGCCCTTGCACTCCTTCAAACGGATCCCTGGGTTGATGATGCCGAGGATGCCTCGTACGACGAGACTCTCCAGCTCTACCTTCAAGCAGCCGAATGTTACCTGTTCATGGGGCATCACAGTGCTGCGAGCGTGCTCCTTCAGACAATCTTTGACCGCGCGAGGACCGAGCTCGATAAGGCACCCGCGTTAGTGCTGCAGTCTAGGATCTTTTCGCAGAGCGGGCAGGAGACGCAGGCGGTGGCCTCGCTAAAACAATGCCTGAAAGCTCTCGACGTCGATTTGGACGAGCAAGCTACCATGGAGACGTGTGACGACCGATTCGAGCGTCTTTGCGTAAAGATTCAGGCCATGGAGCGCCAGGAGGTGCTGAATCCTGCTTCGTCCAATGATGCGATGCTGTCCTCCGTCGGCGCTGTGCTCGCCGAGGCGGCGAGTGCCGGATGGTGGAGTGATTGCACCGTTTTCTATCAGTTGTCTCTTCTGATGATGGAGACTCATTTCAGCCGAGGAGCGTACCCGCAATCTGGGATGGCTTTTCTCTACATGTCCATCATCGCCCTGTCGCGCTTCAATATGGCTCAGTTTTCAGCCGAGCTGGCGGGCTTCTGTCTTGAGCTGTTGAATAAGTATCGGGATCCGTTCTCGGTGTCGAGGGGCTACATGATCTATGCAAACTTTGTTGGGCATGTTCGAGATCCGATCGCAGCTTCAGTGACGCAGCTCGAAGGATTCGTCGACTACGCGGCGGCCGCTGGGGATAGGATATCAACTATTCTCAGTTTTGGGCTCTCGGCACAGCACAGATTCTACGCAAGCGAGAACTGCTCCGACCTTGAAAGCTTCTGCCAGTACGGTTGTGAGGAGATCCCGAACTGGCATCTCGACACGCGAGGTGGCTCGATCCTTATCGCGGTGAGGCAGGTTTGCCGCGCCCTCCAGGGCAAGACTCGCGCGTCAGAGCCGCTCGAGGTCATGAGCGACGAGCAGCACGATGCTTTGACATACAAAGGCTGGCTCGAGGCCCACACGGACAACGGCGGCCGGGCATTGCTGCTGTATGAGACAATGGAAATTGTGCCCTTGTTTCTCTACGGCCACTATGAGCGCGCGGTCGAGGTCGGAAAGGCGTGCTACGAGCGCGCGTATCTCCTGTGGTCGGCTCGCAACACGAGGTTGGCAATGCTCTTCTATGGCTTGGCTCTTGCCGGCAGCATCCTCCGCCAGCAACAGGACCCCACAGCGCCAGGGGAAGAGGCGCTCAGGAATCAGCTCGAAGACACGGTTCGGGAGGTTGAGGAGCTCAGCCGGAAGATCAAAGACTGGCAGGTGGTCGATGATGTCAATTATCTAGCCTGGTCAAAGCTGCTCGACGCCCAAATTTCAGAAATGCTCGGTAACCACGGAATAGCGATCCGGCAGTACGAAGAGGCCCTGGATCACGCATCAGAACACGACTTTCTCTTTGAGGAAGCGCTCGGAAACTACTTGATGGCCAACATATTCATTAGGAATGATGCCAGACGGTCTGCGCGCTCCGCGCTTCGTGATGCGATTGGTCTCTATCGCCAGTTTGGCGCTACCGGCATTGCCGACCGTATCGAGAGCGAGCATAGCATCCTGCTTCACGGCGCCATGCGAAATCCTCGAAACATTGATGTCGGGGTTCAGACCGACTTTTCTGGTGACACTTCGTCGGTTCAGTATCGGACCGTCGACAACGAGAGTGCGATTGAAGTCCAACAAGCGCATGCCGCTGATGCAGTCCTCAAAGGGGAGCGCATGACGGCGTGGAGAGGATCGACGCAGCCAGAGGCCGGAGTCGGGTTGCCTGCGCTCGATATGATCGATCTGCATGCTATTCTGGTCTCGTCGCAAGTTATCTCGTCTGTGCTAAGGATAGATGAGCTCCTCAAGACCATGTGCGATGTGATACTGCAGACCTGCAGCGGGTCTGCTACTCTTGCCGCCATCGTCGTACAGGATGAAGGAAGTGCAGACTGGTGCGTCGCTGCGAGCGGCGACCCCGAAAAGGGCGCTGAAGCCCACATTCCCGCCCTTCCCCTCAGCGGGACCGACCTTGTCGCCGAGAACGTCATACTCTACTGCACCCGCTTCCGCGAGGTGGTCTTCCTCCAAGATCTCCTTACTGATGAGCGGTTCGGCAATGTCAGCGAAGACTGGGTGTACAAGAACCCCGGCAGCAAGGCCGTCATCGCCATTCCTATTTGCCACGGTTCGAAGCCGCTGCTTGGTGTGCTCTATCTCGAGGGGGTTCCCGGATCCTTCACGGACCGCAATGTCACCGTGTTGCAACTCCTTGTCAACCAGATCGGCATCAGTTACTCCAACGCGCTGGCCATGAAGGCGGTCGAGAAGGTATCGGCAGAGAACATTTCTATGGTCGAGCTTCAGAAGCGCGCGTTGGCAAAGGCAATCGAAGCAGAAACAAAGGCCAAAAATGCAGAAGCAGAGGCTATCCGCAACGTCAAACTCGCCGAAGAAGCTACAAGAGCGAAATCCATCTTTCTGGCCAACGTCTCCCACGAGCTCCGCACGCCCCTCAATGGTGTGATTGGAAATTCGGAACTCCTCAGGGACAGCAATCTCAACAAGGAGCAGCAAGAGATGGCGGACTCGATCAGGGTATCGGCGGATCTGCTCTTGACGGTTATCAACGACATTCTGGACTTCTCAAGGATGGAGGCGGACAAGATGAAGCTCTACATTATCGCGTTCAACCCCGAGGAGATGGTAAGGGAAGTCGTCCGGGCAGTCTCGTACAGTAACAGGGAGAAGACGTCCAGGAAGAACGTCAAGATCATACAGGACATCAACCTACCCCCCATGCTTATCTACGGTGATCCCATTCGCCTGCACCAGGTGCTTGGCAACCTGATCGGAAACAGCCTCAAATTCACCGAGGACGGCTCTATTACCATCGGAGCCCGGATCGACTCCGAGACGGAGGACAAGGCCACGTTGACATTCTGGGTCAAGGACACGGGCATTGGGATCTCCCCGCAGCAGCTCGAGAACCTTTTTCAGCCGTTCAGCCAGGCGGACGCGAGCACGGCCCGCAAGTACGGCGGCAGCGGCCTCGGCCTGAGCATCTGCAAGTCCCTGATCGAAACAATGATGAAGGGAACAATCCGCCTCGAAAGCCAACAGAACGTCGGCACAACTGCCCGGTTCACTGTCACGTTTGAGAAGGCACGCCCGGAAGTTGTTGCTGGCCAGGAACAGGCGGTAACCCGCGCGGCGCTGCCGGAACCCAAGACGCCATCTAACAAAGCCAAGCTAGCATCAGCCAAGGATCTCTCGTCCATTTCGTCACCCCTATCCAGCCCACCTCCCGAAATCGTGGACCTCTCACACATTCCGAAGGATCAGCTTCGCATCTGTATCGCCGAGGACAACGCCATCAACGCCAAGATAGCCATGCAGTACCTACAGCGGCTGGGGTACACCAATGTGCGTACATACGATAACGGGCTCAAGGCCGTAGAGGGGCTGCGCGAGAAGGCGCGAATTGGCATGCCCTACCACATCATCCTCATGGACGTCCAGATGCCCGTGTTGGATGGGTACGAGGCCACCAAGCTGCTCCGCAACGACGAGCTCGAGTCGGTCAGGAAGGTGCTTGTCATCGCCATGACCGCCTCAGCTATCCAGGGTGACAGGGAGAAGTGCCTCGCCGCGGGCATGAACGACTACCTTGCTAAACCGGTCAAGTGCGAGGTTCTCAAGAAGAAGCTGGATGCTTATTTACTGCGCGCAGGGGGTTCCTGATGGTTGAATTGTCAAAGAAGAGCACAAAACAGGGCAGGCTCCTTCTTCCTGAACCAGTCTGGATGACCAATAAGATATAGGGAGTTAGACGGAGGTGGTTCAGCTTTAGAGGATAAGGGTGGTGAATTTTTTCTCTATGTAACATGCATGGCACGGCACGGCACGGCAAGGTACAGCATAGCATGGCATGGCATGGCATGACACTGTGGACGGGATCACTGCCTGCTCTGGATATGGGACTGTGAAAGATGGGCGGGTTCAGTCTCCTCGCCTGAAAGACCAAGGGGCATTGGACGAGGTGGCCGAGTCAAACTCCTTTCGTTTCTCGTTAGGTATTTTCACCGTTCACTCTTCTGCTTCTTGCGTAGATACCTTATGCATTGGGCATTCTGGGATTATACCAATCTTTCATTTTTCCTCCTCATCTCACATTTCCGGCCATCTTTGCTCTTTCTGTGTGTGATTGACGTCCGGGCAACCGAGGGGACTTGTAAGCTCAACTTGTTCATTGGGCTCCAACTTGGGATCGGTTGTACACACGGGGCTCCCGGTAATGAGATGACGAGGCCAGAGGAGGGTCTGGAGTGGAACTGGTAGCCCCGTGGCTCGTTTACTCATGTTTTGATGACGATAATGATTGTCATTGTGCTCCCTTTGTCGCCACTCCCCGCAAACATCGTCAGTCATCAATCACAACAGTCAGAGCGGCAGGCACGGGCAAAGACAGGCCAGGCAGGCCGCATCAGGTAACGACGGTTGCTTCTCCCTCCCTATCGCTGGAAGCTATGGCTAGTGGTATATACCCTCGATACCTTACCTGCTTGGATATTTCTGTGGATTTGCATAAGCTAGAGGAAACACGGAGTCGGGGCGTGGGGGGTTAGGATCGTATTTCGGATGCATTTGTGGCAGTGCTGGATTTTTGGTTGAACTGTTTGCAGTGTTGTTGTTTGTCAGCTGTAGGCCGCATAACAAAGGTCATTACTAGTAACCAAGGGCAGCATGTCCAATGCGATATGGGTGTATGGTTTTCAGTGGTCCTCGAGGTTGGGGCTGTTTGCTGAAGAGCCGGCGGACCATAGAGCTAGCGTTCGAGTTCCATGTCGGGTGTGAACTTCATTGGAAGTGAGTATGTATACAGCGAAGCAATACTTCCGTCCTGTTTCAGGGATGTCGATGTCGTCTATGTAGCTTCGTATCTAATGGCCAGCGTAGAAAGTACGGGAGAGATGCCTTCTATAGCCGTAGACTGCAAACTAGACTAGTTCCACCTCCCCGTAATTCATCATCAATTAATCACCACAACCAATAAAGGATTCACTCCCATTATCACCCCCTCCACCAAGCCGCCACCCCCAACACAAAGACACAAACCAGCACGTCCCCCTTGACAGTCCCGAGCACCTCGCCGTAGCGCAGCGCAATCTCGACTTTGGCGCGCACCGAGGCCGGGAGGAACTGCGCCAGCACCCCCACTACCCCGTTCCCTCCGCCGCTGCCGCGCCCGCGGTCCACAAACCACCGCGTGGTGAGCAGCACCGCCTCGGCTGTGGCAAACGCCCAAAACAAATTCTTGGCCGCCGCCTCCTTCTCCTTTTCCTCGATAGCGGTAGGCGGCGATGCCGCGGCGTAGGCGGCCCGCTCCCGCTCCAGCCGTGTCCCCCTGAACGGCGTCCACAGCGCGATGTACAGCCCCAGCGAGAGGGCCACGGCTGTGTGCAGCAGGCGCCAGAGGGAGGAGGAGCGGGAGGGGAGGGTTGCTTGTTGTTGTTGCTGCTGCGGTTGTGACTGTTGGGACTGTTGCTGTTGTGATAGTGGTGGTGGGGGGAAGGGTAGGCCCATGTTGGCGAAGGGGTTGCCGCCATTATTGCTGCCGCCACCGCCAAGCATCTGCATCATCATGCGCAGCATTGCGTCGTCGTCCATTCCTGGCGGCATTCCTGACGGCGGGGTGCCGGTTCCTGGGCTGCCGCGGTCCAGATCGAGCATTATCTGTCGGAGGCGGGCGTCGGAGAGGTTGTCACTGAGGTTTGGCCCGGAGGGCTGCGGCACACGAGGGGTCGTCTGTGGCTGGTAGAAGTGCTGCGAAATGTCGACTTCCTCAGGATCGGCGTGCTGGGGCGCCGCCGCTGTTGCTGCTGCTGCTGGCGTAGGGGTACCATTAGAAGGGGCATCTGTGGCAGTGGTGGTGTCTGTCGATGTCGGCACGGCTGCCGGGGTAGCTGCTGGCACAGGATCTAATACAGAGGCGGACGGTTAGTATTTTGGTTGACTGCTCGAACTTTGTTGGTCCGGAACAAACCTCGCTGAACCCCTCCGCCCAAGCCAGTAATTGTCTTCAACCTCGACTCGGCACCGGCCTTGATCTTGGCCTCACGGCGTGCTTTGCGCAGACGGATCTGCTCAGCTGCGCGCGCCGCAGCAGCTTCTTCTTCTGGTGTCAACTGCGTCATGCTTTTCCCTCGTGGTAAATCCTCTCTACTCTCGGAACGAGATTGACTTTTGAAACTTTGCACAACGGGTTCCTGGCAGGATCCAAGTTGCGAGAAAGAAAACCACGGTTGTGACGTCGACCTCGCTCAGTGGACAAACGTGGTTCATTGACATTTAGGGACACTGTGCTGTTCCAGCCAACCAAACGTCGTTGATGCTGGGCCCCGCTTAGAATCTCTTATCTTATCGGTCCTGCCCTCCATGACCATAGCACATGATGGCAGGTGTTTGGAAATCGGGATGCTGCAACAAAAGGGCCAGCCAAAATAGTAAGCAGCCACATTACTGTACTAGCCAGTCTCGAAGCGCAAACCACTGCATCTCACGGCACGCAAGAAACGACTTCAGTCTCTTCGAACACACTCCAGGTCTACCGATCACATGTTCTCTCATCCCACCCTGCAACTGCATTCCACTGCCTCCTTCCTGAACCATGCCACAGGGAGCATTACCAACCTTGCTCAAGGAGTAGCCTTGCTCAAGGAGTAGCCTTGCTCAAGGAGTAGCCTTGCTCAAGGAGTAGCCTTGCTCAAGGAGTAGCCTTGCTCATACTAATCAACCGCTTCACACCAGCCTGCCGAGAAGAGAGGACACCCATTAGCATCACCCAACGGAATCAATATTAGGATCACAGAAGGGAAAAGACCTACCATCCACTGTCCACACTCCTCCGTCTTATTCTTCTGAATCTCCACCTGCAGCTTCGCAGCAGCATCGTAGTTCTTCGCCGCAAGCGCTGCCGCCAGCTGCGACAGCTGCTCAATCGTGTCAGGCTTGACCAGCTCCTCATTGTTGAGGTGGTCAAACAGTATACCCAATCGCTTCTGTGTGTCTTTGACCTGCACCGAAAACGACGCCGGCGCCTTGGCAGCCACTCGCTGCATGTCCTGACTCAGTATCTCGACCAGTTGCTGCGCGTTGGGCGGAATATGTGACCTGTCGCCCGGAGGGTGCCTGGGCTTCTGCGCCGCCGGGGGAGCAGCTGCCCGTGGTGGCGCTTCCGTGGGCGGAGCCCTAGCTGGAGGCGGTGGGCCGCTAGCGCTGGGAGGAGGGCCGGATGTTGGTGGCGGTCCTACGGGCGGACGAGAAGCTTGAGGTGGCGGCGCTGCGTATTGCCGTGGAGGAGGCGGCGCCACGGGCTGGCTGCCTGGAGCCGGAGCATACGGGTTCGATTGGGGAGGTGCCATCGGGGTAGATGAGGTCCCTGGGTTATATGCTTGTGCTGCCGGTGCTGGTGCGTATCTACTTGTCGGCGGCGGTCCAGGAGGAGGGGGGTTGTAAGGGGAAGCTGTCCGGGGAACGGTGGGGGCCATTGGAGAAGCCAACGCAGCTGCTGGCTGAGGAGGGGGTGCATAAGGATTGGTCGACGAGTTGGACACCACCGATGACGGCCTCACCGGCTGTTGTCCGGCGGGCGGTGGGCCAACAGGAGGAGACGTTACATTACGAGGGGGTGCAGATCCCTTGGGCGGCGGCGGCGGTGTCGGCGCACTCCGCTGATAGGGCCCGGCAAGTGGAGGGCTCTGCAGGTTTGTTTGGCCAGGGAAGGGGGATGTGACTGGTGGCACACTGGGCGTAGCCCTGCGAACAGGTGGCTTCGTGACCATGGGTACATCATTCCAGTTACCGGCATCTTTGTTGGCCTTTGGTGGGGGACCAGTGCTCCTAGCCGGTGGAGGGACTTGCGATCCGGCCTGACCAAAAGTGTGGGGTGGCCCATAACCCCCTACAGAGGGAGGCGAAGGCACATATCCAGCGCCTTGTGCATACGGCGTCGCCGCTGAAGGCTGATAGTGAGATGTCATGGCAGGTGCGTACGGATTCTGCGCTGGTGCCGGGGGCTGGGGTTGAACGGCTGGGGCATAAGGATTCAGGGGGCTTGGCCCCACGGGCGGGACGGAGGCGGGCTGCTGATAGCCTACAGAAGCCGCGCCGCGAGAGGCAGATCGGGAGGTAGGGGCAGCCTGCCGTGCTGCGACCCGGGGAGCAGCCTTCTGGGTGGCCAGCTTGACGCGGTTCCTGGCGACGTCAGCAGCGGGGAAGCTATCCGGGAGAAGGTCGAGATATTTCTGCGCAATGGCCAGTTGGCCGTGAGCAGCCGCGATATCCGCGTACTCGGTGTACTTGTCATACAAAGACGCAAGCTTCCAGCCTTCCGTAAGGTTCTTTTCGTTGTCTGTAAACTTGGTGACATGACGGAAAACTGTAACTTTTTCGATGAAGTGTTGCAGCGATCGCGCATGAACAGAAAAATTGGAGTCATCGCTGGCTTCTTGTAGCCCGGCCTGCTCCGCCTCCTGGAGTTCCGTGATCCAGATATCCACTACCTTTTCGAGCTTCGAGCCAACGAGATAGCAGAAGGAAGCGTCTTTCCTCGAGCCCGATTCGAAGATTCGGTCGCCAAGGGCCTCGCACAGATCGGGAAACTCGGACGGCTCGGCGAAAGTGCAGAGTGAGACCATGGTCTCCTTCCAGTTGGCAAGGTCTGCGTTGTACACGACATCCCACAGGTTCTTGGCGATGACTGAGCTAATGAGGCGCAAATAGCTTGGGCCGGCCTTCTTTTGGGCGAGATATGCTGTCTGCACCTTGTCAACCAGTTCCTTTCCACCGCAATTCGCAAGAATGAAGGCATCTGCAATTCTATCCTCCTTCAAGCAGATATTGACGGCCTTCTCAAAGTTGCCAAGAAGGAGAGCTCTGGTAATCTGGTCTTCAAGTGCCGTGTTGCCTCCACTCAGGAGATGGAATGGGTTGTCCGTTTTGGCACCCTTGGCAGCAGTAAGATCAGACAAGAAATCGTCGCCGTCGTCGACGTCGCCCCACATGCTTGTCACACGCTTGTGCTTCTTGGTTGCATCATGACCGTTGACTTGCGGCGGGGCTAACCCCGTCTCCTTTGGCTCTTCTTTCGGCTCTTCTTTCGACTCAGAAGTCTCTCCCTCTTCGTCGGGACCAGAGCCTTCTTCATCCTTGAAGCCCAGATAGTCGATTATCTTGGTACGTCCGTCAAGTTCGCTCAATGTCTTCAACACTTGCCAGTCAGCCTTCTCTTCGTCTGTCTTGGCATTAGCGATGTGAGAGTCGCAGATGCCGGCGATATCCCCGCTTTTCAAGGCCTCCTCAAACTTTTCTGTTGCCGAGCCAATGTCTGAATCAACGGAGAAGCTCGATATTTGAATCTTGGAAGATCTCGCTTGGCCAGCCGGCGCCTCACTCTTCCTGAAGATGACCAGCTTGCCCCCGTAGCCAAAGGAGACACCGACTGGTCGTTCGAACCACGCGGGCGCTCTGGCGAGAGAGAATGACGCCCCTTGGAGCTGAGTTGGTGCCTTGGAGAAGAAATCATCGTCGGACATGCTAGTCTGCGCGGCGGGAACAGCAGATGGGTTCGTATTTTGCAATGTCTGAATGGTGATTTTGCCGTCGAAGGACGCGGCAGCCGACAGATTCGGGTTGCCGGGGTGAAAGCGGGTCGAGAAAACCCAGTTTGTGGACTCGGGGAACTCGCCATATCGCTCGCCCGTCTGCGGGTTCCATACCAGCGTCCTGTTATCCTTGCCGCAAGAGATGAGTAGGCCAGGATCTTGCTCACACCATGACAGCGACAGGATGCCCTGGTCATGGCCTTGTAGCGTCCTCTCAGGCGCCTGTGAGTTCCTGAGGTTCCACAGAAGGATGACTGGGGTATTGTCATCGGACGTGGCTGTCAGGAGGTTCGTCGAGTTGTTCGGATCCCAAGCAATTGCGCTCACGGGCTTGCGGTTGTTGTTTAGGGTCAATGAAGCCTTCTTCGTCTTGAGATCCCACACTGTGACAAATCCGCCTGCGCTGCCAGTGGCTAGAATATTTGAGACCTTCCGATTCCAAGCCACGCAGTCGATATCCTGGGCTGCGGCAGTACCGAGGCGGAAGGCGGTTGAGGTGTCGTTGGTGTCCCAGATGAAAAGCTCACCCTTGGCACCAGCCGTGGCCAGGACTTGCGGCCGTAGGGGGTTAAACTGCAGCGCCTTGATGGGCCCAGTATGCTTGGTATCGCGTGACATGAGGGCTTCTTCGCCGGCGAGGAGCTTCGCGGCATCCCAGAGCTGTAGCGAGCCGTCCTCCATTGCGCCAGCAACAACACCCCGCGGGTGCTCATCACTCGGGGCTCCCCATGCTATGTCGTAGAATCTGACTTCATATCAGTACTCGGTCGGGGGCGCAACAAAGGCGACGCGGATTACCTAGACTCGGTGCTGATGCTGATTAGGGGCTGCAACTCAAGGCCCTGGTCCGGTGCATCGAGATTGAGATCCCACAGCTCCAGCTTGGTCTCATCAGAGAAGTCGGCATCCACCGCGCCTGACCTGGTGCCCGTGACCAGGAGAGGGTTTGTGCCAGGCGACCAAGCAAAGGCCGCAGTCCGCGGAATCTCCCTCAGCCGGACCATGTCGGCGGCGTTGGGCTAAGCTGAGAGTTGAAAGAGAAAAGGCAACGGCGTCAAGCGGGGTCTGGCGTCGGTAAAGCGGACTCGGAAATGCACAATTGGCCTGGGTATTGGCAAGCAAAACACGCCGAAGACCGTAGAGTAGGCGAGCCGTGGAGGCGAAGGTGAAAATGACTGGTGGTGCCAGTCCAGGCGGATCGAGTTGGAATTGTGTTGCTTCGTCTTGCCAGATTGCACCGACTTCCAACCACAGAAGGGATGTGCCCCAGAATTCTGGCGCGGGCTGTCTCACTAACCGTTCTAGGGAGGGAAGCCCCTGAGGAGGAGGCATTGAACCCTAACCCTCTAATCCAACACTGCCCTGCAGTTTTGCTTTGGCTTACTCATATAGACTGCAGAGCGAACTCCCAGCATTGCATAATGTAGTCCTACAACATTGTAGATAATCTGGAGCCATCATAAACGTATAGAGACCATATTCTCATTGAAAAACTCTAGATTGCTTAGTGACAGTTTCCGAGCTCATGTAATTACAATACATAGCGTATGCCGTGAGGATGACGTACTGTACCAAAACGACTCATGCCGCCAGCCGCAACCACAAGGCTCCAAGCGGGGCATCTTCGCCTGGTACTCCGTATCTACTGTAATGTACAATACATGCAGTACACATCTGGTACCTTACGATATACGAAGGACTGTATCCTTACTCAAACCTCACTCACTCAAGTCTCAAGCTCATCTTTGAAGCCACGTGGTTTTCGCAGTCGTTCCCGTCTTTCGACAGACAGCTTACATTGATGCGGAAATACAAACGCATCGGATAAGACTCGGCCAATATTTTCGTTTGGCTACCGAGTCACCAGCCTATACTTCATAACATCCCAAGAACAGAACATCAACTCTCAGACACTGAGCCCTTGTTGCCTCTCAACTTCAACCACTCGACCGCCAACTCACTTAACCGACAGCCCGGAATAGGAGGGATAGAAGGAGGAAAACAATGACGGATTCCACACGCTGGAAATCTACCGTCTACATAGGCGGGCTCGCCCCGGCCGTGACCGTGACCACGCTACAAGAGGCCTTCATCCCATTTGGCGAGATTGCCGACGTGTCGTTGCCCAAGAATGAGAACCCCAACACCGCTGCGGCCGAGCCGCACCGGGGCTTTGCTTACGTCGAGTTCGAGGATCCTGACGACGCCAAGGAGGCCATCGACAACATGGACCAGGCCGAGCTATTTGGGCGTGTCATCAAAGTGTCGGCGGCTAAGCCGCCCAAGAGCGCGATCCAGGGTCTGGGGAGCAAGACGGCCGTTTGGGAACAGGTGAGCCGCTCCCTCTTCCATATGAAAGCTTTCCGTGGGGGGTCATTAACTGTGCTGGGGTGTAGGAGGGTTGGCTTGCCGAGCATGCGGTGAGCGAAGAGGACAGGTTAGCGGCAGAGCAAGCTCAGAATGCAAGACCGGATGATCCCATGCAGGGACTTGAGGGTCTTGATGTTGCAGGGCCTAAACCGGAATGAAGGTTATCTACATGCTGAAGGAGCAAGGAGTTAGGGAGAGCACGCCAAGAGTGCGCGAATGGCCTGGCCCTACTCGTGATATCACGGGAAGCAACGGGCCAGGAAACTTTGCATAGCCACGGCGTTTGTGGGAAGCTTCTGTTAGTCATGGAAAATGCATGTTTGTTCACACGTCTTGGACACTGAAAACACCGAGGGTATTCAGACCCTGGCCCCGTCCACCCCGCTCGATGTTCCGTTCATATACAAGTCTACCGCCAGTCAAGTCTAAACCCCCTCGATCATGAGAAAAAATACATGCATCCCTTAGTGGTGCTCCGCATGAGACTCGGCGGCGCGGTTTGTCCTCTTGAGGCGGATGTTCTTATCGACGATTAGATGGCGGGCGCTCGAGTAGATGGCGGCAGAAACGGCAAAGGCAACGACAACACCTGTATCACCCCATGAGCGCAATTCCACGCCGGACTGTGGAGGATTTATCGCGGTAGCTCACCGAGGGGGATCAGTTCGGCGGGGATCTTCCTCAGGCGCCTCAGGCGCTGGGAGACTGTGTGCGCTGTGAATTCACCCGATATCTCGTCAACTTCGAATCGCTTCCAGACGCAGCGCATCGACTCGCTGATAGCTGTTGCTCAATGACTGGACATACCAGCTTGTTCCTCCTTCTACACATCGCCTGTCAGCTCTGACGCAATCTAGCTAAACTGCCGCATTGCAGCTCCAACTCACAGGTACCGGCCCCATCATGCGAGCCGTAGGACGGAACATGCGCAAAGATCGTGTAGCGAACATTTTGCTAGGAATTGAGTGGGGATGCTGGCTGGAGAAAGGAAATACGGCTGCGCAGCCCGATCGGTACTCCGGTAGTGAATAGGTGACGAGCTTTGGGAGTTGAGGTCAGCGGTTTTGGTGAATGGAAACATAAAGCCCGGTCCATTGAGACCCACAGCAGCACCAAACTTGGCCAGTGAAATCAGCCCACCTCTTGTGAAAAGCAGAGCATTTTTCTGCCTCAGGCCGAAATCCAATCATCAGAGCTCCAGTGGGTCATATTCCGCATCATTGCGTGGGAGCAACCGCACGGAGCCGAATACAGTGACAAGCAACACACGATAACCTCACCTCCCGGAGATCGACTCCCCGTCATTCAAGGTTGCCATTGAACCGCCGTAGTTCTCACCTACTTGACTCTTGACTTGCCAAAATGTCGGACGACGAGCGCGTTACCAAGCCCTTCAAGTTCGTCACAGGTACGATTGCGCCGCATTGCAAATTCCCGCCCCAGAAATTGGGCATGGCCTGATGTTTGGTGCTTCGTCCCGGAGACGTCTTTCGCTAACACTGTTGGTAGCTGGTACGCTATATCTCTTCCATTCTGCAGATATAATAGCTGGAAATTGAATTGGTCTATTTGGGAGGAGAACGGGGGGTGATGGATTTGGAGAGCAGGATGATGAAGAGGGCCGACGAATCACTTCAAGAGCACGATCTGACAACAGCCCTGCCTAGGTGTCGACGCCCGCTTCCCAAACACCAACCAGACCAAGCACTGCTGGCAGAACTACGTCGACTATCACAAGTGCATCCTTGCCAAGGGCGAGGACTTCGCCCCGTGCCGCCAGGTTAGCCGGTCCCCGCCCTTATTGGAGCTGTCTCCGAGGAGGGGGTGATGCTCTCAGATGCAGAAGCTAAACATCACGGTTGCTACAGTTCTGGCTCGCATATCGGTCTCTTTGCCCCAGCGGTTGGTATCAGCGATGGGATGAGCAGAGAGGTAAGAAGAATGAAGCTCTTGATCGCGTCCGGCAGTACTGACACGCAACGCAGAGGCTGGAAATTTCCCCGTTAAACTTGAATGAGGGGGTCTGAAGACTAGGAGCGGTTGGCAAGGGGATGTACTCGACCCGAACCTTGTTACATTAGATTTACATCAACATGGGATGCACATAGAGGGTGTAAGTCAATCTTGTACATTCAGTGAGGAAACCAACTGCGGAAACACAGAGGTTTGTTACGACAATCCTAGTACACGCTTGAGAATGTGACCCGGTGTTGCCAACCAGTCAACCAGAACACCAGACGCCAGAACCCCGTCCCACAGCTACTATAGCCACTCCGGGAGACTATGTTCGTCTCCTAAACAATACAAGCCAGCCCAATTGGGCCAGTATCACAGCCCTGCATCAGGCCTCTGCGTTTTCGCCCTCACTGTCGTCATCGGAACTCATAAACTCGTCGTCGTCGTCGAAACCAACAAATCTTTTCGCTGGCGCCTTGCCATTCTCCTGTTCCTTTCCCTTCCGCCTGATATCCGATCCCGCCTCTGGCTCCGAGGGCGGCGTAGTCGCCTTCGACCCGCCACTCTCCTCACTTTCGTCCATAATCTTCTTGTCACCGTCCTCCCCCTCCCCCTCCTCACTCTCGGCACCACTGTTGCTACTGCTCCCACCACCGCTCCCCTCCCCAACTGTCGCCCCAACACCCATTAGATTATCCCTGTACGCCCCGGCCCCTTGGCTCATGACCAGCCTGACGGCCTCGCGGGTGCGCTCGCCCACCTCCTCCTTGTCCTCGACCCACTTGCCGTCGAGGCCGACTTTCCGGCTGCCGTACTTGATCTCGTCCTGCCTGCGCTCGGCCATCTCGACAATCTCCTCCCAGCGCTTGCGCCGGCGCTCTTTTTCCTTGCGCTCCATCTCGGGCTTGATGGCCAGGTACTCGGCGAGCGCTTTCGCCTCGGTCACGGTGCGCAGCCGCCGCCCGTCCAGGTTGCGCGACGACCCTTGCTCCTCCTCGAGCGCCGCCGCACCACCCTTTTTCCGCTTCGACATGCGCCCGCCCGCCGCCCGCAGCTGCGACCCGAACCCGCCCTTCCCGCCCAGCAGCGCGGCGTGCAGCCTGAGGGGCAGGATCTCGTCATCATTTTGAGACCCGCTGTCGGTTTCTGATTCTGGTTTTGAGGGGTGCAGGAGGTGGGAGATTGGCTCGAGAGAGGAGAGCGGGACCGGGTGGCTGGAGAGTGTTGACAGGAGGAGGCGGGTGCAGAGTGCGTTGGGGGGGAGGCGGGCGCAAAGTTCGTCGCTGAGGGACGAGATGGGAGTTGTTGCCGGTAGGGCGAGGGAGAGTGTAGGTGGGAGGCCAGTACCGGCGAAGGTGCTTATGAGGACGTTGATCTTGCTAGGAGCCATGGTTGCTTTTGATACAGGTGCTCGTGTCGAAGTCGCGAAGATGTGGTGGCGACTGCGCCTGTTGAGGCGACTGCCGAGGGTAATTTATCTCGGAGACCTGAGGACGATCGAGTCGAATAAGTCAGGCTTGTGATATGAAATCAGGAGTCTAATGCGCGAATCCTGGGCGCCAGGACGCCAATGTTGGATGTTTAGGTATTTGGGAAGGTCCGGAGTTACAGGTATCGCATTGGTTGCTTACGGATAGTTCCATTGACCCTGTCACCCGCGAGGCTGGAGTCGCATGGACCAAGAACCTGGACCCACAAGCCACACCTGCGCCTGCCAGCCGTGCCAAGACTTGTATTACCGTGGCTGTGCGGCCCCGCTAATCTCGAGCCCTACTACCAGATGGGAATTTTGGCGCCGCAGAGCCCACAAATCACTTGTGATCTTGAATTTTGAAGAGCTCGACTCCCCAACGCCGACACTCTCCCAAGACCAATCTCCAATTGTGTCGACACCGATCCAGCCGCCAAGATGCTTATTCCAAAGGCTGATCGCAAGGCGATCCACGAGGTATGGCCATTTCCGACGCTTTTCGACACCTAGAGGATCGGGACAAGGGAAAATCAGAAAGACTCGGGGTCGTGGTCCGCAGGGAAGCCTGTCACTGACATTCGGGGCAGTATCTCTTCCGGGAGGGTGTTATGGTCGCTGCGAAGAAGTAGGTTCACCGAACTCCACCACAAGTCGCGTCCAATCTTCCCTTTCGAGCGACGAGCTGCGTTCAGCCACGATACGCGCCAGTACATGACAACCGATATCAAGACTACGAAGACCTTTTGACGGGTATCGGTTTACTAATTCTGGTGATGCTGCAGCTATGAGTCGACCCACGAGACCGGCATTCGCAACCTCTATGTCATCAAGGCCTGCCAATCCCTGACTTCGCGCGGCTACGTCAAGACCCAGTTCTCCTGGCAATACTACTACTACACACTGACCCCCGAGGGTCTCGACTACCTCCGGGAGTGGCTTCACCTGCCTGCCGAGATTGTCCCGGCTACCCACATCAAGCAGCAGCGATCGCATGCCCCGCCCCGCGGCATGATGGGCGAGGAGCGTGGTGAGCGGAGGTTCGGCGGCCGTGGCCGTGGCGACCGTGGCGACCGGGAGGGTGGCTACCGGCGCCGGGATGCTGGTGAGGGCAAGGAGGGCGGTGCCCCGAGCGACTTTGCTCCTCAATTGTAAGTTGGGCCGTTGAATTTTTGGGCATAATTATCCGATGGCATTTTGGGTTTCTGGTTTGCTGACAATGATTGCCTACAGCCGTGGTGGTTTCGGGCGTGGCCGTGGCGGCCGTGGTGACGCTCCTCCTTCGTAAAGCCGGAGGCGGATAATCTCTTCTCTCTATTGGGTTGCCAGCAACGGCAGAACGGCATGGCACGACATGTACTCTACATCGAAAGAGTAGAAAGGGTCGACCAGCAATGCACCTACTCGCCAGGACCGTGAGTGGTTTGCGTGAGGAGTTGGTGGTTAGAGATCATTCGGAAAACTTCTGCATTCAGGGTCATCATTTGCGGTCAATACGATTTTTACTCTCACTCGGTTGCTTCGTGATGCTACAGGCAGTTAGCCGGTCACCGGATGGATGAGTCTACGAACAATATGAGAAGGGAGTTTTTATCGTTTACAACCGGAACGCAATCAGCCTGGTTGCTTTGAGGTGTGTGAACCAAGGCTGTAGGCGTCGTCAAACTTCTTGCCCGAGTAGAGGTCATCCATGAGCTCGAAACGGCCAATACCAGAAGCTGAACCAGCTCCTCCAAGATCTCGTTCTAGGGCATAGCATCCCAACCAAATACAGTGCAAGTCTCAAACTTTCCCGGAACTGATTTTAAGGCTCGAAAGTGTTACAGTATTTGAGGACCAAAACCGAGCATGCTGTGGACAACACACTACACATATACAACAGTTACAAGCACGCGTGTGATAGGAAAGATAGGTATCGTAGTGCTTCCTCTTCTGACCTCTAAGTATTGGGCATGTTTGCTCCTTTGTACTTATTACTCTGTCAACGCGCCTTCTCGAATTGTACACTTGACCATTGTTACTGACTATACCCAGCCGGAAGAATACCCTTTCTCCTTTTGGTGGCCAATTCCTGAGTCGACGTTGAAAGAGTTGAGAGTCATCCACCTTCCTTCGTGGGCTCCTTTCCTGGAGCTCAACTCTGCCTATACACTAACGAATCCAGTGCAAGTGATCGATGATGTCTAGTTCTACCCAAGCAACATCAAGACCAAAGACTTCGCAACAGCATCTGCAAGCTGCGAGTGATCTGTTATTATAAGATCAGTCCAGGATCTCGTCAGAAAAACCAACAATGTGAGCACCATATTCCAAGCACTGTCAGGAGTCGCTGGCAATATTATACACAAAACACTGCACAACCTGGCTCGAACCATGTCAATTGTAACGGGCGAAATAAGCCGTGTCCCCAAGTATCCCATTCTATAGCTAGTATCTATTCTTTGTGTAAATGCAACCAAACAACACCCGACAGAAAAACATCCGACAGCTCAAGAAGAGGAGCCGCGCAGTTGTAGACAGAGAAGGATCCATAGATACCTTGGCAGCATATACCATAGGTGGTACATCCATATACATGGCATGTGTGTGTGTGAGAAAAGGTCATCACGTAATCGATCTATGCCCTGCCCGGGAATTAGATCCCTAGATTACCGCGTGGTTTGTCAGGTATCAAAGCCGGCCAACTGCCCTCCCCGTTGTTTCCGGCGAAGAGAATTGAGGAAAATAAACTTTGTGACGCCCGATACCATGCTGGATGAGTGACTTGACCACGAGACGTGACGTGACATGACAGCCGAAAGAAAGCCAATTACAAGACCTCTCTGGATGCAAATAAGATACGCGAAGTAGAGACCCTGTGTGAGCGGGACCCAGCTGTCGACTGGAACGACAGATAACCGTGATTATACACTAGCCCAATACTAGCCGAATGACCGGCTTTCAATCACGCATGCCCCATTGCGGCTTGAGCTGCGCCGCCGTGGCCGCTTGCGTAAAGACCTGGTCGCCAGGTAGCCGACTGACCCGTCCGGCGCCATTGCGAATGGCGCTAAGCTGCGCTTGCGAGATTCCGCTCCGGTTGCTGCGGATCGAGCCTGCATCGCTGCGAGCGTCCGAGTCGACAAACTTGCGGGGCGGGGCAAAGTCAAGGGCTGTGAAGGTGCCTGACTTGCGGAGTAGATGCCTACAAATCATGTTATTAAACCCTGTCTCGAAAATACCTTGTGATGATATCAACTTACGGGCTGGGTAGCGAAGGGAGTTCTTCAAAGGCGTTGACCAAGGGCGAATGTGCAGGCACGTTCATCTTGTACGGGCGGCGTTCGCCGACTGGACTCTGGGATCGGCCACGGGCGCGCTCGGCAAACGATTCAGGCGGCGCAAAGTCGGCTGCATTGAAGAGGGCAAAGGAGTCATCCTTGAGCTTAGACGGCGTGGGGAGGGTGGGCAAGTCCGCCGGTGGAGGCACCGGCTTTCTTGGACCACCAAAGCGATTGCCGGACATTGCAGAACCGGCGCGTGAGGGCCCATAACGGCCTGAGGCCGACGATCCCGGACGCGAATGACCGCCCAGCTGGTTAGAGACTGAGGATCCCGGCCGGGGAGGACCACGCACGTTGGGCGGCAGCCTCATGCCCGTCTGAGATCCATGGAAAGCACGCGGAGGGCCCCTTGGGCCGGGGAATCGCTGGCCTGACGGCGGCGGCGTCATGGCCCTGCGAGATACGGGCTGCGCATACGGCATGACAAAGGAATTGGACGCAGGATCAAAGTAAGGCGCATCTGCGGCGTAGTCCTCGTAGTAGTCAACGCTGTTGGCGTGATGCTGTGGTGGTGGTCGCTGCCGTTGCGGGACGGACAACGATGACGGCATTTGAGGGACGGGCGGCATATTTTCGGGCTTGGTATCATCAAAGTATTCCTTGTAGAAGGATCTAATGCGGTTTGCCCTGTATTCAGGATCCTCTGATTCCATGATTTCGTCAGGGGGGAGAGGGCGGAAGCCAACAGAAAGACGGCGATTGTCCTGCTGAGGTACGCCCAACCCGTGGCCTCCATCCTGCTGTTCATACAGATGTGATGTCCTGCGCATATCCCGGCCTCTGGGCGCTTCCGTATCAAGCTGTCCGGCGCGGTTCTCCGGTGAAGGCGATCGGGGTTGCTGGGGCATTTCCGCATAGTCAAAGGCGTAGTGATCATGGGGCTCCTCAATAATCGGTGCCGAGGCCTGGTTCAGCTGTCTCTGCGGCGGCGGGCTCATGACTCGGCTGTTATACGACGAAGCGGAAGTTCGTACCGATGCCCGGGAGGGCTCAACTTGACCCACAAGTCCGAGACCGACAATGCTAGGTTCAACTGGGCTCCGAACCTCCCGGGTCTCAGGTTTCTCAAACGGATTGCCAAAGCTTGCGTCTTCGATAGCTACCCCGGAATCAGCCGGGCTTGGCTGTGGTGGTGACGGCAGTGGGGCTGAGGGAGCTTTTAGGGCAACGGCTGGGGGCTCCTGGATCAGTGCGCTGGCGGCACTTGCATCCTGCGACTTTGCAGAAGATGTGTCTGCAGATTCGGCAGGCAGTGACTCCCTGAAAGGGAAGTTCAATTGCGGAGCGGTACTTGCTGGCAGAGGCTGCTCGGGCTTCATGTGGGTTGGCTCTGGTGGATGAAGCGGCGGCCTCGGCAAAGAGTTTTGACGGCCAGGCCGATACGGACCTGGGGACATGGGCCCAGTATCCGGGATGCTGCTCGATCGAGTGTACACTGAGGCGGCTTCATGACCTCGAGGAAAAGACCGGATCGAGCCAACCTCGCTCCCGGTATACTGTGCCACGGGTCGGTAGGGGTCCTCCTCGGACTGATGCAGTGTTCGGGCCAGAGAATTGAGAGACTCGCGCGAATTATGGGCTTCCGGAGGCAAGAGGTATGGGTTCGACAGGTTCATGTCCATGGACATTTGTTGGCGGTTGAAGCGTGACTGAGAGTCCTTCTCCCTGCCAAGCAGACTCTTGCGCGACGTTTTACCCGCAGGTCCGCTATCTCCCAAGCCAAAGTCTAGCGACTTATGAGGGTCATTGAGATCCTCATTTCTCTGCCTTTTGATGTTTCTCCGGTGAAGGTAAAAAAGGACAGAGACGATCGCTACAAGAGGAATTCTGTGGATTCATGTGAGTTTGCCATTGTCAGGTACGGGGCAGTTTCGGCACTTACGCAACTCCAAGGGCGATAGGAATAGTCAGGTCGGAACCACCAACAGGCTTCTCGCAAAGTCGTGCGTCTGTACACTCGGTCGTTTTCTCGGCTCGGGTGGACAAAACTGGAGAGGGGACATTCAATCCTAGCGTGGTTGTGCCCATCATTTCCTGCGCACCGCGCCTGACCATTGGGATTCTCGGTCCCATGGCGTACACAGCGCCTAAACCGTCTTCCATCTTCGAGAACCAGGTATCCTCCCTCCACACTCGATTTTGGTCCTCGATGGCAGTCTTCAGGTCTGAAGAATGTGGCCGTGACAGTATTACTTATTTTGCTGCGCAAGAAATGCCAAGGGAACAACGAGCGTTGGAGTAAAAGAATGCTGTCATAACAGTCGTATCGCAGAACCTCCAATAAGCGATGTAGCGGCTCTCTGTTCTAGTGTAGCCGAAGGAAATGGAGTGACGGAAAGATCAACATTCAAGGCCGCAATTGGACGGGCTCCCGAAAGTATCACGACGTGAGTCGATTCCAAGGCTCTCGGAGAAGATTGTCCGTGGAAGAGCCAATGCTTCAATGGCCTAGCACCGAAACCACAAAGCTTGACCGAAAAAGATTGACTTGACGAGGGAAGTCGTCGCTTGTCGGTGAACCGATCTCGGTTGGAAAGGAGTAGAAATGAGAGACACGCCTGCTGGCAGGCTAGACGGGGAAAAGGAATGAAGAATCACACGTCCGAGGACGATGTGAAGTTGGCAGCCGTCTGGTGTCGCGGTCGGGATCGGTGTCCTAGGACGCCAAAAGGAGTGAAAGTTTGTGAAAGAGTGACAATTAGGATTAGATTTGCGGTTAGTGAGTTAGGGAACGACGAGAGCGACAGGATGGGGTTGAGAAGGCCCCGTTCGGCTAGCCCAGGCCCTGAAGCAACGACGGTAAAGGCCCCCTGACGTGTTCGGTTGGGTCACCAAATCTCCGCGAAGGAGAAGGGATTGCCAGGCCGAGTGAAGGCTCTGTCCTGTCGGTCTCGTGGGCTCGACTTCCAGCGGTGACTGCGACGGACGAATAGAAATTGCTCATTTCAGCTTTAATCAAAAAGGGGAAGCGGAGGTGTCCATTGGGTGGATGCTTCAACAGGGGCGGCCGGCCATTGAAGCTGTGATAAGCCAATCAATGGCAGGCTGGTCCGTTTTTCTTAGCGGCCTACTCCTGGGACCGGCCGAGCCAATCATACATCAACAACCTTGCAGAAAAGCCCCACGATCTGATGCAGGATGCAGGAACGCAAACAAACTCAGATGGCGCTAATCTCGCCAGCCCGCCAGGGAACTTTCAGGTACCCGGCCTAATAAAATCAAGGGGCATGGTACTTGTGCAAGAGCATTGCCGAGATGAACCAGTCTCGCCTGTGTCAGCGATCCTTGAGGAACATCACCGGCTGCACCCGCCTCCTGATCCGCCTTCGACTTCATCGCGGGGTGAGGCGCGGGCATCTTGGGATTGCAGATTTGCAGTCTTGCGAAGGCGCAGCCTAGCATATAGGATGGTGTTGGCTGTTTCATGACCTTGACTTGCAGACAACAGACGACTACGGATACCTAACCCGGAATATAGTCTGGATGGATGGCTGCCTTGGTCGAAACAAAACTTTGGGAACGGTTGCACGGCATGGTGTATTCCTCCGGTTTATTTTAGACGCTCGAGTTTGTCCTCTAGATGTTGAACTATCTCACAAACGCCGCCAACCGTCTGTAGCGGCTCGATGACTGCCTCGGCTCGGCTTCGCGTCTCTGGTTGCAAAACGGAAAGCCACAGATGTCGATGCATTCGCCGTATGTAGCTTATCTATTCTGGCTCACAGGATCGTTTCCCTGCAGGCCGGAAAGCGATTATCTTCTTTCGACGGCCAGGTCGTCTGGGAAGCCCTTATTCGCGCCGCCCTAGTTGCCCAGTGCTCTCTGCCATATATAAGGAGAAAACGATACTGCCCCATGCGGACTGACGCCGAAAGCTGGATTCACGGCTACGCGGGCTGCCGTCACTGCCATCATCATCAACTCGTTTTGTAGAATTCTGGTGCGTACTCTAGCAACCACTCCTTGTTGATCTTCGTGATATCCCGGATGAATGTCTTATTGGCCGTTTCCATGACCTCGTGGAATATGACCCAGTCCGCCTTGCGATTGAACAAGATTGAACTCGGATGGGCATGAAGGACTGTTGTTCCAGAGACGTTCCTGAACGTGCCGTCTGGTTGCATCCTTGCAGCATGAGCGAAGTAGCCTGCAGTCAGACACCGTCGGATCTGCTCGGCTTTATTGGCTGTCGAGGCAGATGGGGATGCGAGCGATTCCTCGACCTTGATACCAAAACGTTCCAGGTACCTCTTCAACTGTGCCCGGATACTGACCGCTTGGCTCATGGCTCGGAAGTTGAGCAGATTTTCATGGCAGAAGCGAGCTTCTCTTCGGCCCTTTGTCACAAAAGCTTGGTAGACGTTGAGAAGGGTTAGATGGTCCCCTTCCTCGACCGAGAACTTTCTCTTTGCGCTTTCGGTCTTTTTCTTCTCCCCTTCGTGTTGAATCCAGACACTTCCACCGAGACTAGTCATGGCTGCTATTGTCAAGATCTCGCTTAGGCAGCCGAATGACGAAGCCGAGAGCAGCGTTTTAGCCATCATTGGCTCAACTGCCAGTTCCGCCATCCTCATCCCAAGGGGTTTCGTCAGCTTGGCGTAGTCGTCGAGGGCGCCGAGGGAGTAGAGCAACTCAAGTGCCCTGGTCATCAACTCGGCAGGAGGCGACGTTAGAAAGTCAAACCTCAAAACATTGTCTATGCCGAGGGCTTTGAGTTGGAGAATGAAAGGTGCTAGATTTGAACGCTGGATCTCGGGTACGTTGGCATCCGGAAGGGACTGGTAAGCCTCTTCGGTGTACAGCCGAAAGCATTTTCCGGGTCTTGTCCGGCCAGCACGTCCTGCACGCTGAGCCGCCGATGCCTTGGACACTGGTGTTGCCGTTAAGCTCTCTATTCCGGTTTTTGGGTTATATGCCCGTAGCTTAACAAAGCCAGAATCGACAACATAGACTATTCCGTCTATTGTCACCGAGGCCTCGGAGATGTTGGTAGAAAAGATGACTTTTCTGAAGTTTTCGGGCGCCTCTTCGAACACGTACATTTGCTGGTCAGCGGATAGGCCGGCATACAACGGCAGAGGAAGGATTGACTGAGACCCCGGCGGTAGCTTTGTCGACCATTCCGAGACGGCTTGCACGGCTTGCTCGATCTCGTCCCTCCCGGTCAAGAAGACGAGTACGTCACCATTGGGTTCATTTTCATGTATTTTGAAGACAGTTGAGACAGCTTTCTCGAGATAATCTTCGGCCGGGGAGTCTAGGTAGAGGATGTCTATCGGGTACGTCCTACCCTCGAGACTGATTATGGAGGCGATATCATCTATGTGGGTGTCGTCTGGAGCTGCTTCGCCTTTGGGCCCTGAAAAGAAACTGCGGAAATCTTCGGCTTGAAGCGTTGCGCTGCTGATGATAATTCTCAGATCAGGCCTCTTCTTGCGAATTTTCTTCAGGAGTCCAAGCAGAATATCGGAACTGATTGATCTCTCATGAGCCTCATCGACCATGATCACCGAGTATCGAGACAGAAGGGGGTCTACAAGGGCCTCCCGGATCAGCATGCCGTCGGTGAGAAACTTGATGCGTGTACTTGATGATGTGGCATCCTCAAAGCGGATAGAGTATCCAACCTCCTTGCCCACCTCACAGCCAAACTCCTCGGCAACTCTCATAGCTACCGTGATGGCAGCGACACGGCGGGGCTAGGCGAGACGTTCCATTAGTATGCTTACGGACAGAAGTAACACAATGAATTTGCGTACCTGAGTGACGCCAATGACTTTGCCATCTGTACACCAGCCAGCATTCTCCAAGAACTGCGGAATCTGCGTGCTCTTGCCGGAGCCAGTTTGACCCACGACAATCGTGACCGGGAAGGTCTCAACGAGATACAAGATGGAGGTCCGATGCTTAGCAATTGGCAATAGAGCCGTTGGTTTATGAAGCGCTGGAATGAATGCCGCCTCCAGGCTAGATTCATCCATGTCTGCACACCCACAGTGAAGCTCTCAGGAGCCCAACAGTGTCCGAAAATGAACCGGCGCGATGACAGAGAGCAGATAGTGTCCCTCCACATTAATTCAGTGTGAACCAAGACCAAACTGAAGATCCCTGTTTAATCCATGCTATGCACGGGAAACCTCAACAGATCGGATACGCAGAGCACAGTTCCTCATGAATCTGCTGAAGCAGCAGGACTTCGAGTTGAGTGAGAAGGAGAGGTGCGGCTGCAGGTGCTCCTTGAAAAGCGTTGAGCGTGCTTGCCTGCCATTCAGTTGCCTTGCAACTTAAACTTCAGCGCCGCGACGGAGGAAGTACAGTGCCAGACGGAGAAACACTGTAAAAGTTTACTGTGTGGAGTGGCTACTAGTAACTTGAAGTTCATTCACATTGAACTTCAAGTGTGGATTCTGTGGAAGGTTCAATCCGAGTCGTTGATGCCTGAGGTGAGCGCCACAATTCACCACCTCAACAAGCCCAGTCACCGAGCTTCTCGCGGCGAGAACCTGCCCTCGCACTTTCCAGGTTTCCAAGCACAAGTCGCAGCATCACTGCTGCCATCTCGCGCTCACTCAAAAGAACCTGCGCAAGCTGCCAAGGGACTGAAGAATCACCTGTTGATGTCTAACTTTAGATCTGCTGTCTGCCTACCTGATTACATTGTGTGAACATTGGCCGACGAATTTCCCCGTCCATCAGGAGCACCGCCATCCTTTTTCCTTATTTGTTTCTCCAGTTCTGCTCTATTTCGCCGGCAGGCTGCGAGTCATTTCTCTTTTGGCCCATTTTGCACAGAGGACGATTCTGCCTACCTTGACCAAGCAGATAGTCGTCCTCCAACAACGCTTGGGACCGTTGGCTGCCCGTGTTGGCTGAGGACGATTCCTTCTTACTGAATTGTCTAGCACTTACGTGATCATAAACATTTCACTATGGTGAACTGATGATTACCAGCAAAGATGGGAAGAGAAAAGGAAAATGCCCCTCGCGCGACCAGCGGGGGGCACGCCAAGGAACGGCACAAACGAGATCGCGACCGCAAGGGCAACTTGATAGACTGGACAGCACCCTTGCCCCCAGGTTTGGTTGCGAGGCCTGATAGACCGAAGATCAGTTCCAAGCACAAGTCTTGGTTCGAGTTCATCGAAAACAAGGACAAGAAGAAGAAGCTCGAGTTCGAGGTAACTGGAAGACGTGGTACACCGTTGACCGAGGTACTGACCCAAGGACAGTTTACCGAGAATAGAGACCCGCCGCCGGGGTTTGAGTTTGTTCCTATTGGGAACCCCGCTCTGACAACAGCATGCAAAGAGCTCTCTCGTGAGCAGGGCGCCATGATCTTCATCGTCACGGTTTGTCGGCATCTTTGACTCACATTGGTGGCAGTGGTCTGACACTTTGGTGCATAGTCATCTCATGGTTACTATTCCAAGGGACTCAGCCTTCATCTGAACCGTGCTGGCCACCACATCAGACAGTCGATAGTGGAGCAAGCACGTAAATCCCTCGGGGATGATCAACTAGCCGCTGTTGCCGCGGTGCCTGGCCAGCCCGAGCCCATCCCTGAGAGGCAAGAGGACATTAACAGGCAGGCTGACGCTGCTATAAGGGACCTGTTTCCTCGCATACCGAACACCGACCGTCAGATGATCATTGAGCATGCATTTAACAAGGTAGGCACACTCTCAACTCGCCCATAGGGTCCGAAAGATCCCGAGTCATCCGCCAGGTACCTAATCTCAGCTCAAACCTACAGACAAGGCTTAGCAAGGGTGAAATACCGGTTGGGCTAGCCTCCCAACTGACTCTCTCACGTCGTGTACAGCTAGCCGTCCTTGCTCATATCCGCCACAACCATACGAGGTATGACCAGTTGCTCAAAGAGACAACGTATGTCAACGCTCGTAAGGCTGTTGAATCTCTGTGTCTCGATATCCTTGTCAAGTGGCGAGGAGATGAGGAGACAGGCCGGGATCAGCTGGACGAGATCCTCTGTGAAGTTATTGTCATCTCAGACTCCGAGAGTGATGATTCTGGCTCGGACGACGACGACGAGGAGTCGTCCGACACCTCGTCATCGGCAGAAGAGATTCCCGAGAGGGGCATGGTGAGCGATGGCCTAGCAGGCAGAGCAACGCTGCCTCCTGCCGAGCCCTCCGCCCCATTGAGCATTCCCACGTTCCGTGGCGAGGGGCCGTCCAGGGCTACGCTCGCGCCGCAAGGGGTTAAAAAGGCGTCGCACAGAGATCGGAAAGCAGCCAAGTGGGCGCAACGCGGCTTTGGCAGATACCAAGCGGCCCGAGACCAAGCTTGGCACCAGGCTGTAGAGCGACAGCGACTTGGGAACGATCAGTCGGTGCAATCCGGACGGTTCACGCCTGTGGATGGGTCTACGACCAATAGACCACAACAATGGCATTCTGGGGAACCAGGCGCACTGAATTCTGGACTGGCGACGGTTCGCAGTGGAATTGAGCCTCCGCCCTGTGTCCAACGCGGGCCATATCGCGCTTCTTTGCCCCCTGTGGAATCGCGGTATGTCTCGGGAAGCGCTCGCAGTTACGCCGATGATCTGCAGTCGACGGTTCCTCCTGCAGCATATCGCATGCCCCAAGGTACACGCATTCAGAGGGACTCACCGAGCAGAGGGTTCGAGCCTGTAGTCAGGCCCCGTCCTCCCTTGGATAACGTTTCTGAGCTCGAACGGGTAAGCCACCATGGCCAGGATCTCAAGGATCTCCTTGTGCCGTCAATCGAACCCCGTTCTCCCGACTTGTCCCATTTCCCACCCCGATCCCCCTTCCCGAACCATCAGCCCGGCCCTGGCTTTGCCCGCGTCGCCGAGGGGCCTGTGCGGGCGTCGGCTTCCGTGCTAACTGGCGAGGCCACAACTTCACGTGGGGTTCAGAACATCTATCACGATGAAGGGTTTGTGAAGCTCCCTCCGCGGTCTGATGCAAGCCGTATGCCAGCCGCGCCCGATCCTGGCTTGGAACCTTTCATTCTGGTAAGGTCGCAGCCAATGCACACTACCACTGCAGTTGATACCCCGACTTCTGTTTATGGTGGGTTGGGTGCCAGACATTCGTCGGCATATTACGACAATGGCCCGGGTGGTAATGACGGGTCGATCCCTAAGTCGGGCTCCCGCCCTATCTGGGTTGGGGATGACGGGTTCATCCTTAGATCGGAAGCTCGACCCATACTCATCCAGGACGATCCCCCGCCATTCAGGACCTCGCAGGCAGAGCCGGCGTATCGTTCCTCGCGGGCTGTTCCTCGCTCCCCCACGGAGTGGATCCCGGAGGGCCGTCCCGGTAGCCCTCGCTGGGTGGAAGACAACAGGAGGCATGTCGACCCGATAGTCGACCGGCGTATTGAGACCCTTCGCAACGACTTCGTCGAAATCGTTCGGGTCTCCAATAAATTTCCCAAGCGGTACGAGCCGGATGCGGCTCAAACTAATGCGACGCGTGGTGAATTGCGATCCGCGACTTTCTACCCGAGCGTATCACACCAGGTAAACGATGACGCTGTGCTACGCTACTCCCAGCAGTTCCCCACGCAATCCCAGCAATCTGAACATCATATGGGGAGGGTCGAACAATCCGCGGTCAGACATGAAATCATTCCCTTCGCTCCACGACATCCAGCAGCGTATGGGAGCGCTGTTCACGAGCGGGTGGTTGGCATTGAATACGTCCACCCTCGTCCAAGGTAAGTGGCTTGATGTTTGATTGAGATCTGATGTTTACCAAGGTAGCAGCTTTGAGACCCATACTTATTGGGAACGTGACCGCCGGTACGAGGCGGGAGATCCTATGTACCGATCTCGGTCCGCTTCGATTATCCCTGCGGCGTACTCGAACTCCACATTCCCTCCACAGGCCGACCGCCGAGTCCCAAGAGCGGACGAAGTAATTACACTTGATTGATCGGGGCAGCCTGACGACTATTCACCCGAGTTGCTGTTCCACACTACAGCTCACTGTCACCGCCATCGTCATCGTCTGGCTGTAACGCCGTACACATGTCGAGACTCATTGCTTGTATCCAGTCGCCACCAACTTGGCGGAGTGGAGACAAGAGGAGCATCATTCTGGTTTGGAGCATACAGGCATTCGGGGGTGAGCGCAACTGTTGGTTGAACAGCCTATTGCTTTTCCAGCATCGGAATGGGCGTCAGTTATATACGGTTCATCGCTGTAAAGGCTCTGGATTCGTCCTTTGATGTACGGTTTAGACTAGTCATTAGTATACCCGCCTGGGCTGTATTGACAAGCTCGGATTCCCGAGCATGACACTCTGATCCTAACGTATATGCAAAACTCGTGAGTCATCAGGCAACGTATCCCCATAACACGTCCCGTACCACCAACGTCCTCTCCTGATAGCACGCCTTCTAGGAGGCTAGCATTGCCTGCCTCTCCGTCTGCCTCTTGAGCCCCGTCGTTTCCGGCTTAGGCTCCTCCTCGACCTGGTTCGCTGGCAGCTGGGTGTCAGGAACACTCGGCAGTTGCTGTCGAACTCCTAAAGTCCTGCCCGTGACTTCAGCCTCAAGCGCTGCCAGCTCATCCTCAACCTCTTCCTCATCCTGGTTCGTTATTCGCCCGGCAAGTATCTCGCTGACTTCCTATAGATGGGGCATGGATGTCAGCTCCCAAGCCACTATACTCTCTCTCTCTCTCTCTCACACACACACACAAACCAAAACCAAGGAATGAATTAGAAATAGGGAGCAAGAGAAGAAAACGGGGGAACAAACGGACCTTCTGGTAAGCAATCGCCTCGGCTGTCTCCTCCATCAGCTTCTCCACCTTCTCGATGCCGCCCATCTCAGCGTGTATCTCCTTGAGCACCTTGGCGCCCTGCTGCAGGCCGAAGACGACGTCCTTCTGGATCAGCGCGAACTCGACCGACGACGTCAGCTTCTCGAGCTGCTCGAGCTGCGCGTCCGTCTTTGCCAGCAGCGATTCCTGGTACTTTTTGCGCCGCAGGGCGAGCAGCGCGCGGGCCTTGTCACCCTTGGCCAGCATCTGCCGCGCGATGGCCGTCTCCTTGTCCGTGAGGAGAGTTATCCGCCGCTGGTATTGGTGGAGCTTGTCTCGTTGCAGTTTGAGGTCGAGAATTGCTCTGCTTGGAGTGGTTAGTTGGGTTTGGTTTATGATACGTGGGGAGAAGGCCCGGTTCGTTGGACTACTGACTGGTCCTGTGCCGTTATACGGCTGGAGCTATTGCCCATTGTGACATTGGCGTCGAGGGGCTCACTACTCCCGGGGCGGTGGTGAGGATTGGTTGGTAGCGGGGTCTTGTTGATTGTCGCTGAGGGCTCGTATGCCGGCCCTTGAGCAAGATGGAGGTGGGAAGCCTGAAAGATGCAAGTCGTGTGGTTTGGATCTGGATATGTGATGGCACGCGCGGGGCTAGTTAGTACCTAACTACACGATACGTTCTGATACAAACTCACATTACACTTCTTCAGGAAGTAATCTTCGCAAGAGTACCTCCACAACGATAATGCTTCCAGTATACCTAATTATACACGTGTACGTCTGCTGAACTGCTGTTCCAGTCAACCCTGTTCATGCCCGTTCAACTGTTCCAGAGACCATTCTCGAACGTCACACCCGGTACGTATACCTTATCGGGGTTGCACGGAGATCTCCACTAACGTTAATGTTATCGATAAAGACGTCAGTGAATGTGGCTTGCGGGGCGAACTGCATGAGGGGCAACGTAATCTGCATTGCACATGCAACAGCTTCAAATGTGACATGCCTCTGCGAGACCAAACACTGGTCTTCTCTGTATGATCAATCATCGGAAACTTCCCGACTTCACCAAAGCTCCAAGCTTTAGCCGACGATTTATCTTCTCATAACTGATTTGGATTTCGGGGCCTACACAATGTCTGCCCCAACCGATGTCGTGAGTGCCTGTCGATCATCTTTGTGCCGAGATTCGAAACTTAATGCGCCCCCTGAATCTAATCCTCTTCATCCTCCCAGCTAACATAACGCCATCGACAGACTAAAGCTCCGCCAGCACCCGAGTCTCCTACCACTGCAAGACCGCTTGAGATGGACGACGATGATGTTCAAGAACAAGGGGTGTTGGGCGCTGACGAGACCGCTTCCAAGTCCAACGCTGCAAACCCGGCGACGACCAACACGTCGGCCGCCGCGTCCGATGAGGTCCCTCCGCCGAAGCCGCCTAGGCCATTGACCGAATCGCAACGGATTCAGCAGACGCTGAAGGAAGCCTTCCCATCTATTGACGCTTCCGTCATCAGGGCGGTCCTTACGGCCAGTGGCGGCCGCATCGAGGCGGCCTTCAACGCACTGCTCGAGCTGACTGACCCGGAGGCCGCCGAGCGGGACCGGCCGCCTCCGCAACCCCCAAGGCCCTCGGCAGAGCCGGTCGGGCCGACTTCGACGGACTTGTCACAGCTTGAGGCTGACGAGCGCTACGCACGCCAGCTTGCGGAGCAGTACGAGAACGTGGGTGCGTACGAGGCAAGGACAGCAAACCGGGGCTACCGTAGCCAGCCCGCTCCCCGTGGCCGGCAGCAAACGGGTCTGAGGCCGGAGGACGAACGTGAACACAGTTTTATCGACGACGACTTGCCCGTCATCAAGGAGAGCCTACGCAAGGGCTTTTTGGAGACACAGGAGAAGGTCAACTCCTGGTTCACGAATTTGAAGAAAAAAATTGACGAGCAGTTTGACGACGAGGGCGACAACCACGGACAAGGGAGCAGCTCTTTCGTGGGTAGGCCGACCCGGGATCAAACCCGGAGAAGCGCAGATTATGACCGGTACGATGCGGATCCCGAGCTGCTGAGCGACGATTTCGCAGGCATGAAATTCCACAGTGACGGCAGTAAGTCAGCTCCACCAATGTTACAGTTGAGTGCTTTGCATGGCTGATCCGTGGTTGTCTAGCCCCGGTTCAACAACAGCGACCTTTTGGCGGTAGCAACCCCAACCTCTTTAAGCCCCCTCCGCCTTCAAAGTCGCCCAAGCCGAGCGATGGCAGGAAGGTCTCCTTCCGTGACACGGTCGAGGACATTGACGCTTACAATGCGTCGCCCAAGATCCCGCCAAAGGACAGCGCTGGCCCTGGAGGGGCGACCAAGACGAGCAAATGGCAGCCACTGTCCTCAGTGGATCCAAACCCAATCGCCGAAAATGACCCTTTCAGCCTGGGAGACAGTGACGACGAGCGGGACCTCAAAGACAAGACAGGGAGCAAGGAAATCAAGATGGAGGATACCGAGAGGCTAAGGCAGGCCACGGCGGATGCCATGGCAGATAGCCTTGTAGAGGATAAGGCAAAGGGCGAGAGTTCCAAATAGGCGTGGATAAACAAACAACAGGGAATGCCACTGGCAGGAGGTGTTAATGGCACTTTTCTTTTTATACCAATGGCCTGCGCAATAGGTAGTTCCTTGGTGGGAGTATGGCAAGTTGATTCCTAGCCGAATGGCGGGTGAATTAAGGCCATCCGTATCAAGTAGACTATTTGAGGACGAATCTTTTCCACAATTACGCCGAGAATAATGGTCGTTTCGCAGCCTCATCGCCCCTCAGTCAATGTTATAAGTTACGCGGTCCAGTTATGTATTGACGGAGGCATTTCCGGCAGGAGACGCAAGCACTTGCCAGGTCTGGTTTGTGCACACGTGGATGGCACAAGACCAATCAATACCTACGGGTTAAACGCAGGTCAGCTTCAAACTTGGGAGCCCCCGGCAGAGCGCTGTTGTAAAGTCGAGATCGGATGCTGGAAACGAGCATGCAAGCAGCACGAGCGGATGTAACAGGACGAGTGAAAGGAAGGCTTAACACATCTCCTCGGTGTTTTGGCGCGGAGTGTGTTGGGGCAACTTGTATTTAACCCCTAGCCCTATCCGCTAGATGCCCCTCCTTGGGTGCCCCTCAAACCCTCTTTCCGTTCACCACCACACAGCATGCCCCGCAGAGGTGTCCGCCCTGCCCGTCATCGCATATCGAATCAATGAAACACATGGCTAAATTCCGACTGCCGATTGGCTCATTCGCTCGAGCGAAGAAGAGAGTTTTCGGGACCTAGTGACGGGTCTTTAAAAAGCTTAGCGGAAGTCGGTTGGTTCCCAGGGGAGCGGATCTTCTTGATGACATAGGTTGACTAGACGCATGTAACTCACATGACAGAAACGAAAAACTGGTTTAGGTATTCCGTGCGTCTTCTGCTCCCGCGCAAATAACGTTACTCCAATGGGCGTACTATTACAGGTGTTACAGGGTGCTAGTACGGATGCCTGACTCAGAGGCTCTTGCCTCGTCGATGCGGCTGTTGAGGAGGAAATACTGGAACAACAAAGACGCCTCATTCCAAGCAGTCCTCGACTCCTCGTATGTAAGGTACCTCCGAGGTGGCCCAGACTAGGAGCTATCTCGCCCTTAACTGGGATACCGCTAATTCACGACTGAGAACACTACGGTACATACCTGCTGGAGTTCTTTCCACGTCTGGTGGATTGCACCTGCAGCGGGTAGCACAACACTTGGAGTATCCGCAATGGTCAATTCAGGAGAGTCTTGGCGCCCATTTGTATCTCAACCATCGACGGCCGAGACCCGCTTCAACGGCAGCCAGTCTTCAGGAGCCCACCGGCACCAGTGCCAGTCTCGGTGTTCGACTTGGCATCCTGAACCAGTCGATTCGAATACCGACCACTGGTTCATTCGTCCTGCCTACTTCGGGGAGGAAAGAAACCCCCGGTGAGAATACGTAGCAGGTAAACCGGTTTTCACTTCGCACTCGACCTGCGTCTTCTCTTCTCTCAGGTTTCTCTTATTAGTTTCTCGGCACTTGTCCAAGTTATCGGGTTCAGTTAGCATCTGAGTTCGGCACGCTACCCTACCTTACCTACCTAAAAAGGTACTGCTGTGTATGTACTTGCCCTTTGTAACGATTCGCTCGTAACTTACATTGGAGTACCGCTCACACACACTCTCGAATCCATCTGCAGTGGCTTAGTTCCTGTACCTACCTGCCTTATTACCCAACAGACCCCCACGTCGACGACAGTTATTACCTCGGGGTACTTGCTGCACCACCTCCCCGGGGCAAGAACGTCGCGGGGTCTCCTCACATTCTTGGTCTCTCAAGACGTGGGACGGATTAGATAGGTTTACCAGTTACAGCAACCTGGCCCCAAAGCTACCGTCATTATTGGTTGAATGCTGTCTAGGGGGTTCGCCAATCACTATCCCGACTTACACGTGTGGCCGCTGCCTCGGAGGCTGTGACCAGACTGTAGCAGTGGTCGAAGCCTCATCATGTGAGTCTTCTTATTGTTTTTCCTGCTGTGTCTATCGTGTCTACCAGATCTGTCCCGAGATTGACTCAAAATCAGGAAGTTCGGCAAGTATATCCAGAAGCGGCAGCTCGAGGTACCAGAGTATGCTGCGTGCTTTGTCAACTACAAGGCGCTCAAGAAGGTGCCTACGCCCTATTCCTTCCTCTGTGCCGAGGAGGACACACCGCTAACTCCAACCCGATAGCTCATCAAGAAGCTTTCGGCGACCCCCGTCATCGTCTCTCAAAACGACGCCGCCCAGCGTGCCGGAGGAGAGCAACTCGACCCGCAAGCTGCTCTTCAGGCGAATAAGGCAACCTTCTTCTTCCAGCTTGTAAGGGTGTGAGTTGCCGTATAATAGGGGGGTTGTGCTAACGCGGCCTTCAGGAGCGAGAGCTCGACAAAGTCAACGCCTTCTACTTGCAAAAGGAAGCCGAGGTAGTTATTTCTTGGGCTTCTCCCCATACCTGGTGATGGATACTGCTGACTCAATACCAGCTCAAAATCCGCCTCAAGACTCTCCTCGATAAGAAAAAAGCTTTGAGATCCCGGAACCATGGCGTATCGAGACGATCTGCTAAGTTCACTACCCTTCAGGAGGGGTTCCAACAGTTTGCCAACGACCTGAACAAGCTACAGCAGTTTGTTGAGATCAACGGCACGGCCTTCTCCAAGATCCTGAAAAAATGGGACAAAACATCAAAATCCAAAACGAAGGAGCTGTATCTCTCTAGAGCTGTCGAGGTGCAGCCCTTCTTCAATGCCACAGTCATCAGCGAGCTCTCTGACCAGGCCACCACAAGTCTTCAGGAGCTCGGCGCCTGGGCCGAGGGCGACAATGTCAGCTTCGAATCCCGTCCAGATCACATTGTCAGCAGCCAGCACCTGCCGGGCAGTGACGAGGGCGATGCCGACACTCTACTCCTAGACACCGTTCTTTCTGGGAACCTGGATTCTTTGAGAGACTTGTTGGGGCGAATGAGGGCCATGACGGATCCGAATCACGAAGTTGACATTCCGCTGATGGAACGCATTACTAGGACGTTCCTCGCATCCATCAATGAAGGCCCCCCTGACGCGCTCCAGGTCCTGCTGGAGACGGGCCTGGTGGATATCCAGTCGGAAGATGACATTAACGAACGGAACTGTCTCCATCAGGCAGCCATCTACGGCAATTCGTTTGTACTCGAGTACGGGCTCGCTAAGGGGGTTGCGGCCGACAGGACGGATGTTTACGGACGAGTGCCCCTTCACTATGCTTGCATACACGGCCGCCTCGATATGCTTGATGTTTTGCTATCCGGTATGGATGTGCCCCTTTTGATACAGGTTGAAAGTCCATGTTGACATGCCACACCTAGTTTCTCCCAAGACCATCAATCTCACCGATCATGATAATTATACGCCCCTCATTCACTGCATTGTCCATAAGCACTTGGAGTGCGTTGGCCGATTGTTAGAGCGGTCTGCCCGGCTCGACCCCGTCTCCGATAACGACCACGCACCCCTTAATCTCGCCTGCGAGCATGGCTCGTTGGCCATTGCTGAGCTTCTTCTCAAGCATGGCGCCCAGATCCTGCCTGACGCTGAAGGACTCTACCCCCAGCATGCGGTGGCAAGGGCCGGTCAAACGCCGGAGCTCCTCCTCCTTTTGAAGAACTACGGAGCCGACCTTGATCAACCGGATAAGCTCTACGGATGGACGCCGCTAGTGCATGCAGCGAGTGAAGGAAACGTACCATGTCTCCAGGCACTTCTCGATGTCGGCGCGAACCCCAGTATCTTGGACGAGAAGGGACTTTCGGCCTTGTATTATGCGGCTTGGGAAGGCCATCTGGAGTGCATGAAGCTCCTCACACCATTCAACGAGAAGAAGGAAGCCAACCCGTCAGTGGTGCACATGGCGGGCTCGCTAGGACCACTAGCCACCAGTAGTGCCCCTTTACCCATGGCGATGGATTTGGATTCTATCCCGGCGCTCGAACTCCCGCCGCCCATCATCCCTTTACGCCGCTACGGGCACAACTTCCTCGACACGAAAACAGTGGTGCAACTTACATTTGGGGATAATGGAGAAGAACCATTGGTCTTCTTCCACGATAGCAAATATCCCGCTGCACGCATCACCATTTCATCCAAGGCCTCAGAACTCATCCCCAAGAACGTTATGCTTCCCTTTCAAGAAGATACACGACTCGTCTCGTTCCAAATCGACAGCCTTGATTCGTTTACACTAGACTTTGACGTCTTTCCCGCCTACGGGGCCAAGGTGATTGCCAAGACCGTGGCACTGCCCAATACGTTCCGGGCCTTGCTGGACAGCAACTCTGCCAGCTGCTGTCTACCGTTGTTTGACCCCCGACTGCGCGCCATTGGACAGATCAGCTTCCATACGCAGGTCATCAAACCTTTCCAGGGCAAACCGCTGGAGATCACCGATTTCGAGACGTACTGGAAGGCCACGAGCCAGCTGGACACGGCCACCACGGCGACGGCCATGAGCAGCAGCACCTTTGTCACGGGGTCCAGCTTGTCGGGCGATTTTGTCCGGATCTATGTCCAGCATACAAGCGATGGCATCCCGGTCCTCTGGCCGCGCTGGACCGTCAGCTGCGGCGGCATCGAGGTGCCGGTATCACGCCTGACTTTGTCTCAGTTCCGCACGGCCACCGGGCCCGGGCCACATTCTCCTCTCCCGCCTGATGACATTGCTTCTGTACATGACATTCTCGCTACATCAGGGGGCACTACCCTCCACGACGCCCTCTCCCTCCTCCCAACGGGCATGCATGTGAACATCCAAGTGCTGTACCCGACGGCCGATGAGCGGGAGCGGCTAGCGCTCAGGGAGCTGGGTCTTAGCGCCGACCTAAACGCCTTTGTAGACGCTATCCTGACCGTGGTGTTCGACCATGCCCGTATGCAGCGGGCCCAGGGTCAGGGCCCGGACGCAGTGCGGTCCGTCGTGTTCAGCTCGTACAACGGGAGTATCTGCACGGCGCTAAACTGGAAGCAGCCCAACTTCCCCGTATTCCTGTGCAACGACCTGGGAAGGCAGCCGCAGGACGAGGCAGGGACCGCCATGGCTCAGCACAAGGCTTGCTCGATCAAGGATGCTGTCAGGATGGCGACGAGCAATAATTTCATGGGCTTGCTATGCTGCGAGCGGTTGCTGGTAAGTTTGACTCTTTCTCGGCCCCTTTTTCTTCTCTCGCCAGAGGCTAGCGGTGGTGCGGCAGCTAACAGCGATGTCAATAGGACATGGTGCCTGCGCTAGTGGATGCCATCAAGTCGCATGGTCTGGCGCTTGTCGTGGACAAGTCAGGCCAGGCTTTGAGGTCGCCCGACCTTGGGCCGTTGGCTGATCCGTTCCCGCGTCTGCCGAAGGGGGTTGACGGGGTGCTGAAGGGGAATGGCGTGCTACGGTTTAATGAATCAATAGACGTGTAGACGTAAGATGAGACGGCGGCATGGTTTACATCGGGTACACAACAGAAAGAGGTCGTCCAACAGCAGGATCATCAATATCCATGCCAACGCCCCAGGTATCAAGTCTCTTTTTCTCGTTGGCTCTCTTTGTCGATCACCCGAATGTTACCAAAAACCGCTCTTTTTGACCCTATGCACCCTTATAACCATACCGCAGCCGGCCCAATTCCTTCTCGGGATCCGCGCCCGTCTTCATAGCCACCTTGAACCCTACCACGGCGGCGTACACCACCCCTGGTAAGGCCCCGAGTAGGATGGGACTCACCCCGGCCGTTTCCAGCCCCGAACTCTTTGCCGTGTGCAGCAGCCCCGTCACCAAGGCCAGCCCTGCAAGCCCGAGATTCAGGTACGGCAGGTACCGTTCCAAAGGCGACCCATCAGCAGAGTAGCTGCCGCCCAACAGCCCGCGAAGATCCACCACGCCCCTTCCCCTTCCTCTTCTCCTCCTGCCACCCATGATGTCGGATCCGCGGCTCGCTGAACCTAACCCTATACCTGGAGAGGGAGAGGAGTATGCCGACCCATCGAGAAAGGCGAACCCCGTCTGCGTGGTGTCGAGCCGGTATAGCAGCCACGTCGTCGCGGCCAGGGAGGTCAGTCCCAAGAGGGAGAGCAGCAGTGACGGGCTGTTGGTTGTACCATGTTGTGATGAAGACGATGTGGAGAAAGGTGAGAGAAGGAGGGATAGGACACGGAGCAGGAAGGGCAGGCACGACAAGGCCGGGAGAAGGAAGAGCAGGCGGAGCAGGGAGGCGTTGTGCGTGTTTCGTTCGGTTACGAGCTGGGTTATGACGGCTTCTTGTTCTGTTTATTTTCATGTTAGCGGTGGGTGGTCTTGGTTTGTGCGAATGCCAGGGATAGAAACAGCAGGGTCTTGGAATAGGACGAGAAGAGAAAGCATTGAGAACGCAAACAAGCTTTGCTAGGGTAGACTCGCACCTTGCTCGTCCAGCACTTCCTGGTTCGAGGAGTCGCCTTCGTCGTCGGGGTAGTGGAATGTACGCCGCAGCCGGGCTGCGGCTGTGGATATAGCCATGATGGGCTGCGGCTTGGTTCGATTACATGTAGAAAAAGATATGGCGTTGGATGTTGCGAGGCTATAGCATCTTGTGAAGCTGTGTATTGTATGTAGGCTGAGCGAGTGCACTGGTGGAAGCTGGAATCTTTGGCATCAAGCACGATGACGTTGGGTTCTTGGCGGGGCTTGGCGGGTCAGAGTATCTGATAATTCCATACTACTTCGTACATACATTGATGTAGCATGTATCCGTATTCTGTATTTGCATGTCCGTATCACTACGAAATGATAATTCCCGGTATGGTTTGTGGACGGGTATCATGATTGATGCAACAATCTGGAAAGGATAGAAGACATCAGCAACGACCGGCTCAGATGGATGAATATATATCACAATTAGATGTAGCATGATACGTTACTGAATTGTTCCTCAGGATAACGCCAGTCACCAGTTGCTCCCTTGCATGTCCATCTAGAAGAAGAGAAGTAGACGAACCTCAAAATTGAAACATTGTTTTCCTGAACTAAGGTGAAAAGCAACTGGTTCCTTGGTGCCTACTTCCCCTCTGCGGCAATCCCCTCCGTGGCCAACATCGACGGGGAAGTGTTGTTCGCCTTCCTGTCCTTCCTGGCCCGCCAGAGCTCTAACAAGACCAAGGCAGCTAGGATAAAGCCCAGTATGAACAAAGGAATCAGGTTCCAGCGCCAGCCTCGCATAAGGCGCAGATCCCTAACGATTACGTTTCGGTCTCCCGGTCCGACCAGGGGTAGCCTCAGCACGGCATCATACCAGTTCTCGGGTGTCCACCGGCCGTTGGGGTACTTTGCGGGTGCCGGGTTCTGGGCAGCTATGGCGAGGTCGATGCTTCCTCGCGTCCGGCCCGTCTCAATGAACGTGTAGATGAGCGCCGAGAGGGTGAGCAGCGCACTTAGGACTACTATAAGAGCCCAGAGATAGAAGAACCGGGAAGACTTGGCGTACTATCAATCATTGCTGGTCAGCCGGTGGTCTGTTGACCCTGGGATTCGCGATGATCAGGGGCTCACCTTCTTCCTGGACCGCCTCTCCAACAACAAGGCGACAAGACCGCCAAACCCCACCAGTACCACGGCTGTCCCGCCCGCAGCGTTGGTCGTGTGCCCTTGATCAGTCACCAGGTTTGCTGGCTCCCCGGCTAGCAAAAAGTTCAAGCCGTCGGGGTAAGCGACCATGAACGGACCGCCGCCAGCACCGTGGAGGAATGAAACCATGGATGAGACGAGGGCGAGGGAAATGACCCCGTCCATAGTGGCAAGGAGGGTCATAATCGAGATGGGAACGAGAAGAGACCGAGAGAGCGCCATTTTCATAGACTTTCCCAAGGAAGATTATGGTTTAGCTTTCTGGGTACTCCTTCTCGTGCAGTGCTGGGGAAGACACTGGCTGATATCTCAAGCGTGGACTCGAGCCAAAAGTTGTAGACAAAGCAAGAGAACGGAAAGGGAGACGAAGGATGGCTTATCCTATTTTAAGCACTCAAGGAGAGTAGAGACAAAGGGCCATGTTCTTGAGTGGGCTACACTCTCAAATACCGGTGGTCCATCCTGAGGTACAGTATGTACGTAGCAGCCCAGCCGTTGTACAGTACTGTCAGCATGAACTTTTCAACAGCCCTTTCTATAGGCACCTCGTTTGCAACTCATCCGTTGCTGTCGAAGCGGTGAAGACGGGGCGGCGACACCATTGACGCCATGACGAGGCTGATGTATCTGTGCATCCTGATGGAATGGGAAACCCAAGTAAGTAATCGTGGAGGAGGAGGATTTAGGGTTTACTATTCTTAGCCAAGCCTTAGGAATCAGTAAGGTAAGCTGAGCCTGTACACCCTGCGTCAGACATATGGGAGCGCAAATGGTATATTCGAGGCAAGAGATGTTGGTTGGAGACAAGAGACAATAAGGCGACACGTGGCGTTCGACGCCTCTGAAGACAAGAAAAGAATGGAAGTCAAAGAGCAGGCGAAGCCGCGAAGAGGTGGAGGCGCAGGCACGACTGGAGAGAATGCCGATGCGGTGATAACCACGCCAAGGCCCTGGTTTGTCGATAAGATAAGGTAAGTCAATACGGTAATTGCGGTAACTTACCGACCCTCCATCCCAATCACAAGCTTCGACTTCCGGGATGTGGACTGAGCATCAAGATCCCATCCACACCACACCACAACACAAACAGCCATGCTGACGAGGTTAGCCTGGCAAAGGTGGCCGGGCGCGCAACCGGCCCTGCTACAGGGGAGAGTAGCATTACCAACGGGACGGACAATAGCACGTCTTCGGGCCCGGCAGCCGCAACTTCAACACCTCGTCCCAAGACGAACCCTTGTAAAGGCGCCCAAGCCCGGCGATGCTCCGTTCCTGGAGCGCAGGCCCGACCGGGAGCTGCCCAGTATGTTTGTTTCCCAACACACCATGCCCACACCTCTGAATCCGCAATCTTGCTGACAAGCCATGTTGGTGCAGCCATTGAATCCATCACGTTCCGCTGGTCCCGCACGCTGCCCCTCTTTGCCGCCGTGATCGCCGTCGCCTCAGTGGCCATCTTCAACTACCAGAAGCTGTCCAGTCCCGTCACGGAGGCGACGCTGTACGCGCTGCGCACGTCGGACAAGGCGCGCGCCCACCTGGGCGACGAGATCTATTTTGCCCAGCAGATACCCTGGATCTCGGGCGAGATGAACCAGGTGCGAGGCCGCATCAACATCAGCTTCCGCGTCAAGGGGACCCGCGCCGGTGGCGTCATGCGCTTCGCCAGCTACCGGCCCTCACCCCGGGGCCTGTTTGAGACAACCGAGTGGAGCTTGACGACGGACGATGGCAAGGTGATCGATCTGCTCGAGGACGGCGACCCGTTCAAGGCGATGGTGGGCGGGCCCAGCCTGGATGACGAAGAAGAGGTTACGACGAGGGGTTTTAGAGGGAAAGAAGTGAAGAAAGTATAATCTGAAAGGCATAACCATGACGGGTGTTCCTACACGTTACTTGTACATTGAATGTATGTCAAGCTTGTATGATATGGTACAATACAGAACAACATAAAACAAGCCAGCGACAGCAGCAACTCCCAATCACAACGCAACCGGTGCCTGGCCGGCAGCAGATGCATCCAAGCCGTCTTCCGCAATTATATCCCCAATCGCATCCTCCTGCTCCTTGCTAAGCGTCATACCACCGGAGAGAATCTCTGCTATCCTGCGCTCCCTCCTGGCCGCTTTGAGCTCCAGGTGACGCTCCCTCGCCGCCTGCAGGTGCGCCTCGGCATCCGGGAACCTCTCCTCCAGCATCTTCCTCGTCATTTCAATAAACTTGGGGTCCGGCGGCGGCTTCTTGCAGGCGTCCTGGATCTTGACCACGGCGCCCTTGGGCCCAGCAACGGCACCCTTGACCACGACAATCCCGAGCTCGTTATCCACCAACAAAACCGGCAGGTTCTGCACCGTCACCCTGTGGTTGCCCATCCTGCCGGGCATCTTCTTGCCTGGCAGCACCCTGGACCCGCTGCCCTGCGAGGGGCCGACGGAACCAATGGTCCTGTGATTCAACGAGTTGCCGTGGCTGGCCTCTTGCCCAGCAAAACCGTGCCGCTTCATGCCACCTGCAAAACCCATGCCGCGCGAGTTGCTGCGCACGTCGACGCGCTGGCCGACGTGGAACCAGTCGGGCATGAGCTGCACGCCGACGGGGAGCAGGCCGCTCTCGTCGCGCACGCGGAACTCGGCCAGGACTTTTTTCGGGGCGAGCCCTTTCGCCTCGTAGTAGCCCAGCATGGGCGCCCCGACATTGGCCGGGTGCCGCTCGCCCATGCCCACCTGCACCGCCCAGTAGCCGTGCTGCTCCCGCGTCTTGTTGAGCACCGTCTGCACCCGGTCCAGCTGCAGCACCGTGCACGGGATCCGCGCCCCCGTCCGCCCCATGAAGGCCGTCATGCCCTTTTTGATGGCGAGCACGCCCGCCCGCACGGGCGTGGTGCGTTCCTTGCGCTTGAGCGCCGCCGCCGGGCCCGTCGTTGGTGCGGGCAGCCCCGATGTCACTTGGTTGAAGCGCCGTGGCCGGGCGCGGGACGGGAGCGTTGACCAGCCGGATTTGACCGTTCGGACTTGGGTTGTGGGGAGGAGGTTGTTGCTGAGTGAGGGGGAATTACGGGAGGTTGCTGTCGTCGTGGTGATCGGTGTTGGGGATGGCCGCAGGACGAGGAGCTGCCGCCAGCCGCGGGCGGGCAGCCGGGGCGCCATCTTGAATTTTCGGTGGTTGTGGTCCTAATTTGTCGGTTTGTTCGATTCAAGTGTTTCCGATTCCAATATTGTAGTAGGACTATGGCATTGGTTGGATCTCGCGTGTTGTGCGTGTCGTGGGAGTGAGAACGTCGACCGACGGGCGAAGGTCGCGCTCCAGGAGTTTTGCCGTCAGTTCGAGGCAGCACGGCAGAAATTTGAGGAGAGCTGCACCGATCAGATAAAAGTCGGGTCGTGCTCGATAAGGCTGGCCAGGGGAAAAGTGGGGCTTGCTGGACATCTAAGTTCTCAGAGCTGTCAAGGGCAGAACCTACCAGCCGGCCTTCCATGTTCCCAGGTGAGTACGGCAATCTACTTTGTATGGCATAGGTTTTGATATACCTTGAGAGTTCGCTGTAATCAGCGTTGCTTATAACTCATGTTGCCGCGATGTGAAAGGACGGCGAACGCCAGCGCTCTAACCCTAACCCTCGCTGGCGGTCTGCCCCTCAACACCAGCAGCATAAGTCACCTTCAGTAACTAATAAACGAGGAGACCAGCTAGCCAAGGCTGCCTGAATCTGCTCAATACCAACCGGCTTCATTGTCAAGCTCGTCCCTCCTCTCCTTTCCAACTGCCGATCTCATTTCTTTTCTTTTCTGTTACATATATCGAAATGGTCTACTATTTCACGTCCAATGTCGTCGATCCGCCGGCGTTTGTCTACGTGGGCAAAGACAAGTTTGAGAGTGAGTGACTTAGATACTGAGATGACCGTCATGGACACAAGCCAGTCTGACATTCTGGCTCACAGACGAGGATCTGATTAAATATGGCTGGGAGGAGGATGTCTGGTAAGCCCGCCGAGTCTCTCAGCTAATGCTGATCCAGACTCTTACTCATTGTAGGGTATGAAGGGCTCCTAGTAGTCGCTGAGGACCTGGGCGCTCACCTACATGACCAACAGTTCCACGTCGACAAGTTGTCCAGCGCCCACATCTACCTGCGCCTGCGCGAAGGAGAGACATGGGACAACATCCCAGAGGCGCTGCTGACCGACCTGGCTCAACTGACCAAGGCCAACTCGATTGAGGGCAACAAGAAAGACAACATAACCGTCATCTACACGCCCTGGTCCAACCTCAAAAAGGATGGCAGCATGGCCGTGGGGCAAGTGAGCTTCAAAGACCAGAGGAAGGTTATTTGCATCGAATTCACTTTTCCCCCCCAAAAAAAAAAAAAAAACAAACCCATTGACAAGAATTCAGGTCAAGAGGATACTCGTAGCCCAGCGCGAAAATGCCATTATCAACCGGCTCAACAAGACCAAGGTTGAAAAGTACCCCGACCTGAAGCAGGAGAAGGACGACCGGCAGCGGGAGCTGCGCAAGCGGGACCAAGCCGCCCAGCTGGCCAGGGTTCGTGGTCACTGTCTCTGCTCAACACTGAGTAAACCTCGAGCTAACCGTGTGCCCGCAGAAAAAGGAGGAAGCCCGCATCGCAAAGGAACGCCAGGAAAAGAAGTGGCAAAAGGAGCACGCCTACGATGATTTGTTCTCTGAGGAGAACATGGCGGCAACAAGCAACCAGAACCGGGACGAAAACTGGGAGGATGACTTTATGTAGTCTCTCTTAAGCCCATCAAAACTCAAAACGTAAAGCTTTGTATTTGTATATATGCCCTCAAATTCCTGGCCCCTGCCCACCGATACCGCTACCCATTTGATTCACGCTCGTGCCCTTGATTTTGTGATCCGACGGGTTCGCGGCCGCCTCGTACATGATATTTGCCGGTGCGCGGCCGAGCTGCATCCACTCGCCTTTGAACCCTACGTACGAGATGCGCGTGACGTCCTCCTCGCCCTCGCCAAAGTTATCCGGAAAGAAGAGCGTCAGCCGCCGGACGGCGTTGAAGCGCGCCCGTCGCTGCAAGGCCAAAGAACCCAAAAGGTGGTCGATTAGACACGATTCCTACTAGGAGAGGAAGGTCACAAACCAGGACGTGAAATCATACATACCACGGGCAACTCCTGCACCTCGCTCGTCCGGCTCAGCTCAAACACCTGCGTCCCATCCGTCTCCTCGGCCACCCCAAAGTCCACATCGTCCCGGTTGATGATGACCTTGAGCGTCTTGGGCGCCGAGTCCGAGTCGGACGTGCGCAGCAGGATCGAGTGCAGCCTGATTTGGCCGGTGAACCTTTGTTTGGGAAGTTGTCAACGTTCCCTTTTCTTCTTCATCGCTAAAATTTAAAAGTAAATAAAACAATAATAACCTACGGAACGTTCATCAAGAGCTGCTCGTCGGCATCGCTTTCCACCTCAGGCTCTGGCGCCATCCTGTCGGCCCACGTCTTCTTCACCACCTCCTTTCCAGACCCATACCGCGCCTCGTTCAGCGTCGTGATTTCATCAAACTTGATGTGTTGGTACAGAGAGAACTGCAGTGCCGGTGTGATGTCGTCTGAGTGGTCATGTTCTCCGCCGTGGGAGTGGTCGTGGTGTTCGTCGTGGCAGTGGTGCGACATTGTGGTCCTACTTTTCTTTTACCAATTTCGGTTGTGTGTATTCTGGGCCTGAATATGGAAGTTGACCTGACGTTGTTGTTTGGTGACTTGCGAGTCTAGACTCAATACGCTTTGTCGGTCCAGTTTGATGTGTGATTTGAGGAGGCAATGAGCGCTGCTGTGGATGCTCGCTGCCGCCTGAAGAGCACTAACAATTTTTTAAGCCACTGCAGTGACTTGGAGAATGATGCTGCACCCATCCAAGGAATCATGAATATGCCATATTTCGGTCTCTAATGTAAAAGGTTTCGTTTAACCAAGAAGGACGTATGTATGCCTTCCAAATCATACTCAACGACTTCCTATCCAGCACTACCACTAGCAGCCCCCTGCACCCCCTTTACCTAAACCCGCTCAATCTCCTTGCGTCGCTCAATCTCTTCCCCTTCTTCTTGAGCGGACTCTTCTTAAACGGCGACAGCCTGCCACCGAATGCCCCATGCAAAACCTGCGAGGTTGGCTGGGACGGCGTGCCCTGAGACACGCCTTGAGACGACTCCTCCTGTGACCATACGCCAGACTCGCGGCGGAACTCCCTCCTAAGCGGCGAGCCCACAAACACCCTTGGGGACCCAACCAGCTGCTGCGACGAGAACTCCCATGGTTGGCGCTGGGGATGCGGCTGGTTCGTGGACAGGATTGTCGGTTGCGACGTCGGCAACCCGCCCTGAGACAACGATTGGGACCTCGACTGGGACGAAAACTCCAGCATACTCTCCTCGCCGCCACTAACACCACCACCGAGGCTGCCAAATACCCTCTGCGACAACCTCTCTGCCCGCTGCCGCCTCGCCTCAATCTTCTTCCGTCTTCTGCTGATAGCGTCCTCGGCATCCAAATCCCGCCCAGGTCTCCATGAGATATCATCCGGGTCACCGCCTAGTTCCCAGGGGGTCAGACCGATGGAGGACTCGTCTCGAGTGAAGGTTGGCGAGGTGTTGATAGTCGCATATTTGCGCAACCGAAGGGCTACCACGTCTCCTCTGTCGTCTTGCTCCTGATCTTCTACTTCCTGGTCTCTGCTCGACCTACTGCGTTCTGTCTTAGGGGGGTTCACTGTTCCCATTTTCGAGGGAGATGGTATTGAAGGCGGCGAGCTGCGGAACGGCAACGAACTCGACGGGGTGGTATCCGCGGCCTCGCTCTTGATTGCTGGTGTGATGGTTGTCCCAGATTGCGGTACAGCACAGATGCCTACATTGCTGAGAGACATTTCAGCGGCCATGGCTTGTAGCACTTTTTCTCGAACTTGGCTGGAAATTGCATTCTTGCCTCGGCTTCGCTGCGGCTCCGGAAACAAAGCACGGAGCCGTTCGACCAGGTCATCGGGACCGAAATCGGTCAACGGACGACGAGCCTCTGGCACGTACAGCCACTCGCTGGATTGTCGGTGTAGCGCTTCCTGCCGGGCATCCCACTCACGAGCGAACTGGAGAAGGTCTCTCGGGTGGTGAGACTTTGCCAGATCAAGCCTAAGGAAGCCATTAGTACACTTGACCAGGATTTCGAAAAGCTACACAACTCACAGCGAATGTCTCGGCATGTACCCATCTTTGCTCTCTTTCTCCACAGCCTCTCCAAGGAACTCAAACTGGTCGCTAACCGCAGAGGGCATCAATCCTTCCTCAGCGCTAGGCGCGAGCTCTTCCGGAGCAGACAAACGCTTGGCAACGAGGGTAAAGTCGGTGTGAAGTTCGAGCCTGTCTCTCAAATCCTCCAGTGAGAGCGTTCCAAGCCCTTTCTCCTTGAAAACGATCCGTTCGTCAAACTCGTCCGGAACAGCAAACGCGCTGGTCAAATGTTGAAGCAACTTGACTCGAAGCCTATGGCTCTCTTCGGAGCTAAGCCTAGAATCGGGAGGCAGCACCGTGACGCTTGGCTCATCAGACCAGACACAGAGCGCGCTGTGGACATCTAAATTGTGACCGAGCGTCAAAAGCTGAAAGAATTTGAGATTTGCGTTTCGTAGCACACGGCCGGCCGCCGACACACGCTTCGCTTGCCCCAATAGGCGGACAACAGGAAGAATATGAAGACCGACAAGACTGGATGGACTATTCAGGGAGATCAACTCTCGGTGATACCGCGCCGGCGTGTCCGGGGTTGGGTTCATGAACCAAAATACCGTCATTTCGGTGTCATTTATGGACCTAACACAGACGAAGCACGCCTTGTGGTCGTTGATGTAAGCTCCTGGCGATACGTCGAGCCGGAGTGATGGATCGTTGACGTCTTTCTGGTGAGAGCAGGAAGCAAGAATCTCGAGAGACACTTCATTAACTTTGCCCTCGGTAGCTGCCACCCAAAGAACACGTGTGCTGGTGAGTACAAATGCCTGGGAATTGTCATATCGAGAAGCTGCCACGTCCAAGATTCGATAGCTGTCGTTGGGTAACACCATGTGGGAGAAGGACTGCGATCTTTTACTGGCGGAATCAAAAAGATGTAATTCCTTAGCGTTGGAAAGCAGAAGCAGCAGTCGAGGTGAGAGCCGCAACTTGCCCTGGTCCGCTTCGGTAGGCATGGAAGGAGACGCGGAGAGTTTCGACGAATTATTTGAAATTCCCGAGCTTCTGTGCCTTGGCGACAAGCGTAAGATCCGATGCGGCCGCGGTTCAGAGACGGAGCCAAAAGGCAGCTTTGCAATGGGTCCCGTAACGGCGTTTCCGCACATCCTCATAATCGGTGTCAGCATCTTGGGTCGTGAGTTTCGGAGGCCGGTAATATCCCAGACACTCCAGTAACCGCACTGGTCGATAATGACAAGCTGGGGTGTGTCCATGCCTGGATACCGGCTGAAGCAGACATCTGATTGCAGGCTCCCTCCGGTGCGCCCAGAGGGAATCGTGAACAAGGGGTTGGCCGAGATCTGGCTGATATGAGACCGGCCCGATGCCTGAGCCGAGTTACCGGCGACCGGCATTGGTATAGCTCTCAACTCAGGCTCATAAAGGGTAGTTGAGGTGCCATTTTGAACTACAAGCCAGCGAATCGGATCATGCTTTCTGAGGTCGACGGCGAACTTGACCAGAGAGATCGGAAGGGCATCTTGGCACCATTCACCTTGGAGCGCGCTGGGAGAATGTACGCGGATCCTGATATCCGCCTCAGTCCAAGCCCATTCCTCGTAATCAATACTGATGAAGCTAAGGACGTTTCCAGCCACGCCAGAAGCAACAGCTAACACCGGATGCCCCTTGGCATCGGTCCCTCTCGTGTCAGTAATCTCCCCTACGGAACACAGAGGTACGCTGTTCGGGGCCGTCGGCTGCCTTTTCGCTTCGAAGCTGGCGATTTCTTCCAGGAGAAGGGATTCAACAACTTCGTCATCGATTGAGGCTTCCGGCAAATGTTCTAGAAGCCAGTGCTCCTGAGCCCTAGCGATCTGCGTAGGTTTTGTGACACTTGGACGGGGACCACCATGCTTGGTCGGAGGGCACCATGGCACAAAGGGTGTCACCTGCTTGAAGTGAGGTGCTTGTATTGTGAGTAGGGGACCATGTAATCGCATGCATCGAAGTGAAATACTCACTCTCGTCCGTAGCACGGTTCCTACTCAGGCGCCCGATGCCATCGCCATCCTGAGCTGGGCGGTATGTCAGTCGACCAATGATGCCATCTGACCGAGCCCGCCGTGCCTGAATGCGGCCGACGGGCGGCGGACTGGCATTCCTCCTCTCATCCATTTGGGCCTATCGCAACGGGGATGTAAAAGGGCGGAGCTTTCAGAACCATTCTCTCGACAGGACCGAACGAGATATGAAGGCTTGATCAGGGCAAATAAGAAAAACTGAAATGATGATCAGATCTGCAGTCAAGAGCAAGCCCGAAATATTGAAAGAGAGAATGAGAGGCGGTATTGCAAGGTTCGCGCAATGTAAGTAGTACAATCTGGTGCAATACTAAGATCGAAAAGCTCTCATCTCATTGATGATGTGAAATTTCGAAGATTTGAAGCTTTCCTCCAAGCCCCAGAGTCGATGTTCCATGCAGACAGTAGGTGAACGTTTTAGTGGGGCTGAGAAGGGGCTCTGTCCACTGAGAGCTGTGGCAGTGGGTCCAGGTTCCCCATCTTGGCAGAAAGATTCCCTGGGAAACCCGCTGAAGATGGAAAGCGGGTAAACAACAAACCTGGGAAGACATCACGACGCTACAGTACCTCAGCTAAGACCAATCCAATCCATCCTTAATTCGGCTCGAGTTACAATCGCACAAACGCAATTTGCAGCATCGAATCCAGAAAGCACCATAGCTCAACTAGAACAACTACTCCGTACTGCAAATGTCATCAGCATTTGAGCCCTCAATGTCGACAAGCCGGGCGCCGCTGGTGGCGCCGTCGCTCGCCGACACGCTGCCCAATATCAATTTCGGCTTCGATGAACTACGAGATCGTATGGCCAAATTCACAGCAAAATTTGACGCCTTTATCGAGCAAGGGCGGAAGCGCGTACTAGAAGAAAGGAACCAGTTCCGCATGAACGTAGCAGAGTTGCAGGGTAAGCAGGTCCAGCTCTTCTCGTTCCTCCCGCATCGGCGACGTGAGCGGCTAATCCGAAAAACCAACCTGCGCAGAGGACCAGCGCATGAAGAAAAAGGACATTGAGATCCTCCAGCTCAAAACTAACACGTACCAACAGACCATAGCCAAGGAAGCCGCCGAGAAGCGCGACATGCAGAGCGCCATCGCGTCCCTCACAGCGCAGCGCGACCGCCAGGCCGCGGCGCGGGACGCCCTCAAGGAGCAGATTGAGGCGGCGCAGAAGGATATCGATGCGCGGCTGGCGGCACAACGAGCCTACCAGGCCCAGCTCGAGGCGCAGGCGCGCTACAACGTGCCCGAACTCGACTTCTGGGTGACCAACCTCTGCATGCGCATCGAGGGCGCCGGGGTCGAGGACCGCCTCAAGTTCGTTTTTACGCATATCGACGAGAAGAATTGGGAGCGCGAAGCATGGTTCGAGCTGAGCACAGGGAGTCGAGATTACGATGTGCGGCATTGCCGGCCCAAGCTGGAGCGGGAGAAGATTGAGAAGGTCTTGGAGAGAGTCAACGAGACGAGAGAGCTAGTAGTGCTTCTCAAGGGGATGAGGGAGTTGTTTGTTGAGGCCATGCGATCATAACTCGGGGTGTTTTTTGGGCGTTAAACTAGGAGCCTCGGTTTGTTACGATACCTGTGATCATTGATGACGGAAGGAAGGGATGAAGGTGGGCGGCATCAATCTAAATGGGAAGCCTGATGCTCTCTCGCACGACTTTGACTTCAATACCTATAACCTACACGCATTTGACTTTTCGGACCCACCGTACTGCTCGTTTGTCGGTTCTTGATGCAGCTCTACCGTCCATACTAGGTACTGTCCATCGATCCATGATTCCTTGTTGCGTATACACGGCTGCGCGTGTGCAACCCCCGCCAATTAAACACCCACGCAAACGCGTAACGCGGGGCCGCATTTCAAGCCTTCAAAAGTTTATCTCAATTCACCCAATATGCCACCCAACGAGCGGTCTGAGAAGCAGGCTGCCGCCCAGCAGGCGGTTGATATTCTTTATGAGATCGCCACCATTCTCGTAAGTAAGCCTGCAGAAAAACCTCAATCATGAATCAGGGATTCGCAGGCAGAGAATGGCTGACATACTTCTAACACACAGAACTGCCATCTTGACCGCCGTACGCTATCCATCTGCATCTCCATGATCGAGAACGGAGTGAACCCCGAGGCTCTTGCAGTAGGTCGCGCCTATTCCTCCGTTGTCTGGGTCATCATGAAACCGCCTCAGATTATCTTCAATTCCGTTGTTGTCTTTTCCACAATTCCACTGGCTCACTCATGCTCATTCACTCCGCTCGCCTAGACTGTCATAAAGGAACTACGTCGGCAGGGCCAACAAGCCCAGATTGAGGCGGCCCCAGCCACATCAGCAGCCACTTCCTCAACACGACGAAGCAGATAAACCTAGCCACTAGAGTGCTCATTACCATCACCCCATCCTGCAGGCTCTGGTGAGAGCTCAAGGAGGTCCCGGCACGACAGTGGAGTGCCAGTCGGGGGGGCGTTGACTAGCGATACGCCAGTTCAGAGTCGCCGCGGCCGTTCTGCCTGTGGCCAGTTCCAGCTATCTCCCAACGCACCACCTCATAGCACTTTACTGGCACTTACTCCTCTCCTTATTCGACCTTCACAAAGTCGATACGCCCCAGCCCGCAGGGCTTGGCTATAGAATGCCTGACGTGGGAGGAGATAGGGCACCTCCTAACTCCACCAAGACAGATATGTCAATAGAGACAGCATCAGATACAGCTTAGTGAATGGAGTACAAAGATAACCCTGCTTCCACTGGCCCGCCATCTAGTGCTATGGATTCCTCGATGCCGCCAGCCCTGTAAATGCAATCCCATCAATGCTATGGCCAAGCCGCATGCATACATACCATCCCATCCCATCCCGCGATCCCGTGCCACGATTTCATCCCATTTCCCAAACTCCCAGGATCAAAATGCAATTCCATCGCTTGTTCCGGCCCATCCAACCATGCAGTCTTACAGCTGTATAATATATCCGTCCCTCTTCCAGCTCCGTCTGTCCAAACCCCAAAACAGGAGATGCCCAAGTTGAAGGGCTCGGTTCACCGTCCAGAATCGCACATATCCGATGGATGCAAAGCACGTGATATGGCCTTCCCATCCCATCGGCCGCTAGTTTACCGATGGCCGACAAGCACGATCTCGTCTTCATCGTCGTCGTCGTCGTCATCCTCCTCTTCCTCTTCACAGCCCTCTTCCTCAGAGCTCTCCTCCTCCTCATCCTCATCAATGTCACCTGCACTCTCAGAAGTGACGGCATTTCCCCGATCAAGATGATCCCTGCCCCAAAACAGGTCTAGCAAGTCACCATCATCTTCCTCATCCACGTCAGAGCTACCCCAAGTCTCCGGTGCCACAACCTCAGGAAGAGGTGAACCAGGCTCAAGCTCCAGCAAGTCCTCGAGGGGCAGTGGCTGCGGAGCGAATGTCGACGGCGGCGGGAAGGGGATGTCAATCTCACCGCCTTCCTCAAACGCCCTCTCCGTGCCTCCTTCTCCGGGCATATTCAGGAGCTTCAGCTGGGTGGTATTGTACGACTGGCAGACGGTGCACTTCAGGCCCAGCCAGTGGTAGGCGGTCTGGCACTTGGCGCGGCAGTCGTTGCACGAGACGACGGCGCGGGCGTCACGGTACTCGGGCGGCATGGGCTGGTTGAGGATGGCGAGGTCGTGGTTGCGGAACTGGTACTCCATGTTGACGCAGCTCTTGCTGCACAGCGGGCACTTGTACGACGTCTTCATGTGCTCCTGGAAGCAGTGCCGGTGGATGCTGTGCCCGCACTGCATGAAGACGACGGGCCGCGTCGAGCTGAACAGGTAGTCGCCGCAGATGGGGCAGTCGCAGTCCGTCGACCGCTCCACGCACTTGTGCGAGCTCGATGTTGAGACGCAGGCCATGCATTTCTGGGTGCGTATGGCGTTAGCGGTTGTGCGTAGCCTCTCTCTTCAGTATGACTGCTCACCTTGCAGTGGAAAAAGTCCTTTCCTAACCCCTGTCCGACCCTGCACAGTCCGCAGTCCGGGCAGTGATAGATGGGCTTGTTTGGGTCGTCATTCCAGAGCTTACAGATGCCACAGTAATAGTAGGCAGCAGACTCTCCGCATCTGACGCAGGAATCCGAGGCCCTCTGGGCGCAGCCGCACAGCATGCACAGCATGTGTTTTGTCTGTTGGCGCGGAAGGACGTGGTCCTCGGCCGCATCATGGCAGAAACGGCATGTGTACCACCGTTCGCATTCAGCGCACTGCAGCTTGACGTTGCGGCGGTAGTGTTCGCACCCGAGGGCAGGCCGGCCGCTGTCCTCGCCGTCCTCTACCGGTAGTTCGCCGGGCTGCAGGATCTGTTCGTCGTCGGTTGGGGCCGCAGCCGGGGCATACGTTGGAGCGAGATCCTTTTCGGTTAGCGGAAGGTCAAGCGGTCCCGATCCGTCGCCAAGGGGGTTCCAGAACTTTAGGGCTTGTAAGGTCCCGGCATGTTCGCTATGTTCCGGCACCCCCGATACGCTCCTGGCTGTTGGTGATTCGGGTCGCACGATAGCCGAGGCGGCACTAGATAGTTTCTGCAACTTCGTGTACTTCTCCATCAATAGTTGGTGCATCATCTGTGCTTTGCGGTTCTCCGGGATGGCCATTGCTTGGATCGACCGGATTTTCCGACGGAGCTCTCCCATGCCGTCATCTTCAGGTAGAGGCGCAACCTTCGCACCTTCTTGTAGTGGCCATGTCGCCGTGGCGATCGAGTTCACCTCTGCGCTCTCAAAAGGAGCGCTCGATTGTCGATCCAATTCTGCGTCGGCGCTTTCGCTTGATGTCGCCCTAAAGCCGTTCGGAACGGCAGCTGCAGCGTCATCAGACGACGCTTCTGGCATCTGACTGTTGAGCGCGTGCGTATCTAGTGTTCTCCCACTCTCATCTCCTTCCAAAATTGCATCTTCGCTCGACCTTGTCCTGCGGTGGCGCAAAGCGGGACGCTCTTCAGCAGCAAACCCGGCCGAGAGGCGTCGGGCTTGTCGGAGAACCGGCGTGATGATGAATTCGGAGACATACGACGACATCGCAAAGCATCGGCGCGTTATGCGATGGACTGGAAGGGGAAACCGTCGTTGGCGTCTGTCCGGAACACTTCGTTTAGGTGGTCACCATCGGACCAGTAGGACGCACCAACCTATCCGTACGATGTCTCGAATGGCGAATTCGAAGTGTCCGGTATCCGTAACGTTGGTGCCAAGATGGAAATATTGAATTCGCCCAAAGTCCCCACAGCTGGCCAGATCACTCAGCTGCGTAAGGCGGGCTTGGCATTGCTACGACACTCCTTGCCAAGCAATCGCTGAGCCTACAGTTCACCCATTGTTTGTTTGTTAGCGCAGGACTCTAGATAGGGGTTCTTGTCCAGAAATCAGAGAACTGCTTCTCAGCAGCCAGAACGTTTGATTCAATGCAAGAAAAAAGAGTATCTAGAATTACTCAAAGAGACTTAGGTATTTTCTTCAGAGCGTTTTTTCTGTAGAAAAATTGGCCGTTTTGATGCTGAAATTGAACTCTTAGGGCTGACCCTGGTATTGAAGTCAGGCGCTAACGAACAAACAAGGGGGGGACTGTAGGGTGTTCCCTCAACCTCATTCTCTCTACCGTTCCATGATACAGTCCTTAAGAATCAGCGTCCCTTCGTGGATAGTATCGTACACTTACCCATTTCCCAGAACTCGGCCTCGGCACTGAGCGTGACACTCGTCCAACATATTCAAAGAGCCGAAGACACAATCATGCCCTTAAGCACTCGAACTACTCCGTATCTAGCATCTATCGCAAGAAACGCTGAACTAGGCTACTGAAGGCTCCGTTTCGGGCAACACAATGCGGAAATCTCCCTTGACGCCGAGATGGTCAGTTACCCAAGCTTTTTCGAGTCCCCCTGGACGCATAAGCTGCTCCCGATCGCTCTCCTTCTCTACTTGGACGTCCCTCCCGAATGTCACAAAATTCATAACTTGGAGCCCACCGCAAAACAGGATCTTGTCCATCCGACTAAGGCCGAAGCGTTCACGCTGCCAGGTATGAGCCATCTGGCCCCACGTCATTCCCTCCACTGCGCCTTCCCCACCACCATTCTCGAGATATGCATCTTTGAGATGGTTGTCCAGATGCAGGGTCCGATCAAATGGCTCAATCGCGTTGAGATCTCCCGCAAGGACGCCGGCATGTGCCTGGTGCAGGTACTTGGCCGCAGTGGCGAGCTGGGAAGGTCGCTTTGGCGGAGTCGCCACCAGCGACTCTAGGTGAGTGGTGCAAAGGCGAAGCGTTCTGTTATTTGGCAGGGCGACGTCGACAAAGAGCGCATCGCGTTGCATCGCGGTATCCTCATAATGAACGCGAAACACATCCTTGATTTGCATGGCCTTGGGGACGAGCATGCATGTGCCTATTGGCGCAACATGATCAGGCTTGTTCTCGAGGCCTCGGAGATGGGAGGTCTCAAAACGCTTACCATATCCTGGATTTTCCCAGTTGTCGACCGAGACATCGGTTATACTGTAGTCCCGTCTCACCCAGTCGGCCTTTTTGATCAGCTCCAAATCCCCACTCACCATTTCATTCAGCATGATGACGCTCTGGTTGGCTAACCCAGCTATAAGCTCGAGGTGTTTTAGAGCAGCTTCCATTCGCGCATTCGGCAGTGGCCTCATGAAATCGATGTTCCAGGACAAGACTGAGAAGGATACGAGGGTCTCGGCTGTGGAAGCATGTGCTGTCTTGGAAGTCACAGCTGGTTGCCAGGCGCTATTGAAGAAGGTGAAGTATGCTTGATGTGCAGGTTCACCAGGCTTCCAGGGCGAGACTGGATTGGAGTTTCGAAAAGCCATCATTGTGGTGCTGTTGTTTCTTTCAACAGCACACTGCCTGCGTAGTAAGTTCAAAGCTTGGATGAGAGTTCCCACCAGCTTCGGCATGAGATCATGAAATTGGGGGAATGAAATAGGGATCCCGGAGGAGTTCTTGCGGATTGAGTGAGGTTGCCTCAACAATAACGTGAGATCGTTGCCAGTTGAGGAACCACATGCCACACGGTCAGGCGCAGTCAACCGATTGGTCGAGGACTGTCCCGTGCTTCTTACTGTGTATGCAGTTGGATGCCTAATCTAATG